TCTTGGACAGAACCATAGAAGCAAGATGAAGGAAGAAAGATTGGGCATTCATCATGACAACCAAAATATACAAAAACGGAGAGGGGCTGCAACCAGCCAAAGATTGAGAAACGTCATCAAAATGTATCCAACAAGCATCCCACGAATGCGTGGATATTCTTTGTGATACAACTCAACTCATATCTATGGGGACATGACGTACAACTGATCGGAAAAGCCATAGGCCGTATAAAACAAGCGTTTCAATAGAAACACCAAAGGTATGTGTTGTGCCACGTTGTGCTTGCTACTGTATGTTATTGTATCTTATTGTTCTTCTTCTGGTTGTTATTATTGTCTCTGTTGCTTTTTGTTATTCTTTACCATATAATTTCAGACAAACCCATAGGCTAATTAATGTTGTTTTTAGTTTACGTCTTGTTGTCAGTTGTCATTGGTGTTGGTGTCGGTGTGGTTGCGGCAGCAGTCACAGTAGTACTATGACTATGAGTACTAGTAGCGTGGTACTGGCAGAAACAGTACCGGCATGGGTGATTGTGGTTGCAACTGCGGTTGTGTTTCTGGTTGTTGTTCGGCACGACTAGTGGACCACACTGTGAATTCGTGGCCCCGGATGGCTGGGCGGCAGCGACACTGCACCAGCACCCAAGATGTTGGGAAAAAAATTGAGGATTGAATCTCCAACTGCTTGTGTAATTACTCTATGGCTTAGCCTTTGGTCAGGTAAGTAAATTGATCTTGGATTTGACTTGACATTTTATTTGCATGGTTTCTTGAGAAAACAACTTGTCTTCAAACTACCAGCAGTGAAGACGGGATTGTATTCCCATCACTGAGCATCAGCCTACACCAGGGAGAGTCTCACTTTATTGACAGCTCGGCAAGGGGTTACTGGCGGCTAGAGCCTGCAAAGACGACTAGAACTTTCTTGACTACAAACTCCAAAGAGTCTCTGCTTGAAAAGCTGAAATTCTTTGTACCATCCAGGAATCCAGGGCATATGACATTATAATACATTAATATACATTATACGGCACGATCACAACACATTTTGGTTCGCATTTTTATCGGATCGGCAAATCTGGAGGTCCACCAGCGTTGATGTGGGGGACTCCGGCCAGACTGCAATGCTGGGAATTGGTAACTGGGGTAACAGACTCGCCCATTTTTCGGGACCATGTCGGTTGGTGAATATGCATTTTTTTTGTAACCATGCTATGTTATAATTATATATAATGGTTTTTAATATTGTTTAGTTATATGTATATAATCATAACATATAGTTTTAATAATCATATCCCATAGTCTTATTATATTGATATGTTTTTTGGGGTATTTTATTGTTTAATATTATCATATATTGCTCTAGTCTTTGCAATTTGGGGGACGTTTAACAATAGGGGGAAGGGATTATTCAGACTGGACCAGCGGGTGACCATATCCCGCCAATTCCTCCAAGGCTTTCAAGGCCATGATGATGGTTTTAAGGCCATGTGTCGATGATGTATCTATACCGTCCGGTAGTCAAACAATGGCATCTATCTATCTAATCTAATCTAATCGAAATCTAAATCTAAATCAAATCTAATCTATCTATCTATCTATCTAAGTATCTAAGGGAAACAATATCTGCAATAAACGCACCATTTTCCATAGCAAACAGTCAAATTGCCGGAGGGTAAAAGAAAATCAGGCTGAAGGCCCCTCTAAGGGTTGTTCTGGATCATCCAGCCGTCAGTGGTTGGAATGGGGAATCCTTTTGAAAAAAAACATGCTTCAAGATGATATGAAGTTGAAAAACATACCTTAACTGTCTTAACTTAAGATGATGTGAAGGTAAAAAAAATACCTTAACTGTCTTAACTTAAGATGATATGAAGTTGAAAAAACATACCTTAACTGTCTTAACTTAAGATGATATGAAGTTGAAAAAAAAAAACATACCTTAACTGTCTTAACTTAAGATGATATGAAGTTGAAAAACATACTTCAACTGTCTTAACTTAAGATGATATGAAGTTGAAAAACATACCTTAACTGTCTTAACTCAAGATGATATGAAGTTGAAAAGACATACCTTAACTGTCTTAACTTAAGATGATATGAAGTTGAAAAACATACCTCAGCTGTCTTAACTTAAGATGATATGAAGTTGAAAAACATACCTTAACTGTCTTAACTTAAGATGATATGAAGTTGAAAAACATACCTTAACTGTCTTAACTTAAGATGATATGAAGTTGAAAAACATACCTTAACTGTCTTAACTTAAGATGATATATGAAGTTGAAAAACATACCTTAACTGTCTTAACTTAAGATGATATGAAGTTGAAAAACATACCTTAACTGTCTTAACTTAAGATGATATGGAGTTGAAAAAACATACCTTAACTGTCTTAACTTAAGATGATATGAAGTTGAAAAACATACCTTAACTGTCTTAACTTAAGATGATATGAAGTTGGAAAAAACAACATACCTTAACTGTCTTAACTTAAGATGATATTAAGTTGAAAACCACATACCTTAACTGTCTTAACTTAAGATGATATGAAGTTGAAAAACATACCTCAACTTTCTTAACTCAAGATGATATGAAGTTGAAAAACATACCTTAACTGTCTTAACTTAAGATGATATGAATTTGAAAAAACATACCTTAACTGTCTTAACTTAAGATGATATGAAGTTGAAAAAAACATACTTCAACTGTCTTAACTTAAGATGATATGAAGTTGAAAAACATACCTTAACTGTCTTAACTCAAGATGATATGAAGTTGAAAAGACATACCTTAACTGTCTTAACTTAAGATGATATGAAGTTGAAAAAACATACCTCAACTGTCTTAACTTAAGATGATATGAAGTTGAAAAACATACCTTAACTGTCTTAACTCAAGATGATATGAAGTTGAAAAGACATACCTTAACTGTCTTAACTTAAGATGATATTAAGTTGAAAAAAAACATACCTTAACTGTCTTAACTTAAGATGATATGGAGTTGAAAAACATACCTTAACTGTCTTAACTTAAGATGATATGAAGTTGAAAAACATACCTCAACTTTCTTAACTTAAGATGATATGAAGTTGAAAAAAAAACATACCTTAACTGTCTTAACTTAAGATGATATGAAGTTGAACAACATACCTTAACTGTCTTAACTTAAGATGATATGAAGTTGAAAAAAACATACCTTACCTGTCTTAACTTAAGATGATATGAAGTTGAAAAAAAAAAACATACCTTAACTGTCTTAACTTAAGATGATATGAAGTTGAAAAACATACCTTAACTGTCTTAACTTAAGATGATATGAAGTTGAACAACACACCTTAACTGTCTTAACTTAAGATGATATGAAGTTGAAAAAAACATACCTTAACTGTCGTAACTTAAGATGATATGAAGTTGAAAACAAAAAACATACCTTAACTGTCCTAACTTAAGATGATATGAAGTTGAAAAAAAAAGCACACCTTAACTGTCTTAACTTAAGATGATATGAAGTTGAAAAACATACCTCAACTGTCTTAACCAAAGATGATATGAAGTTAAAAAAAACATACCTTAACTGTCTTAACTTAAGATGATATGAAGTTGAACGGATATGCTTTAAGATGATATGAAGTTGAGAGAATACGCAAAACCATATTTTTCATTCAACAACAAATTGGTATAATGATGTATAATAATGCTACCAAGCCGATCCCGCCATGGTTAGCCTCGTTGATCCTAGGTTTCTTCTGAGACACTTTTAAACTTTACCCTTTGGGAATTTAGCATGGTTATGGAAAATATAAATGTTTATATACGGGTAAATCATTGAACTAAATGACTATCTATGCCATAGCAAACTGTGAAATTTCCCGAGGGTATGATCTCCAGCTGGTAATTTCAGAGTTTTGCGATACACAATATGGCAAATACTTCCAACTGTGAAATTGCCCATTAAATGACGGTCACAAAATGTCCAGCCTTGATGATACACATTGACTCTCCCATGTTACCATGGGTTTTAATACTAAAATGATCGACTTGGATGATTTGGGGTACCCTCATTTTAGGAAACCTCATAGAACAAGTTCCGCAAAAGCTTGATGTTCTTTCTTTCTGCTTTGATTTGGGTGTCGTATGGGTAGTTAGTGAGTCAAAGGTTCTAGGCAGCCAGAACCCCACCGGAAATTGACCTCTGAACATGTAAGAAGCGTTCCGCGAAGAGTGGTGGGTGGGCCTGTGAGTCGTGTGGTATAATGACCAAGAGTAAAGGGATACTGTACAAGCAATAATTATCGAAAACCAAGGTATGTTACGTATAATTACAAGGTTAATACTGGATATATGTGTATATATGATTAATTATGTATAATTATATAGAACTATATTTCATTATATATATACATATACATGACACATTCATTAGATCCATTTACAAGTCTACAAATCTTGCGCTCTATGTGGGACACCCATCGGATGACCTTTACAGACCTTTACAGGGCTCATTGTCCCTCATCATGTCACCAAATTTTAAGAGTGTTCGCTATGATCTTACTTTCTATATATATATACACCCTCTGGTAAACGTTTACATAACCATGGAAATTCACCATTCTTAATGCTTAATGGGACAACTCACTATTTCTATGGCCATGTTCAATAGCTATGTTAAATTACCACAGGGTATATATATACATGTTTGATATGTGTTAATACTCTATATTTTTTTACATACATGGGTTTGTCGGAAAATTGCGTTTCCCAAAGTTGGAGTCAATCATTTATTTGCCCTACAAAGAAGGCATTTTTGAGGGTATGTACATGGTTTGTGCAAATCCATGTACATGTGTATTACATGTGTATATATAAATAAATACGTGTACATATGGACAGACACTAAACAAATCACGAGCTTATTTTGTTGTCACCCATGGCTTGGAATGTTTACCCAATCCCACCATGAAACACTTGGGATGCAGCTGTTTGTCATGACCAAGGCACTCAAAAAGGAGCCTCCTGCAGATGTGCCTAGGTCGCTTGGCAAATGATGTCCCGACCTCACTTGGGTAGATAATGATTAATTAGTATGGGGAACCTTTTTCCGATTCGCGAGTTATTGGATTTTGATGTGATTTGCCCAGATTTATCACGAGTAAGTCTGCATAATCTATGCTGACAACCAACGCCCTTATCTCATCTTATCTCTAATGTGTTTGTTCCTGGCAAACCATCAAAGATAGCTTGACGGCAAGGATGCAGGCAGCACGATTGGCTTGTCCGCATGATCATGATTCATAGCATACCGGGCTTCGATATGATTCGTCTAAGTGACCCCTGATATATCCTGAAATTAATTTCAGGATGTATTGCACGAAAAAAAAAAAAAACTTTTCTTGCGGGATAATATTTAGCACTTATCCCACCAAAAGTCAGCAGGAGATCAAACACCAACAAACAAATAGTTCTTGAATCCAAGTTTTCTGGACTTCTTGCTACCATAAGTTAAGACCCATCAGTTTCCACTAGAACCTGGAGACCTCTGGACTGCGGATATGTTGAATTTACCATTGTTTTCCAGCTTTCGAAATGCTCTTATTTTATTGTGGCTATGGGTCAATACAACGTAATCCCTAAAATTGAGCAAACGATCATTCCGGATTGTAGATTGCTATGGTCTCTGATGATTTTTCGGGAGGTTCGCCAGAGTACAAGCGTTGTTACACATACTCATATGGCAAGGGCAGCGCAAAATTTATGCAAACTGAACGCACTACCAAGTGCAGCCGTCGACCTTTGCGCACGTCTTTCTGTCCCCGAGGCCTTCAAAAAATGATGGAGAAGTTTTGTCAAAACGACAGCAGAAAAAACAGGCACATCAATCTTTGAAGGCTGTTCGCCAACTTGTTTTGTTTCAAAAAATTGCATATCCCAAAATCTTACAGTTGCGTAGTTTGTTCATGCTAGCAGGGAAAACCAGTTGCTGGGGTAACCCCAAAGGATTTCTGACCCATTTGGTTGACAAAGAGAGGGAGACATGTGCTGATCATCTCTCAACAGTTGAGAATGCTAACTCAGAGATGACTCAAAGCGTATTGTCCAAACAGGGGTACTACTACTACTACTGCTACTACTACCACTACTACTACTACTGCTACTACTACTACTGCCACTACTACTACTACTACTTCTACTACTACTACTGCTACTACTACTACTACCACTACTCTACTACTACTATGACTACGACTACGACTACCACTACCACTACCACTACCTACTACCTACTACCTACTACCTACTACCTACTACCTACCTACTAACTACCTACTACCTACTACCTACTACCTACTACCTACTACCTACTACCTACTACCTACTACCTACTACCTACTACCTACTACCTACTACCAACTACCTACTACCTACTACCTACTACCTACTACCTACTACCTACTACCTACTACCTACTACCTACTACCTACCTACTACCTACTACCTACTACCTACTACCTACTACCTACTACCTACTACCTACTACCTACTACCTACTACCTACTACCTACTACCTACTACCACTACGACTACTACCACTACTACTACTACTACTACTACCACCTACTACTACCACCTACTACTACCACCTACTACTACCACCTACTACTACTACTACTACTTCTACTACTACTACTCCTGCTACTACTACTACTACTACTACTACCACCTACTACCACCTACTACCACCTACTACCTACTACTACCTACTACTACCTACTACTACCTACTACTACCTACTACTACCTACTACTACCTACTACTACCTACTACTACCTACTACTACCTACGACTACCTACTACTACCTACTACTACCTACTACTACCTACTACTACCTACTACTACCTACTACTACCTACTACTACCTACTACTACCTACTACTACCTACTACTACCTACTATTACCTACTACTACCTACTACTACTACTACCTACTACTACCTACTACTACCTACTACTACCTACTACTACCTACTACTACCTACTACTACTACTACTACCTACTACTACTACTACTAACTACTACCTACTACTACCTACTACTACCTACTACTACCTACTACTACCTACTACTACCTACTACTAACTACTACTACTACCTACTACTACCTACTACTACTACTACCTACTACTACCTACTACTACCTACTACTACCTACTACTACCTACTACTACCTACTACTACCTACTACTACCTACTACTACCTACTACTACCTACTACTACTACTACCTACTACTACCTACTACTACCCCTACTACTACTACTACCTACTACTACCTACTACTACCTACTACTACCTACTACTACCTACTACTACCTACTACTACCTACTACTACCTACTACTACCTACTACTACCTACTACTACCTACTACTACCTACTACTACTACCTACTACTACCTACTACTACTACTACTACTACTACTACTACTACCTACTACTACCTACTACTACCTACTACTACCTACTACTACCTACTACTACCTACTAATACCTACTACGACCTACTAATACCTACTACGACCTACTACGACCTACTACGACCTACTACGACCTACTACGACCTACTACTACCTACTACTTCCTACTACCTCCTACTACCTCCTACTACCTCCTACTACCTCCTACTACCTACTACTACCTACTACTACCTACTACTAACTACTACCTACTACTACCTACTACTACCTACTACTACCTACTACTACCTACTACTACCTACTACTACCTACTACTACCTACTACTACCTACTCCTACCTACTACTACCTACTACTACCTACTACTACCTACTACTACCTACTACTACCTACTACCACTACTACTACTACTTCTACTACTTCTACTACTACTACTACTACTACTACATCTTCATCATCATCATCTTCTTCTTCTTCGTCGTCATTATCGTCGTCATCGTCATTGTCATCGTCATCATCATCCATCATCCATCATCCATCATCCATCATCAATCAATCACACGTCATTTTTCATGTCAATTATCTATCATGTGCCATCCATGACAATTCAAACATTATATGTATCATGATAATACATATATATATATATACATATCATGATTATGCATCATGTATCATCATAGACACTTTTATTTTCATTGTATGCGCCGGTGCAGCCACAGCCACGAGAGGTGCTGCGGGATGCTCGGTCCGAGCGCAAGGGTATGAAGAAGGCGCAGAAGCAGGCGCCGTGACCGGTACTGCAACCTGGAAAGGCAACACAGGGGATCCATACAGGACAAGAAAGACTGGTTGAAGGGAAAACATGTTGGATATTTTTATCCAAAAACGGCGGACTTAACCATATACCAACGAATTTATGAATTCATTGGAGTTGATGGATCACTGGGGTGACGAATATCTATATATATATAATTATATATATATAATTATATATATATAATTATATATATAATTATATATATACTGTTGTTTTGTGAACTCCTAAGCCACCTGCATGTGATGGTATTGGATGTCCAGTACAATGCGTTGCCTGCCAGGGTATCATTCAATGTGGGATACTCCATCATCTCTGAAGGTGTGGCTCAGGTGCAACACAGCGAGGGCTTGGGTAGCCCCTGTTCGGATCCGTGTGTCCGTGTTGGTAGCCATAAAAGGCGTGGCGCCTTGCTTTGCGGCTCGGGAGGGCCTTGGTGTTTCTTTGGTTGGAGGAGGAAAGGGAATAGCCAAGGGGCCCCTACCAGTTCTACACTGGTAGCGGAGCTACCGCGGCTGGAGGTGGAAACCGGACAGGCCGTTTGCCTCTGGAAGCCGGTGATCCAGGATGCCAGGTGATGGAGACGATCCAATGGGGTCTGGTCCAACTTCGGCTACGAGCTCAAGTGGCACAGGCCATACAGCTTTGTCGCATTTGCCCTGGAACATGATACCTAGCTTCAAACCAGGTGAAACGGATATCAACGAGTACTCCAAAAAGCTCGAGTTCCTTGCAGGATTGTGGCCACAAGAGCATTTAGCTTTGTTGGCACCTCGTGCAGCGATGTTGTGTGAAGGGAGCTCCTTCAAGAAGGTTATGCGGATTGACACCACGAAGCTCAAGGTGAATTCCATCGAGGGCGTGAAGCTCCTTGTGACCTCTCTTGGAGGGATTTGGGGAAAGAGCAAGCTGGAGGAAAAGTTTGAGCGTTTTGAGAGAGCGATTTTTTCCACAACACAGAGAACAGATGAAACACATGAAAGTTATTTAGCACGGCATGACTTCCAGTTTGAAGAGTTGTTACAGATGGGTGTGGGAATTCCTGAGGTCAGAGCCTACATTCTGCTACGAAATTCTGGATTGAATGCTGATGACAAAAAGAAACTGATTGTGGATTCAAAAGGGGCATTAGAGTATGATGCCATCGTATCAGCTTTGAAGTTGTTGGGATCCCGCTTTTTCAATGAGATTCAGTCGGGCTCCAAGAATGTCTCCCGATCCAAGACCTATGATGTCAATGCAGTGTTAGAGGATGACCTTCCTACCTATGTCACTGAAGAGGAACAAGCCTACGTAGGTGACTCTTGGGATGATGGTGAAACTGTGTATGACGAATCCGACCCTGATGCGGTGATTTGCATGCAGTTTGAAGATAGTATCCTCGAAGCACTTCAGGGTGACATGGAATTGGCAGCCTGTTACAACACTTATGTAGATGCCAGGAAGCGTTTGTCAGACCGCAACAAAAATCGAGGTTTCTGGCAGTCCAAAGGGTCCAACACTGGGTTCAAGGGCAAGGGAAAATCCAAGTCCAAGGGATTCTCCCGATTCAGAAAACCTCTGGCGCAGAGGATACTTGAGTCAGAGTGTCGCCGATGCGGCCAAAAGGGCCACTGGAAAGCAGAGTGTCCATTGAATCGCAATAGCACTCAGGGTCAAGCCAGTACTTCAGGTTCCAAGGATTCTGCTTTTGCTGGAACGGTGGTGATGATGGCCGAAGACACTAACTTCGACAATGACATGATCCTCGTGGATTCCCAGGGTGAAAACGTTTCTCACATGCATGAAGTTGTGAACCTTACTCAATCAGTTTGTTGTTTTGGAATGAATGAAGAACCCCAGAATGTGACATGTTCCACTCTAACGGGTCCTCTCCTCACCAGGTTTGTGACAGCATTGAAGAACCGCCTAAGCCCTCAGCTGAAGATTGCACCTGAAACGCAGCCGACAGGGATCCAATTGCGATCCATTGCATCCGAGACTCATGAGGGTCTATTTCTCAGAGAGGTCCAACCGAGACCGACTGCCGAAACAATGTTTGTGAGTCATGGGCCATTTGGCATTGTTGATTTAGGTGCCAGTCAAACAGTCATAGGAAACCAACAGGTGTCAGAGTTGCTTGACCATTTGCCGCCGAAAGTGCGACAGAAAGTCCAAAGAGTCCCATGCAATACAGTTTTCCGTTTTGGAAATAGCAGCACAGTCGAGTGTCACGAAGCCCTGTTGGTGCCTTTGTCCCGTTGGAATGTCAAAGTGTGCATTGTCCAGTCCAAGACGCCATTTCTGATATCCAATAATGTCTTTCGCACCTTGGGGGCTCAAATTGACACAGCCGAAGACACGATCACTTTTGCCAAGATCGGTGTCAAAATGCCGCTGTCTCTCACCACCAAGAAACTGTATTTGCTGGACTTTTGTGAACTTGTTCGACAGGTTTCCATGCCGCAGGCCACAAGGTATCAGGTTAGTCTTCCGCATGGGGATGTCATGTGTTCAGTGAACTCAGAAAACGTCGAACCTCTCATGACACCGGATTCTTCAGCCACCTTGCAGACTTGTGCGTTCAAGCAGGGCACTCCCGTCTCTGACACACCCGCACTCACGCGTGTTGATCGTCATGGCCCAGTCGACCTTGGCAGATCGCCTCCATGCAGTGACCAGCCAGAAGAACTCAGGAGAGTTCATGAAGATGACATACGAACAGCTGGCCAACCAAAGGATCTCCTTTGGGGAGGCCAAACTGGGGCAGAAATTCCAAGATGTGGTTCAGCAAGACCCAAAGTATGCGACATGGTTCATCAAGAAGTACGAGACGTCACAGAAGCCAGCCCATCAGGCCTTTGTCCACTTCATCAGCCAGTATGTGGAGCGTCAGGAGATGCAGCTGGAAGCCGAGCCGTTGGCTCAGCCAAGCAAGTACGAGTTGAAAGCCAAGGCCAAAGCCCAACCCATGAGGGTCCACTACCCGGAGACACCGGACAATGCCAGTCAGGCAAGCTGGTCAGAGGAAGACGTGTCAAAGCCCTGGAGTGTGATCCAAGAGGAGACCTCACAGAGAATCCAAGAAGAAGTGATGCACCAGAACGGTCGAATCGAGAACATGGAGAACGCCCTCCAGCAGATCACTCACCAACTGCAAGCCCTGACGCATGCGATGCTGAATCAGGGCAATGCCCCGAAGTAGTGATCCAGCCTGAAGAAGGACATGTGATGAGGTCCCTCATGTGTGATGATCAGGGTAAATTGCAACTCCATGAAAAACCGCATGAGATCGTGGATGTCAATTATTTTTCTGATTTGGTTCAACAAGAGGCTGGGTTTTCCAACAGGGTTTATCGAGAAATGTGGGACTATTTTCAGAAAAGATTTCCACACTATTCTTTGGATGACATGACGCACCACTGGCAACAGTCAAGATCTCATGTCCTGGAAGTCTATTGCTCTGAGCAAAGCCAGTTGACACGACAGGGGGAAACTCTGGGCATGATCACTTTCAGGTTCGGCCTTCGACATGGTGATTTAGCAACTTTTTCAGGACGATGTCGATTGTATGACCTTATTTGGCAAATACGACCCCGTCATATCTGGGTCTCTCCCAAGTGTGGTCCCTGGAGCAATTGGAATCGACTAAATGCCATGAAGTCCATGAAATGTGCCCAACAGATAGATCATGGCAGGCGTGCCGAGAGTGTCCACCTCAAGCTTTGCGATGCCCTGTTCCGTCTTCAAGACTGGCGTGGTGACGAATTCCATTTTCACTTGGAACAACCACTGGGATCTGAGTTGATTTACCAACATGACATGGATAACATTGTTCGACATACTCTCAGGGTCACATGTGACATGTGCACAGCCGGAAATCTAAAGCATCCTGAGAGTCAACATTGGCTTCGCAAACGCACTCAGATCTGGACCACCTCCCAGATTCTTTGGAGAATGCTTGAACAATTTCAGTGCGTTGGCAATCATTCCCATGATCAAGTAGCTGGGTCTTGCAAAGTAGCTGGGTGGGGTAGGATGTCAGTTACCAAATACACAGAGCTGTATACTGCCTTGTTCGGTAAGAGGCTATGTCGAGCCATGCTATGTAGTTGTCAAGTGCGAGAGAAAGTACATGGAACCAATGGAGTGTTCACAATCACCACCACAAGCCATGCCCGAGAAGACCCTGAACCCAAGCGCAGGAGGCTTGCCGGCAAGTTCCATCCGGAACACCTGTATATAGACCCAGCCGAGCCAAGTGAGGCCAGTTCCAGTCAGAGACCGTCCCATGTTCCCACGAACACGTCATCCAAGTCAGACATGTTGTCTCAAGTCTGTGAAGTACTCCAAATGGCTGAAAAATGCACGCCCCGTGTAGGCAAGGTGATCCTTCACGATGTCCAGTGTTTGACAAAATCCAAGAGATGTTTCCTGACAAAGAAGTCAAAGCCATTGATGTTTGCAGAGGTATCAACCGCATGAGAACATGTTCTGTAGGAGGCCGGGGTTTTGCACCATTCCGCAGAATGCTGGGAAAACGACGTTCTGATTTGGAAGTGTTCATGGACGAAAGCTGGGAAGAATGGGAGAAACTGTCGCACCGACAACAGATTCGTGCATCGATCCCGGCAAAGCTCATGATGACCGTCTTTGCATCCAATAAGCGGTTAGCCCAGGAATCTTTGGAGATGCCTGATGCAAAGGAGCCCCGAGTAGCATCCGAAATAACAGATCCAAGATCAGAAGCTAGCAGTGAACCAGAGCAATCAGAACCCCAACATTCAACCACAGGTCCCCCAGTGCAGACTTCAGGGACATCCCAAAGTTCAAGTGTTTCCCATGGTCCTTTGTTTCAACAACTCCCAACCTATACTCAGAATCAAATTCGGAAAATACATCAAAATCTTGGACACCCTGACATGAGGATACTACAGATGGCTCTCCGCAGAAATGGCTGGTCAGAAACGGAAATCCGTGGCTGCGCCGATTTTGTATGCCCTACGTGCCATGAGCAACAACAGCCCAAGCTTGCCCGACCCGGGAAACTGAAAGTTCACATGGATTTCAATGATCATATTTCGTTTGATGGTGCAGAATGGAAAGATAATCAGGGTAAGACATATGGCTTCTATCACTTTGTGGACACTGCCACAAACTATCAGGTTGCAATTCCGTATCGACAGCGCACCACTGAGGGCCTCATTGAAGCCTTTTCTAATTCATGGCTCCGGTGGGCAAGTCCACCAAAAAGCATGATGTTCGATAGTGCAACAGAAGCCAACAGTGAAATGTTTTCCATGTTTTTGCAGAAACATGCCATCCAAAGCTATGTGATCCCAACAGATGCCCACTGGCAGTTGGGTAGAGCCGAGCGTCATGGTGCAGTGCTCATGCATATGATATCCAAGTACAACAGTGATCATCCAATTCAAGACGATCAAGGCTTTGAGCAATGCCTGATTCACCTATGCAATGCAAAGAACTCAATGTCACGACATGAGGGTTACACGCCAGAGCTCTGGGTACTTGGAAAAATGCGATCTCTGCCAGGGAACTGCACCGATTTGTATCTGGACAGTGCCAGCTACATGGGCCTGGATGAACAGACCCCTGAGGGTTCCAAATTCCAACAGAACATGGCTCGCAGAGAATCTGCCCGAGTCGCCTTCATCAAAGCTGAGCACAGCAGTGAACTTCGTCGTGCCTTGCATGCTAGGTCCAGACCAGAACGACTGAACTTCCAAGTAGGTGATCTAATCATGTATTGGAAAGCCGGAAAGGGTGTAGAGCCAGGTGCATGGCATGGGCCTGCCAAAGTTCTGATGCCCGAGGGAAGAAATCTGATCTGGGTCAGCCACATGACGCGACTTTATCGCTGCGCACCAGAGCATATCCGCAAGCTATCCTCTGACGAGGAACGATCCATCTCCGAGGTGGATCGTAGCATGTTCCAGCTGCCCGAAAGGAGTGTTAATGGTGTGTTTCAGTTCCGTGAGTTATCTCAACAGCCCATGCCACCAGAGAATAACCCGATGAGCCATCAAAACATCCCCCTATCCAATTCTACCATAAACCCCATGAGTAACGAACCTGAAGTAATAGTCCCTACACAGCCACCCAATAATGCTCAAGATCAATATCCATCGAATAACTCTCAAATAGGTCCAGAAATCCAACCAGATGCTGAACCTGCGGTTGCCCCGACAGTCAGCGAGATGTTGCAAGATGCCATCAACACTCCAGTACCACCTACTGCCGCCGAAGAGGATGACCTCATCCTGGATGAAGAGGCTCCTGATCAGTGGGAAATCAGGGGGAATCAGCTCATTCGTCATCATGTGAATCAACGCCTCAGAACATTTTTTCCTCATGATACTTTTGAGTGTCCAGTTCCCTTTGAAGTGTTGTTGGAAGACCGTGAGACCACAGGACGATACATCTCTGGGGGAGAATTCCAAAGAAGAGAAAACTGGAGAAACAATGTTCACAGCCACTTACCCCAACCTGAACCATGGACAGGTAAGACCATTTTTTTCATCAACCCTTCTTGGAACCAAGAGCCATTGTCATGCCTTACAACCACCAAGAACCTCATCACCGAACATACCGTACTCCATGCAGAAATACAAATGGGTTTAGATGATTTCCAGAAGTGTTTGGGTAGAACCTATGAATACCAAGAAAATTACCTTGCATCCACTGCTAAGCGCCAGAAGATTGAAGTCAAAACCAAAGACCTGACACCGGAAGAAGCTAAGCTGTTTGCCAAAGCGAAAGACAAAGAGCTAGACTCATGGCTTGCCACAGACACAGTGCGAAAAATTCTGCGTCACCAAGTCCCCGAAGGCCAACTATTGAGATCACGCTGGGTGTTAACCTGGAAAACCTTGGATGAGCAAGAACAAAAAGAACTGAATATGACCAAGAAACCAAAAGCCAGATCAGTCATTTTGGGCTATGAGGATCCGCTCATCGACACCTTGCCCCGTGATTCCCCAACACTTGGCCGTGACAGCAGGATGTTAGCTCTGCAGTGTATTGCCAGCCACCGGTGGTCTGTCAGATCGTTCGATATCCGAACGGCGTTTCTCAGAGGTAGCAGGCAAGATGACAGAATTCTTGGGATCGAACCCCCTGCCGAACTTCGCTCTAAAATGAATCTCAAACCCAACGAAGTTTGTGAACTTCTTAAAGGGGCCTATGGACTCATCAATGCACCTTTGTTGTGGTACTGTGAACTGAAAGCTGCTCTCCTCAGTCTAGGATTCATAGTGTCTCCCATGGATCCCTGCCTGTTTGTATTGCCCAAGCACAAGTCCGATGATGATTCCCCAAGTCATATCCATGGCATTCTTGGAATACATGTAGATGATGGGTTAGGAGGAGGAGATGCGACCTTCAATCTAGCAATCCAAAAACTTGAAAAGAGATTCCCTTTTGGAAGCCAAAGAACTGGAAATTTCACTTTCACCGGTATTCACATTCATCAAGACCACAATGGAGACATTTCCCTTGACCAACAAGACTACATTAACGACATACCACCAATAGACATTCCCCGCGATAGACGAAAAACACCTGAAGCAAAGATCAACAATGAAGAACTCCAAAAGCTTAGAGGACTTATTGGAAGCCTTCAATATGCCGCCACCAATACCAGACCAGATCTATCATGTAAACTTAGTCTGTTACAGGCAAAAGTAACCTGTGCCACAATCAATGACTTGCTGCAAGGGAACAGAATCTTGAATGAGGCAAAACGCTTCTCAGAAACGGCCATTCGCGTTCAAGCACTGCCGTTGCAAGAGCTCAGATTCCTATCCTTCTCAGATGCTGCCTTTGCCACGAGGGAAAAAGCTCACTCTCAGAAAGGTTGCGTGATACTTGCCACCACCGAAACCATTGACAAGACCCAGTCCGCTTTGGTCAGTCCCCTGTTGTGGTTCTCCAAAAAGATCAATAGAGTGGTGTCAAGCACGCTTGCGTCCGAGACGTTTGCATTGTCAGGGGCACTTGATTTGCTTAGTTGGACTAGAGTTCATTGGGCCTGGCTGCTCAATCCCAACTTGGAATGGAAAAATCCTGAAGCAACTTTGAAGAAACTTCCTAGTGCATTCGCTGTTGTTGACTGCAAGAGCCTTTTTGATCTCCTTCAGAAAACGTCAGTTCCCCAATGTTCAGAATATCGCACGATGCTTGAAGCCCTAGTGGTGAAAGAGCGCCTGAAGGAGGGTGTTATAATTAAATGGGTGCATAGCGCAGCTCAGATGGCAGATTCTCTCACGAAGGACATGGACACTACTGTGCTTCGTTCATTCCTCTCTAAGGGAAAATGTATTCTTCACGATGTGGATGAAATACTCAAACAGAGAGCCGATAAGAAGGTTAGGCAACAGTGGTACCAAACCACCAGCGACAGTCCCGTGGAGTCTGCCCTGCATGTTTTTGCTTGTATTTTGAATACACCTGATGGAACAGAATAGATTCCGAAGTGCGTCTTGTTCTGCAAAGCTGTCAGCAGTTCTTCGAGACCCAGGCTGCCCAAATGAGACTGGAAATCCAAGAACCAAGTTAAGCAAAGAAAGAAGAGAATTTTTTAGGAGTGTTGTTTTGTGAACTCCTAAGCCACCTGCATGTGATGGTATTGGATGTCCAGTACAATGCGTTGTCTGCCAGGGTATCATTCAATGTGGGATACTCCATCATCTCTGAAGGTGTGGCTCAGGTGCAACACAGCGAGGGCTTGGGTAGCCCCTGTTCGGATCCGTGTGTCCGTGTTGGTAGCCATAAAAGGCGTGGCGCCTTGCTTTGCGGCTCGGGAGGGCCTTGGTGTTTCTTTGGTTGGAGGAGGAAAGGGAATAGCCAAGGGGCCCCTACCAGTTCTACAATATACATATATATATATATATACATATATATATATAGATATTCGGCATTTCACTGATTTTACCAACATGGAAAAATCAAACCTTCTACTGTAAGCTTTTGTATTTAACAATCGGGATAGTTCAATGGAACCTGTTTGGGGCTCCGTATTGTTTGGACCAAGCAAAGCGAAACATGAGGGAATTGACTGGGAGCATAGAGAGCCACGGATCGCAGCAAGGGTCATGGGATTTCACGGTGGATTTCACCAACAACTATCCGTAACGGGTAATGAAACATGGCGCTGGAACATCGAGATTTGCCCCTAAAAATACTCGAGATGTCCCCTTGTTCCACAAGAAAAGGGCAAACAACTGGATTCCAGCTGAGTGGATTTTGCGAGGTGGAGTCGTTGAACGCTGCTTTAAAGTCTCTGACAGTGCCTTGGGCCGTGACAGATTGGAATTTTAATGCTTTCTCCCAAAGATGTAGACGTCCTGGTCCTATCATCCACCAAAGATGGGAAGAACCCTGCTACTCTCCGGTGTCATCAAACATGGTTTCCTGGAAAATCCCCATTTCGTTCAATGAATTTTTGATTAAAACATATTACTGAGAACATATTATGAAAACCAAGGGATTTTCCAGCCAGCCATTGCCAGCCATGTTTGATTACCGAAGGATATGTCATCTATCATCCTGCGATGCTTGTGCCACAAGGCCTGACGTGATCCGAAATTTCATGGGGTCTCTAATTTTAGACACATGCAACATATTGCCCAACATATTGTAATGGCAATGATGATATATGTGAACGTATAATATACAAATGACACACAATGTCATACAATAATATCTGGATCCACACACTCTCTCCTAAGTACAGACATTTCTCAATCCACCATTTCTAGATGATATTCCTGTTCCAAGTGATGTTCCATTGTTCTCTTCAAATAACCCCCGTCCACCAAGGATCTGTTGGAAAGACATCTGCACGAAGCGGGAGCTCCCTCGCTAAACCACTGCCTACGAGGGGTCTTTGGTGATGCGACGGGGTACCACTCATTGAAGTTGTCGCATGGTCCATGTCCCGCCACTCAGAGTCACGAAAAAGTCAGAGGAGTGGCGGCTTACGGCCTGTTGCTTGAGTGGGGGGGGATTTGCTGATCAATATTGATTATTTATTTGAGATTAATAATGATCAATATGTTAATAGAGGAGTATAAATGGAATATACATATATGTATGTATACATACATGTTAATGGTGGCGTGGTATCAATCAAAACATGCTGGTTGGTGATGGTGATTCATGATTAAATTGACTAATGGGAGGTTATACCACCCAATTGTGGATTGGATTTATCATATTTTATCATAATTTGTTATTGGAATCCGATTGCATCCTGAAATGACCGGTAAGGTTGGCGGATGGAATATGTATGGTTGAGATTCTTTTACAAACCAGAAAATGTGCATATGCAATGTGTGTATATATATATATATGTAAGATATGTAAGATTCAATGATATCAACTGGGGATTGTGCGTGCCACTACTTTTGGGGCGTTTACAGTTTTGGATCCTTTCAAAATTCAGGTATGATATTTGAATAGATGTTCAGCTATTTGCAAGGGATCTTGAATTGCGATTGAAACGCTAAGTGGCAACGAGACTCACTACGTCACTAAGTAGTGTTGCCGTTCAACCTCGTAGACCTTGGGTGTTCCAGAGGGAGATTTCCTAATCTGCCTGGGAGATTTCAATTCCGAAGCAAAATCCGGAAGAAAGTACAGGAAGGGCAAAGACCATCAACAAAAATAAGATAAGACTCGATCTGTGTGGTATATTTTTATTATGTTCATGCTTAGGTACTTGCAAAATATGATGCCAAAGATAACAACTCACATTGAACATAATAGTCTTATAATTGTGATCATATACTAAGATTGCTCTTCAATGCAAGCACGAAACAATTCCATGCTTCTTTGATTTGGACATGTAGCACGGATGATTATAGGTCTCCATTAGTGTTCAATCGAACTGTTTCAAAAACCTCAGTTGGCTCAGCATTCTTAGGGGGCTACTCAATCTATTTTGGGGAATATCATCTTCATCTTGGGAATCCCTATTCCCCAAAAGATTGTCAAACAGGGATTTTCCAATACGCTCAACCCTCACACTGGGTTCCCCGGGTTCCAAGGACAGGGGCTTGCCGATGTTGGGGTCATCACTGATCCGCCCGGTGAAGTACAATGCAAAGTTCCTTCCGCAGGAGAAATTGCCGAAATTCTGTGGAAGAAACCCATGAAGTTCTGGCAATTTATGTACGTTGGCTATCGCATGAAAGGCCTCGCAGTCAATAGTCAGTGAGATCAAGGACCAATCTATCTGGGTAAATTATACCGACCTCACTGCGACCTCACTGGAAATCATGGTTAGTAAGGGAAATCATCCCCAGATGGCCTTAATTCAGGGTAGTGAAATATTATAATTTACCCAGAATCTATGTATTCTGTGTGTTCCATCTTCGCCCATGGCATATCAAGCTTTGCTTGCCACCCGGTGAATCAAGGCCCCAAGGAACCAATTGGGGATGGGTTAAAACATGTTAAAACCCTAGTCTGGTTGGTGGCGACTGGAACATGGCTTTTATGACTTTCCATTCAGTTGGGAACAATCATCCCAACTGACGAACTCATATTCTTCAGAGAGGTGGCTCAACCACCAACCAGTAGTATATTGCTATGTTTTGGGGGGATGACTATCCATTTACCACCTATTTTGATGTTCACTGGGCTACCACAAAGTTGCCGAACAAACGCGGAAGCGTTCCAGTTGTGACAGGAGTATTCCTTGCTCCACAAGATCTGGGCCATGTTGGGAGGCGATGAAGTTGAATGAGCAGCCCAGATTTTTGCTATGTAGCCTACATGGAAGGTGCTGCCCCCAAGTTATAAGTTGGTGTATTTACCATCTGGTTAATTTAACATAGCTATTGAAAATGGTCCATTTATATATAATTTATAGTTGATTTTCCTATTAAAGATGGGGATTTTCCATAGCAAACTGTTAGTTTACCAGAGGGCAACCAATCTATATATATATATATCTTCAGTTGAAGCAACTTAGCCACCTATGGGGCACATATACAGAATATTCTGGAACCAAGTATCAAATCGGGACAGGATGGTATCTCTTGATTGCATCCCCTGCTCCATTGCCAACAGGCAGAAATCTCTCCGATGACAGTTGGGTGAGCTATGAGCATCCCGTAGTTCAATTGCCATGCAGGGTTGATATCCGCATGGTTGTTGTTTGCACCTTGTTTCCGTCGTTGGATCTTCCGGCAGGATTTTTCTTAGGAGATCTTCAATCTTCAGGAACTAAGAGCCACAAGTGGTGCCTTTTTTGTATCCCAGTTGTCGAATGGAATTTGAAGCCACAAAGCATGTAACATGTAGAATCTCAAGACGTTGTCCTTCGAGGTGATACTCCGATCATATGTTGATTGCCACTTGTATTGTATTTGCAAGCCACTTCCCAACTGCCACTTGGGGGTGCAGGTCCACTTGCTGCGATTTCTAGGGCTTGTATCCAAGTCATAGGGGATTACCACACTAATAGCATCTAAAATAACCCCAGCTGCATACCCCAAGTAGGCTATATCCCATGTATCCCCATTATATACTTCCCATTGAATCCCAGTAAATCAACAGTTTTCAAGTCAACCCCATTACATCATATGAATTACCCGTTAAATCACCAGCTTTCCCAGTTAATCCCCATTTAGCACATTTAAACATCCATTTTTCATGATGAAACCATTCTCCAGGCGAGGTCCAAAACGCTGGCGTCTTGGACATCGGTGCGGGCAACGCCAACTGCGCTATGTTGGCAGCGGGGCTCATGAAGCTCACGGTGGCTGATGCTGTGATGGGTGGATGTGGGATTGTGGTTGATCAAATTTGATGGGATTTACCCAGGAAAAGTGGTGATTTATCGGTTATTTGACGGGGTTTAAGATGTTTACGTGGGAGAAAATTGTGATTTGATGGTGTGCTAATGTGATTGAACTAGGCAAGATGGTGATTTAATGGGATTTAATGTGGTTTTACCCTCAACAATGATGATTCAATGGGATTTAGTTGGTATGTCATAGGGATATATTCCGGGATATAACCTACTTGGAGCTGCAGGGTATGTAATCTTTATGGACCTTGCCATGGTTTACCCTGAAAAGGTGGGATGTAGTTTGAACATGTTTTAACCATAGCTACTTGAGAGGAACCGCACCGGAAGTCGCCGGACGGTAAGACGGTAAAACCACGACCAACCACCAGGATCCTACCAGGAATTTCAAGGACGCTTTTATTCAACCGATGCAAGATATGATGTTGGGTTTATGTATGGGTAAACCATCAAGTAAATGTATGTATGATGTTTACCAGATACATGTTCAACCATCAAGTATCGTTTATGTATGGGTTTACCAGATGTTTAAACTGGAGTCGTGCCAGTTTAAGTGCTTCCCTCTAGCAAGCAGGAGCTCCAAACATGATATCCAAAAGGCTCCAAAAGTGATCTTTACATCACTTGGTGGTCTGTGGCAACTGGCATTCTGCTTACTCTCAGGCGATCACATGGACTGTAAGTTCATAGCCAGAAGTAGCAAGTCTTTGAGTCCTACAATTATCCGGCAAAGAAGTGGGTTTAGATATAATTGATATAATACTCATGATTTCCAAACCAGTTGACATTGTGATAAGCGTCAAAGCAGGGAATTTGGTACATATGCCCAGAGATTTCAAAAACGATTTCTCCTAACCTCAACCGAATCGTAAAATGGAACATTCAACTAGTCTAGGGGTGAAATACCACTCCACAGGGGGGGTTGGTCATTGGTTGGTATTCCCGTAAAGATTGAATCCTAGCTGTAGAAATATCTATCTGTGGCATGTTGGCTGTTTCCAGGATAAAGCCAGCAGTTCCAGTTGATTGCTACCGTCAGTTCATCGAACATGGCAATGGAAAATCCCACACAGTTATACGTAGTGATATGCCGTGCTCAGTCAATCTCATGAACACCTCCATTTATTGTGGGACTGTCAATTGCCATGCTTGAATACAGGAGCCAGGGACGATATGCTTTTACTCAGATGATTCCCAAGGGCTTTCATAATTTATGTCACCTGATATCACTTGACATAACACGCAAAGCTCACGAGTACCACCAATATCATTCTATGATGCATATGATATACCATCCCATTGAGTACTCATATCATCTTATATCCCCACTCCATATCCGAGTAGCCCATTCCATACCCATATATATATATATATATGTATGTATGTATGTATGTAGGTATGTATGTATGTATGTTTGTATGTATCCATATCCGAGTAGCCCATTCCATACCCATATGTTAATATATATATACTGTATATGTATGTATGTATATTCCTGTGAAATATTTGGATGAATTGTAATGACATCATTTGTGACGTCACTGGAATGATGGCTAGGATTCGGAGTTTCAACTATTTTCAGCCAGATAAAGTGCTTACTTTTTTTCTCTGTACATATCCCCATCAGCCAATATATCCCTATGTTCCTGTGATATATCATGTTATGTCCCCTAAGTGGTATTCATGCTAACCATCCCATTAACCATAATTTCATATCATATCCAGTCATAAGATAATATATTACTGTAGTCATATTTTTGGTGACATATCCAATAGTATAGTTGACCATTAGAAATATATTTAATAAAATTTTGACCATTAGTCATGTGTTTTCTATGTTTGGGTTGACAAAAAATGGTCATCCCCAACCTGTTGAATTACCAGAGGCTTTCCCAATGTTTGCATGTGATATTCCCAGTATAGTCATATTTTGCCCAGTGAAATTCCAATATGGAACACCATTAAATTGCCAGATATCCCAATAATGTGTCCAACAATAAACCATTCCCCAAAACCAACATATATAGTATAGTTATATATTCAAATTCCACTATTTGTCATGGGTATACCATGGTTAATAACTATTCAAACCTATAACTATTCATGATTATCCAACTATTATCCCATATTAATCCATATTTGTGCCATTAGTATGCTACAATATCCCATTATTATTGGCTTCACATGGCTTCACGAACGTGGATTTATATCCCAATCTTTGCCATATATAAAACCTCTATGTATAATTTATATAATATACCGACATCAATATATGTGTAACCCTCCAGACCATCATAGATATATACATATATATATATATACATACAGTATATACAAGATATATAATATATATGTATATATATATACAATTTATGCAATATAGTAATATATATATATATGTATATATCCATATAATCTTTCACCATAATATATTATATATATACCAATCTTTTCACTGGTGAAATCTCCGTTTTCCACAGGTCATTTGCGTCGAGCGCGAATCTCCCCGTGTGGAGCTTCGTGCAGAGGAGCTCCTGCCGACGTCGAGTCCGAGCTCGGGACGAGTGATTCGAGTGGAGCTGCTGAGCCGATGATGATTGGACGTTGGGCAAGTTGGGTGGGAGATGGTGAAAGTATGTTCAATGTGTAAATGACGGGTTTTTAGACCGTGGAAAAAATAGAAACAATATTTTTGATGATTCTAGGATTGAAAGAAACATGGAAATAGCGAGATTTCACCATGAGAAATAGTGGATTTCACCAGATGGCCATAGAAACGATAGAGAAGGAGATACTTTCGTCGAAAGTAAGATGGGTTTGACCAGAAATGATGTATATCCATATACACCATGTATATCTCATATTCCGTTGTTTAAGATCATATGCATTCATATTTTTTTTACATGTTTCCGGTGTACCTTGTTTTAAGACAATGGGCCATGGGACTGGTTTCCATGTTGAGACCCTGAGTCAGGAGTAAGCAAACAATTTGCCAGAATCACAGCATACAAAAAAACAAAACAATGTATATTATAATATATACGTATGTATATACACATATATATATATATAGAAGTAATACGTTGTTTGGGAAAACTGTGGCAGAAATGAGCAGGCAGCAAACACTTCATTTCCAGAAGGCCTTCAAGTCAACAAACAAACAAACACATGTTCCTTAACAGAGTTTCGCATATCCTCAATATCCTGCTGGTTTGCTAAATTCCAATGTTCAAACCACATAGACCCAGGCGATGAAGAACAAATTTACCGGCGACCGGCTCTGATTCAGGTTTTTGGACATCATATGTTTTGTTTCTTAACACAACAGTACTATATGTTTGTTTTATTCAAAAAACACAGACAATGGGTGATTCTAGGTGGCCATTGTCCAAGAGGTGTAATCCCATTAATCCCATCCCAATATGATGGCCACCCCCATGGCCACCCCGGTCCCAATTATGTGTAAATCCCCCAGCGAAAACCATGGGATTCTGTGGGGAAGGCGAAGCACTCAGGTCCGACATTGCTGACTTTGATCTCGCATCACTCACAGAGGTTGCTGAAATGTATCTCGGACCAAGCCGCGAAGCTGAGCTTGGACAGCCGGACTTAACACCACTGGGAATGCGTGCAGCTTGTGATCCTGGAGACATCCCATATCCGGATAAATACCATGGAATTAGTATCCCATTACAATCCCAGTAGATTCATTTGATTTGGATAAATTAGATTGAATTTCCACATTATCATATTTGTGAATGGAGATTGCGACATGCACATGTTGTTCTACTTGTGAATGAGGCCAAGATTTGTTCAATCACAGTCTGGTCCATTTGTCAATCCGAATATTCCTCTTGTGAAATCAAAGTCAGTATCAGGTCAATGGGATTTTCAGGATCCTAAAATGGAGGTACGTTAGTACCATATAAGGCCATATGAATTGTGGGGATATCCCCTGAAAATTAGGGGCCTATTTTCAATAGGCCAAAAATATATGCTAGGTACCTCCATTTTTTCTCGGTTCCTGTTGCATGGCCATTGCATAATTTTAGGAAACCCCCATAAAACCATGGTCAACCCTGGATTAATAAACCATGGTTTATCAATTAGGGGGTACTCCTCCAGTAGTCATAATCTGATACTTAAATGGTATCCCCCCCATTAAACAACCGTTTGGGGTTTACAGGATGGTGCCCATCAGTTATAAGTTGGTTTATAAACCCCATTAACTATAGTTATATATTTACCATAAACCATAGTTGTGGGAGTTATAAACTTATAAACCAACTTAGCTAACTTAGCTAACTACGGAGCGTGTTGAAATCCTCCATCTAAATCCATCTACCCTCTGGTAATTTAACATAGCTATTGACAATGGCCATTTATAGTGGATTTACCCATTGAAAATGGTGATTTTCCATAGTTATGTTAGTTTACCAGAGGGTAAATGGTATCCCCCCCATTAAACAACCGTTTGGGGTTTAGTCTCAGGTATGGCTTGACCAAGTTCGTCTTAGTGGCGAAACACCCCTGTGGAATCGGAGTGGATCGATCGATTGACTGCGCCGTGAAGCTACATGAGAGTGCAGGAGACAAGCTTGTCAGCTTGCTAGTTATATAATGTTATAGTATGTTACAGAGATTACTGATCATGAAATAGAAAATGACATACAGCATTGAATCTTGAGAATCAAAAATGGATCTGGAATCTGGAATATGGTCGAGGTGGAGCTTGCCATTCTTGGCTTCCATATTGCAGTAGGTTGTATCTTTTGGTTTACAATTCTTATGCCAAAGATGGGAGTTGCAGGTTGGGGTTCAGCTTCTTTGGTGACGCATAGTAACTTGCGCGGTATTCTGCGAATGCTGGGCTTGTATCGGATTCACGGATAACTTATTTGTATATGTACTGTACGCACTCTTGTGGCATGGTTAGCAAAGTGGGTAGGTGCATTAGTTAATGCATTCAAAACAGCAATATTACAGCATTTTTTGCCCTAAAGAATCCTGGAGAAGTGAATGTCAGGCTGGTTTTGTATATCAAAACAGTTATATCGGTATCTTGGAAATTACGGTCAAACAGTCAGTCACATTCAGTTTAGAATGTTCTTCCGCGAAGAATTGCCGTTTCCGGATGAAAGACTTTAGATCAACCATCATTTATATAACCCATATGCTCCATGTATATGGAATATTTTACCAACATTTTACCCTTTCAGAATCAGCCAGTCAGGTAAATATACCATCACCCAGGGCATAGTATTGAAACCTATGGTTTTAGGGATACCATTTTAGGAAACCCCCATATAACATCATACTATTCATAGTATAGTCAGTATTAACATTAGCTAATAAATCAATGGGAATTTCAGGATCCTAAAATGGAGGTACTGTACCATATAAGGCCATATTGCGTGGTTATATTCCCTTACATAGGCCTGACAAATAGGCCTTATATATGGTAGGTACCTTCAATTGTTCTCGGTTCCTGAGTCATGGCCATTGAAACAGCTTGTTTCATCTATCGTGCTATATGGCGTGAACATCAGGCTATTCATACTATTAACACCTATTAACATGAGCTATTACTAAATGCTGGTCACAGGAGAAAGACCTGGACATCCTGAGTTATGTGGTGTGGTCTTGGCTACCTGTTGCAGCAACAAGCTGAGCTTGGACGACTTTCGAGAGTCGCGCGCGCAGGAATTCTGCCAGTTGAACCAACAGGACTTGGTTCCCTGTCAACCAGTGATTTCACTAGGAAAGATGGCGATTTAATGGTGGTTAAATGGGGTTTAAGCATCAGAAATGGTGATTTAGTGGGATTTAATGGGTATGTAGTAATGGGATATAAACTACTTGGTCCACAGCGCGTAATCGGCCGTGGTGTAAAATAGGATTTTCAATGATTCAATGTTGTTTGAATCACGCAATTACAATGCGTTTTATGGACAGTCTTTGATTTCGCATGTTTCATGCGTAGTTCCATTGGGGAAAATATTGTCATTATAGAAACCATTGTAACTGCGAGCAAAATATTGTATTTTGTTTGCCCGCAACTAAGGAGTCCATTCATCTTTTGTGCATCATCGCCATCACTGCCATCACCGTCTTCACCCTCTTCATCATCATCATCATCATCAACATCATCACCATCATCATCATTATCATCATCATCATGATCATCAACCTCATCACCATCATCATCATCATCATCATAATCATCATCATCATCATCATCTTCATCTTTTTTTTCTTACACCATGTTCGGTATGTAGAGCGTGTAAAGGTCTAAGCAGAAAGTTCACAACGTAGCATCAAGAACGTGTAAAGGTCTAAGAAGAAAGTTCACAACGTAGCATCAAGAGCGTGTAAAGGACTAAGAAGAAAGTTCACAACGTAGCATCAACAGAACGGAGTCAAGAAGAACGCACGCGACAGAACGTTATCACACCCCCCCCAACCCCCCCCCAAAAAAAAATTACTTTACTTCGTGTGATCCCCACCATGACATTTATACATTTTCTTACTGGCAAATCTTCTGGCATTCTATCTGGCATATCTTCTGGCATATATTCTGACATATCTTCTGGCATTCTATCTGACATATCTTCTGGCATATATTCTGACATATCTTCTGGCATATCTTCTGGCATATCTTCTGGCATATCTTCTGGCATATCTTCTGACATATCTATCTGGCATATCTTCTGGCATATTTTCTGGCATTCTATCTGGCAAATCTTCTGGCCCTCTATCTGGCATTCTATCTGGCATATCTTCTGGCATATTATCTGGCATTCTATCTGGCATATCTTCTGGCATATATTCTGACATATCTTCTGGCATTCTATCTGGCATTCTATTTGGCATTCTATCTGGCATATCTTCTGGCATATCTTCTGACATTCTTTCTGACATTCTTTCTAACTTTCTTCTGCACATTCTTTGTCCCATATCTTCCTACATGATGTCCGGCAGGGAACACTTGGCGTGGATACTCGCGGTTGAGGTCCGGCAGGGAACACTGGGCGTGGATGGTCGTGGTTGAGGTCCGGCAGGGAACACTGGGCGAGGATGGTCGTGGTTGAGGTCCGGCAGGGAACATTGGGCGTGGATGGTCGTGGTTGAGGTCCGGCAGGAACACTGGGCGTGGATGGTCGTGGTTGAGGTCCGGCAGAGAACACTGTGGATCGCGGGTCGCAGTTGAGCAAGGACGACGAGGACGACGAGGACGACGAGGAGGACGAGGAGGAGGAGGAGAGGAGGACGAGGCAGGAGGAGGCGGAGGAGGAGGAGAAGGAGGAGGAGGAGAAGGAGGAGAAGGAGGAGGAGGAGGCAACTGACATAAAATCTAACAACCCTCACCTGGCAGGTGGGGAAAAAAAACACAAAAAAAACAGAAATGGGAGAAAAAAAACTTGAAAAACGGACCATAGGTACGGCGAGAACAACACGAAATGCTGTAAAAACCAATACAAAGAGACCAAAAAGCAACAAAAACGCCACGGCCTTCTATGAGCGGTGGTCCAACTACTTGGAGGTGGCCAGGGGTGATTTTTGTGGCTATAACCATGGAATTTTAACCCCTAGAAGTTTGGACATATGCCCTACAACTATGGTTATAAAACCACTTATATCTGGACCTGCCCATCCAAGTGGTTTTTGGTGTACCAAAAAAAGGGGGAGATCCCCAAGTTGTATCAAGTTGTGCTACTGCGGACTCACTGTCGACCCTGTCTTTTTTTGTGGTAGATTCAGGGCATGCCATATATCTTTGGGCATGTTGAAGTGTTTTTTCTTTGTGCTTTGCAGTTGTTCTGGTTGGTTCATTTGGGGTTCTGCAGTTCTGCGAGCTGCATCTGTACAGATAGATGTCAGTTAGAGGTATGACTGCGACGAAGCTGCAGTAGGTTTCTCAGTAGGTCTCCGTGGATAAGCATCGACTGGGATGCACTTTTTGTTTTTATTATTGTTGAAAGTTGATACACATAAAACTGAGGGTATGAATCACATATAATCACATTACCAACTGGCTTTGTAAAGCTGGCGAAGCTCTGACCGGGTTTGGCACTTCAGATGTACCGGTAAGGGGGCAAGGGACATCTGAAGGATGGTTATTATGTTGAAAGACTCATATGTTTATAGTATGGGTATCGGTATTCTCTATAGATAGATTCAATTTATAGAGAATCTATAAAATGTTCCCACTATCTCAATATAAATCTCTATCATGATTAAGAACATGTGGGAATGGTTGATATTGAGATTTATATTGAAACGGTAAACGGTTTTTACAATGGTAATTTTTATGATAAATGATGTACCAAACTAGCCCCTCATTGGTTTCCCAGGTGAGCGGTTCTTCGTCCGACTTGGTCAGAGCGGTGGAAGTTATGAGCAAATGCAGTGCTTGGCGCAGTGCATCACAATCCTTGGGCAATGCTATCAGTGAGGACCAGCTCCGTGGCTGTCAGTTGGTCGGAACTTAAGTAGCTGTAGCCTCAAACATGATTTTGTTTAGCAGCAAACATGATGATCTAACTGATCTAATGGCGAGCCAGCCAGAGTTGTGATTTAATCAACAACAACGGGGATGACAATCCGGATCTGGGGATAGCTTATGACAATGAGAATTCTGCCCCATGGATGGCGGGAGGATTTCATCCAGTTTTTGGATGGCAAGGTATCCACATTTGTGGCAGCTCCATTCCCATGGCCCCATGGCTATGTTTGATCCCCAGATCTCTCCATATGTTTACTCCGTTGTTTGTGTGGAGAATGTTTGACCTTTCATATTGATTTGGGATGATGATTCAGAGCCAACTAAGCTTTTCAGGTGGTTTGAAAGCACAAAGCAGCAATGTTTCTGTGCTGAAATCGAGCTGTTTTACTGCCTGTATTCCCAACTTTCTTTGGTGATGGACAATGAGATGGACAGTTGGAGTTCTATGGATAGGTTTGGTTGCCATAAAGAATCCTATGCCATTGGAATTGATCAGACAAAAATATATGATGAAACATGTAGAAACTGAAGGTAACACTGTGCCATTTATAAAATTTATAGTTGATTTTCCCATTAAACATGGTGATTTTCCATAGTTTTTTTGTATGTTTACAAGAGGTTAAACGTTTGACCCTGGGATTCAACGAGTTTGTTCATCGCAAAAATGATCAGGGCCATCGTTCTTACGAACTGCGCGCTTCCGGGTGGCCACTGTTAAGATGTTCGGTCTCAAGGTTGGCAATCCAAAAAGTATTCACATATATATATATATATAGTGTATATGGATATAGTACCAAAGAAAGATTATTCACATATTGTATAGTACCAAGAAAAGATAGAACACATATAGATTGAACTAAGAAAATATTACAACATATTATAGCCAATTGATGCCAATTGATCAGTTATATATATAACTAACTGGTTGGCAACTTGTTCCTAACTTGGGTGCATTTTAAGGGCCCACATGGGCCCACCATTCCAACCATTTCCCAGTCCATCCAGGAGTTCCCTGTAGTTCTTTTCACTTAAACCAATCCTTCATCAAGGGTAGTCCGCAGGTTCTCCTGGGCCGAAAATAGAACTATTTAGTTGTATCTACCATTCTTAACCATCATTCACCTGAGGATTATGGTTATTAACCATTGTTATCCATTACTTTTTGCAGGTTATTATTATGATCCATCATGAAAATCCATGAAATAACGGATCATAATAATTGTGGATTATAATGGATTATGATTCTTATTAACCATTATTATCGTCATGGTGATCATCGTCACTATTATTCCATTCATCACCATGACGATGACGGGTCAGGTTCTCCTGGGCCGAGATCTTCGAAGATCATCTGCAAACTCCGCGTCTTTCCAAACTCCGTCGCTGCTTCGGGGCGGCGGCCGAGGTGCGCTTCGCGCCGCGTGGCGCGGCGGCACAACGGAGAGCCGGTTCTTGGGTGATGCCCAGGGGTTCCAAGGATTGGCTTGGAAAAAACCGTGGAAAAATATAGAAATATGCTGAAAAGTATGGTTTAATCTAGTATACAGTAACCAATTCATTGGAAAATAGGGATGTAACCCCGGAATGAACGTGGGTTGTCTAACGCGATTTCCATGAGAAAATCATGATATCATGGGTGTTCTCTATTTTGGACAGCAGCCTCGCCACCAAGGAGAGTGTACCTTGCAAGATCGTTGTTTGCTGGCGATGAAACCACCCTTTCCAAGGAATTTGATGGCACACCACGATGACGACCCCAGGTTTTTTGCAGCCTTAGAGCAAGGACGGAGGGTCATGGCAGCCATGGCACGGAAATTTTCATGCATCGATTCGATGGTCCTCGAAAAAGTAGACAGCAATGAAAAAGAGCACATCCAGACATCAACAGTGGAGACAAAGACTAAATGTCGATATAATTATATTTCACATAATAAATGATTATATTTCAGATAATATGATTATATTTCTTATACATATATATATCAGATTATATTTCATATATATATATCACATTATTATATATATATGATTATATTCTATATATAATGTGTATTTTTAATATATATATATATACACATATTATTAAAGATAGTGAAGAAGCTTTGAAGTTGAGTGTGAATTGTCAATGTCAGCCTCGTGACGTTTGGTTTGGTTTTGCTTTGCAAATCTTCACATTGGGATCCATATTTTTCCAAACATGTCATAAGGTTTAGCGGAACCGGCAGTCCTACTTTTAGAAATGAAATTGGGTCCTCATGGGTTACATCAGCTCGTCTCCCAATTATAATAGTGGTTGTCACTCCTTTTTGGATATTTGGTGGATCATTCATGAACTCTCAGTGTATCTCAATGTTTATGGATGATGTTGGTGCGCGTCTGAAAACCCCCCAGTTTTGGCATTTCTTATGGCGCGAAAATGATTTGTGCAACCACAATGAATCAGTGGATTTAGAGTGTTGTTTTCAACTAATTTTCCAGACGAAGCCATACGGTGAAAACATGGTAATTATCATGGTTTTTATATGGGAAATCATCCCCAAATGGCCTTATTTCAGGTTAATATGGCCCACTAACCTGAAATAAGGCCATTTGGGGATGATTTCCCATATAAAAACAAGAATTATCATGGTAATTATCATGGTTATTACTATAATTTACCCAGAATTCTGGTATCATCCTACCATCATTGAAGATTCCCTGCGACCATGGCACACATGGCCAGTGCGAAACCACTTGAAGGAGCAGCGTTCAAAACCTGAAATGTCGTCCCTTTATGCTGGCTGGATTATCGTGGGATTATAATCATCCCCGATATCGTGGGTAGATGATTCATCGCCTATCATCAACCAACCATAATTTATCACTTGCTCTAGATATCTTATGATATCCCCCCTTGTTGATAGCTAAAATCCCTTGAATCATGGCATAGTAGTTCAAAAGCCAATAGATTGGGTAGTGTAATCCCTTACAATCATCAACCAACCATCATTGTCAGCTATCTCCACAAAAATATCATCTGATATCCCCATAGTTTCATGGTTGAAATCCCTTCGAAATGACGACCATCATCAACCATTTTTTAGAATCAATCAATTATAGATAGTTAAAACCCCATACCTATCTTTGATGGTTACATCCTATTAAAATCCCCGAACTCTCATCAACCATCATTTATCAACTCTATAGTTCTACAACTTATATCAATGGGAATTTCAGGATCCTAAAATGGAGGTACTGTACCATATAAGGCCATATAAATTGTGGGGATATTCCCTTACATGGCCTGAAACATAGGCCTAAAATATATGGTAGGTACCTCCATTTTTTCTCGGTTCCTGAGTCATGGCCATTGATTATATCCCCATATTGTGATGCTCGAAACCTCCAAAGCATGGTGAAGTTCGAGCCTCGCCGCTGTCAGGAGTCCAAGAATTGCTTTCAGCAGCTGGAGGGCCCATTGACTGTCGACCCAAGGGCTTGAAGTCAACGAAGTGCCTTGACTCACTGAGAGTCACTGAGAGTTATAACCAAGAGTCTCAAAATGGTGACTTAAGCATTACTTAAGCAACATTAGAAAAGATGGAGGTAGAATGAATATCATGGATCATAATCTGGATTATAATGACCTCACATCCTGACGTCACTGAAATGGTGATGAATGCGTAGGAGAATCATCCCGCAATGGCCTTGCTTCAACTATGTTCAGGCTAGTGAATCATTGTAATTCAGCCAGATGAAGTGGTTGTTGAAGATTTGCAGGATAAGATTGGATAAGTGGTTAATTAGAGCATATTAGAGCAATATGTTCCATTCACCGATAGTCTTAGCAATAAAATGCCAGTAATACAAACACATTGTACTTGAGGTGCAGTTTGGGTGATAAAGATTGGGAGAACCATGGATGGTGTTGTTTAATGTTTTTTATCCACAGAAGTTGGGATATGGGGCCCTATAACTATGACTATGACTAAGCACTTGAAAGTCAAACTATGCCAAGTAGAATCCTTTGGAAATAGTAGCAAATAGTTTGTTGTTCTATCTTTTCTGGGGTTACTATAGTCAGCAAAAATTGGCATTCAATGAAGAAAAGTATGGGTTTATTGAACCCCCTGGGGGTGATTGGGTTTTTCTATGTGATAAACCAATCACTGTGGAAAACGTACAGACGTGGGAAAAACTCGTCATCAGCAGCGCTGAAAAAAGCAACCATGAGTTTTCACGATGGCCATGGAGATTTAACGATGGACATGGAGGTGCAGTGGCAACCACACCATGGCCCCATGGCAAAAAACATGATTGGTTGATTAGCTGCTATTTTTCTATGGGGCTATGCAAAAAATGTTGTGAAACTTACCTGGTGCGTTGTGGGAGAAAATCGGCAAGCGTACTATGGTTACTATGGGATAAGTGGGGATGCACTACCACAAAGCAGTGGTATAAGATCCCATAATCATCCCATAATCAGTTTCGGCTTATACTACTGCCGTATTGGGAATTATATGTTGTTGACCCATGGTCCATGGTGGCCCCTTCCCAATTGCAAGAAACACCGGGATGACAGAAAGGGATACCTGGCACCGGTGAATCTCGGAGTGATCATAATGATCTTTCGATATGTCCTGGTTCCAGTTGCCTTGAGGTATGACTTTGACTACTCCGAGGATTAAGACCTAGACGCTCTCTCGGCGGAAGCCGTACGCCCTAGCCTCCAGCTGCAGGGCAAGACGTTGCAGCGAAAACGGCCACGGAGCGAATCTCTGCAAAGGGGCCACGCGCGAAGAGATGTGCAGTTTTCCTTTGCTCATCGCAGGAAGCGTTTCAAAGCCAACGCAGGTCAGATTTCCCCAGGTACCAGCCGTACAGCAATTCTGTCTCCAGTAAGATCAGTAAGGACTCCAGACCTCAATGGTCTCTGTGATAGCTGCATCGATTGGGTAAAAAGTGTTGTGACCGCAGGAGCGTTCACAGCTTCGATACCTGAAATTCACAAAAGCAGTTGATGGATTGCTTCGGACTCTGTCAACGGGATATACCCTTCTGTAATTAAACATAGCTACGGAAAATGGCCCATTTCGTTCGATGATTTACCCGCTGGTAAACTAACATACTGTAGCTATTGAAAATTGCCATTTATAGTGGATTTACCCATTGAAACTGGTGATTTTCCATACTTATGTTAGTTTACCAGAGGGTAGCTTTTAGACATGGTGATTTTCCACTTCGCAAACTGTGACAGTACCCGAGGGCAGATTCTCTGATTTCTTTCCAAATCATCGTAATCTGAGCACGATGGGATCCATAAAGGTCCAACCAGGGGAGATAGACTGGAACCACTTGGTGAACCACATCCCACGGCTTAAGTTCGATGCCAAAAACTGGGATTTTGTGGATTGGTTGTTGCACTTAATGTATGGCTTCACATAGCTTCCACACTATGGACGATAGCTAGGAATCCCGCCCCCACTGTCTCCCTACAATCTTGGGAGAGTTTGGTTTTAAGTAGTGACCCTATCTTATCCCTTTTTTGCTTCTTGGCATTCGTTGGTTTCTTATTAATGCTCATATCCAGCTCATCTCATCAAAATATATACCATTTGAATCCATTTGACTCATTTGACGCTTCATGGATGATAATTACCAGCTGATTTCATCAATTGTGACCCCTCATGGATGCCAATGTAAGGCGCGAATTCCATCAAACCACCCCCCTGTTGAAGGCCCCAATGCAGTCAATTTCAACCAACTTGAATCTCAGAGGAGCTTACATGCACCTTCTAGAAACGATTCCTCAGAAGATGAGTAAAGGTTTATGAATTTCAGGGTAATTCACTCACATGCAGAAGAAAACTTGGAAAAGTCAGATGAGTCTTCCTTAGAAGATGCCGAAAATAAAAACTTGTAAAAACCTTGGTGACAAAAATGGTCAGTGTAATTCTGTGGTGGACATTGCCTGGTCTCACCGTCGCAGCGAAGAATTCAGCAACAAACATGGCAGCCAAACATGCGAAAATCATTCGAACTATGACCTACCCTCTGGTAAACTAACAGTTTGCTATGGAAAATCACAATTTTTACTAGGTAGATCAACTATAACTGTGCCAATTTCCATCGTTTGTTGTAGGTTTACCAGGCCGGGTAGATTGATTCCTCTCAGACCGAGTTATCTGAGTTACATGTGAAGCATCGCTGCGGGAAGCACAAGGGCCATGATGGCACCATTACCAGATTCATAGGATTTTCGAATTGCATCATTCAGCCGTTGAATGCAAGATGTTATGAGCAATAAATATATTTATGTGTATTATATATCCACACTTCTCGGTCTAATAAAGTTGAATGGTGCAGTCGTGACCACGTTTTCTGATTGATTCAGTACTTGATGGTTGGTCTCATGCTTCACTCGCTTCCGCTATCATAACCTTGAGATTTTCATCATGGTAAAACGACTGTGACTCCACAAAACAGCAGCCGAAAAGCCAATGAGCAGCAGTGTTTCAGGCCACAGCCTGTTGATTGATAACTCTTCAGCCAGGATGAAATGGTCAACTAAAAAAAGCCTATACACATCACCATCAAAAAAATGGTGCTCCTATGAAATCACCAGTGCCATGAAAATTCATCCCATGACATCATGAAATTCCCAGTGCAATTCCATCAACTGAAAAAGGCCACAAAAAATCCCGACAAGTCTGAGAGGTTGATTTATCTCTAGTTATACCCATTGAATATAGGCTATCCATGGCTATCCCATCTTTAAATGGGATTTTAAGGATGGGATATATGGCTAAAACCCCATGAAATCCCATGATCGATCTCTCGAACTCACCGATTGCCTCATTCGCCGGTGCCTCGCCATGAGTCGCGCCTCCTCCTCCAGCGCCTCCGTCTCTCGCAGCGCGAGTCGTCGAAGCCGGAGCCGACCAAGGCGTCGTTTGAAACGCCGTTCTGAACGAGATTGATCTAGAACTATAGGTATATACCTTTAGATAAACCATAATAGATATACCTATGATATAGATAAACCTATAGTTTACCTATGAATATCATTACAGAAACTATATACCTATAGATAAACCTATGGTTTACCTATGATATCTATTATGGTTTATCTATAGGTATATAGTTTCTATAGGTATATCTGATATTATCTTTACGTATATCTATGGTATATCATGCTATATCAATATGGTATACAACTATATATGGTCATGTTTTAATAGGTATATCATGGTATATCTATTTATATATCTATTACCCACACTAAACACGATTCGCATGATTAATCAATACTTATGAATCATATGAATCAGCAAGAAGGTAAAACTGCCAGTTAACTTTGGAGTATATTCCGTGTCCAAATAAACCAAAGTGGTGGATTGAATTGGTCTCTAGTGGACTGCTTAAGAATCTTAGGTGTACCGTTAACTATGCCGATACCGTTCTAATATAGTGTTTTGCCCTAGTTAATTAATCCCTTTTTATATATATATTGTGTATATATATATATTATAGATATGTATATAAATATACACCCTGCAGAAATCCTTCTTCGAAAAGTTGAACCGCGTACTTTTCGTCTAAATGGGGAAGGGATTACCAGAGGATCTCCTTCCATGCACTTCTAATTATGCTGTGGGTATCTTTGGGCGTCCTCAAGGACCCACATAAAGGCGACCCAAACAATAAGAGTTTATCCAGTGTTGATAAACCACCAGCAACCCCTAAGTCACTGAGTCACTAAGTCACTAAGTCAGTGGCGAACCAAACCACCAGCTATTCTTCCCAGGGATTTTTCTGTGGGATTTGAGGCATGATCGGCCCATTTGCTTCAAGATGGAGCAGCGCTTTAGAGCCTTAAAGTTTGGGCCTCAAGCCGCTGCGTTCCCAAAGTCCCATCTGATGTACAACCCAGGTTGATTTCATTGCTGGGTTTCAACGGTCCCATTTGTTTGGGATATTACAAAGATGTACCCGCAAAAAAATGGACCGTGAAACATTTCCGAGACAATAGTACCAGCAATGGTTCTACATCTCATCTTGTGGTATCACATGGTGTATGCTGGCGGGTATGGCTCATGATGCTGCATCCACACATATCCAAACAACAAAAATCAAAAAGACAGAACAATCATGTGCCACTATTTTTGCAATTTTAGTATAGTATCTATTGTCCTATCTTTTTTGGGGTGCTATAGTCCTTTGCCTTCCCACATGCTTCCATCTCTTCTCCTCAGGCTGTGTAACCTGAAGATGGGATATGCCGTACACCCTGTTTTTTTTTGTTTTTTCTTTTTTTTAATGAAGATTGATGTTGATGTTGTTGTTGATGATGATGAGGATGTTATTGATGATTGATGATGATTGATGATTGACGATGATTGATGATTGATGATGATTGATGATGAATGATGGTGATTGATGATGATTAATGATGATTGATGATGATTGATGATGATTGATGATGATCGATGATGATTGATGATTATTGATGATTATTGATGATGAGTGGTGATGATTGGTGATGATTGGTGATGATTGGTGATGATTGATGCTGATTGATGATGATTGATGATGATTGATGATGATTGATGATGATTGATGATGATTGTTGATGATTGATGATTATTGATGATGAGTGGTGATGATTGATGATGATTGGTGATGATTGGTGATGATTGATGCTGATTGATGATGATTGATGATGATTGATGATGATTGATGATGATTGATGGTGATTGATGGTTGATGATGTTGATGATGTTGATGATGATGATGATACCCATCAAATGTTGGGTATCCAAATATGAAAGTTGGAGATACCCATATGGTATGGTAGTCATACTGTTGATCCAGTTCAAAATGCGCTTGGCCAAACATACCCATATATCATATGTGTCGTGATCAAAAGTTAGATTGTATACATTTTGGGGGGATGGTCATCAATTCATTTTCATAGGGATTTGTTCACCCAATTATGAGGATTCCCATTATGGATTATCTTAAACAGTATCCATGGTTTGGCAATATATATATATATAGATATACACACCCATATATATATAATTACATATATATATATAATTACATATATATATATATATACCCATATATATATATATACACACCGATTACGAGACTTTAAACACCACCGACCTGGTCCAAAAAGCTGCAGAGGTTTGCGGAGATCCGAGACTCCCTGCGAGCTGCCTGGGGGTCCCAGTACAGAAGTTTCAGCTCTGCAAAGGAGGACTGACCGATGCTGAGGCCCAGATTCGAGCGCAGACATGTTGATAGTTTTCATGAAACCAAAAATTCACTATGTTTCATGTTTTTTTCCTTGTTTCTTCTCCATGTTTGTGAAACACGGTGTGTCAGATGTTCCATGGTACCTGCTTGGTCTTGCCGATGTTTTCGGGCGCCCAGGCGCTGAGAGCAAGAGCCACGGGCATGGCAGAGATCTCCTACTCCAAACAGGTGGACATTTTTCTGTGGTGCATTTTTTCAGGGTGATTTAGTAAAACACCATGGAACATTTGGAAGTCCCAGATTTTTTTGATTGTTTGATGTTGTTTGATATGTTGCAAGAAACATTTTGTGGTTCCTGGCAGGTCATTTTTTATGAACCAAGGGGCAGGAATTTCAATCAAGAACACAACTGGCCATGGAGGAACTAAGCTTTGGGTGAAAAGATGCCTATTGGACATAATTGGGCATATATTTATAATTATATATATATACCATCTGGACCATCTATGTTAAACCATCTATAAATGGACCATTTTCCATGGTTATGTTAAATAACCAGAGGGTATATATAATATGAGGAGAGAAAGAGTCGCCTACGGTAAATTTTGTTCAAACATTGACACTCCTCTCCCCTCAGGATGCTGCCATGATGCTGGGGTCTGAATGCTCAAGGGTATGACCATCTCTTAATCTGGATTAATATTAATCATTATTAATCCATGTTAATTTGATGGAATTATTTGGAAGTAAAAAAAAATGGAATATATATATATATATAGTAATCCATATTAATATAGTTCGTATTTGGAATCGACTCCATTAAAAAAATCCCTACTTTTGACACCGCGAATTGTCAGGATTGTAAACTCACTCCTCCTGATGGATCTTGGTTGGCAGCTCAGCTGGAGCTGCTTGGAGCGGAGCATAAAAAAACCATACCTCCGGCGACCTTTGCATGACATGAAGGGTACACGAATTTGACCCAAGTCCCGAATGAAATCCCTGGAATGAAATGTGTTGCATTCTCAACCGTGGTTGATTCTCTCCTCAATTTATGTGATATTTATGTGATATTCTAATCCCCAGTTACCCAGTTATATGGAATTGGATATCAAGATCTTGATTAATCCCCACCCATCCTTTGGTCTTCATCCATCCACATAGAATTTGGGGATTCAGCCAATTCCAGAAGAAAAAACCTCATCCAACAAATCAATCCTTTGGAAGGTCATCCCTATCAAATTCTTTCAATTTTCCCATCTTTCTCATCAATCAATGGATTGGTTTAAGGGAAAATCTACAGGAAACCATCGATTTTTCGATTAAATATGGGCGTTGCCCTGTAAAAATTTCCTTAAACCAATCCATTGAATCAAATCTCACATGTTTTTTTGTCACCTTTTGTCACCTCAGCCAGGCCTCGTTCACCGGAGGACGGCGACGGTCGAAGACCAAGAGATGGCTCGCCAGAAAGTGAGGAGAATTGCCCTACTGAACAACTTTCATGGAGCACAAGAAATGAGCAGTTTGCTTTAGATGATTTTGTGAAATTTGTGAAATTTGTGAAATTAGATTTTCTATATAGATGTTTCAAGCTTTTACGTTAGTTTCCTGGCTGATGTTGCCCTGTTGATTTGCTGGCATCCCTGAGAAATGATATATGGAGATTTATCGAGATCTTTTCCCTATGGGAGAAGTTTTGGATGGTGCTCAACCAGCCTTAATTGGGTGGGCATCATCAACTTGTGTCACATGGTGGGACCCAGTTGCCCCAGCCCTATGCAGCCAATGGCACTTCCCCCGTGTCAATGACAAATTGCCAACATCACTATATGCATTGATTCAACACATTCAAGGGAAAACATGTGGGAAATCTCGCATGAAACCATTTTTGGAGTCTGCGCCTTATTGGTTTTTAGTTGTCGATGGTGAGTTGTGGCCTTAGGTCCAGAGGAGGCTCATGCCGCTGGAATGGGGCCGATAGGGTTGGCAAAAACTGCAATCAGTCCCGGCAGGGGTCAAACTTGGGTTTCCAAGGCTGATTTTTTAGAGACCAGAAACATGATGACCAAAATTTACCAAAAGATAAACATTACATATAGATACTGATACCCCAAAGAAGTGGATGTTTCATGATGATCAATCGTCCATATATTTGTAGTGCCTTGGGGCCTTGAATTCTTGCCCCGGTGCCCGTGTTCCAGGATGCTTTGAAAGGGAGTGAAGGTGAAGCAGGCCGTGTCACCGGCGAAATCACACACCATTTTGGGTCGTTTCGTGTGTGACCATCCAGCTTTTGGGGATATAGAATTTGGACACAGCATTTTTTCAGGAAGAGAATCACCCCAAGAGTCAGAGGAGGGTAACGAATCCTACTATGATAGGAGTCTGAGATTCAATATACTCTCTGTGATGTGGTTGGTGAGCAATTCTATGTTCTTCACAGCAGAAATCAATGGTGATTCACTGAGATCATTGGCTATGATTTGGCTATGTGTGGCTCATGAAAAAAGGCTTGTTTCTTACAAATTCGGCACCTACTTTTCATGTGGGAATCGTTGCGGACTGGAGATAATGGGGTGTAACACAGACGCGTGGAATGACTTGGAGATACTGGGGTGTAGCACCAGGAGCACAGACTAAATACAGAAAAATCAGAAAAGGATAGAAGCATGGTTCCAACATTCGGCGTTAACTAATTTCCTCTGATTTAAATTCTCGGAATCAAGCGCAAACTTGCCATGGACACGACTGGCATGGAATGATGATAACATAGGCCATCAAATGATAACATGAGCCAAATCGATTCCAGGGTGGGTCAACCGCACACATCCTTTGTGTTGATTACATCCATGCATCCTTGTCGATTTGTGGATTCGGGTCAAATCGCTTGATGAAATCCCTGCTTGATCTGCATGTTTTTTTTTAGCCTATTCTCCCACGTTTCATTGGTGCTGGCGATATCTCATTTTTGTTTGGTTGAATCATGTTCGAGCGCAATGTACAGTGACTATTGTTTCTTTTTATATGTTTCTTTCAATAAATCATCATTCAAAATTTACATGCGAGTTTACCTGTTGATCGAACGCATGTTTCACGTTGGATTGCTTCCCTTGCTACTTCCACGGTTCATGATGAAGCCAGGGCCACATGCAGAGGCTTGGTCCGGTGGCTATCCCCCATAGCGGCCATAGCGCAACCTCTGGGAAACCTCATCAAACAATGCTCAGAAGATGATTTTATAATTGTTCCTATTCCGAACAGCCCCTAGATTTCTTGCGTCAAAATTGGGTGCCTGAGTTTGCAAATCTCAGATTTTCTCATTTTTTTCTTTGCATTATGCCACGTGGTTATAAAACATGACCAACCAAAAGCATCCATTTTGGGCCGCGGAAATGCGAACGGTCTGACCCACACTGGAATGATCGTTAACGGTCGTTTTTAAATGCCAGGCATCCATTTTTAATCTCTATCCATAAAGCCATATGATATCATGGTTACCTTGAGGACTATCCTGAATCCTCCTCCTCCTGGCTCCTCATTGGACGAAAGGCAAAAAGACAGGAACAACATGGAACAACCTATATGATCCTATATGTTGATTTAAAAACCATGGTTTCCAACTTAAAATCTTCCCTGAAATCTGTCCATTGACTCCATATAGATATATAGTGTTCATGTACTTTTTCTATTTTTTTCTCCAATCCAATTACATTCACCATGTTTATCCATTTTCATGGTGATTTTTCATGGTGAAAATCCCATGAAAACTTCCTGCAATCGTCGCAGTTCCTGGTGCTTAGAGCCTTGGGTGGTGCCAGCAGCGAACAGATCACTCAGCTGTCAGGGGAACCCAGTGAATGGAGCTGTGAGCTATGTGTCTCAATAATCCCTACCAAAAAACAACAAACGGGGAGCTAAACCCAGGAGCTACGACTTGACTTTCCCAACCACGTGATAGTTTTTGTGTGTATTGGATGTTGGAAATGTATGGAAATGTATGGAAATGTCAAGGGTGGTAACCAGTGGTAGCATGACAGAATCTGCCTATGTTCATGGTGAACTCATGATGGTGGACTCCTCATTGATGGTGAAATTCATGGCCAAGTCTCAGCTTCAGGCTTCGCCAGCTCGCCGTTTCCATGGCAAACTTCCAATGTTAGCATCTCATGTTTGATGGCAAAATGGCAAAAATACAATTTCATACAAGTTCTCCGTGTGTACTCCGGTTGTTTCATTATGTGTCTTGTTGAAATCCACATAAAAACTTTGGTGAAATACCAATCAAAGTTGTTGAAATCACCCATGCCTTGACAGTAAATGGACATCTACTGTGAAAGTTTCATAGAAACTCACGTTAGTCCAAAAAAGTATACGGTAACGACATTTAAATATGTGGAGGCCGAGCGAGACCGCTACGCCGCGATTTGCCCCGGAGGTAGTATGAAACACCAGTTCCGTCCGTATATTTTTCCATGTAGGTGTAAACAAATTGGATTCCTCAACATGTGATAACCCTAACTGCACCCCCAAGTATCACTTCAGAACCAGTTCTAGTTCGCATTTGGAGGTTTCCTTTCAGATGGTATGTTTCGGTGGCGCCAAGGAAAACCGGGTAAAACCGGGTCGCCATTTTTTCAGAGGTGCCGACGGCTGCTGGAGCAGGACTATGCCATGGTCTTCTTGTCCTCCAAGGATCCAACGGCCCTGTCGTCCTGGCGTCTTTTTTGCGCTGGGAGAATCAGAGATATCCGCCAGCAATGATCCATAGTGATCCATAAAAGGTGGTTTTTACCATGTTTAAAACCCAGAGTGATTCATAAAAGCTTGTGTTTTTACCATAAAACCTAGGGGTTTTACTAGACTGATCCATCAATGGTTGGTTTTAGCATGTTTAAAACCTGCAATTTTATGCAGACTATAGATGATATATGACTATATCAGTTAAACTTCCTCGGTATCCATGGGACAATCATGGGACAATTAGATCTATAAATGGGGATAGCATGGGGATATAACCACATTATGATATGGTGCTTCACGCTGGTTCGGAAAATATCTGGATGACTTCACCTCACGTTCTCACAGGAATGATGGTGAATGTATAGGAATTTTATCCCAATATAGTCTCATTACAGGTTAGTGAAACATTCATAATGTACCCCAAGTATGATGTAGTTATAGAATGTTATAGAAAAGACATACTCTTCTTTCCATGTTTGTCGTCCTCCTCAATCCAAGGATCATCGTTGGGGTCATTTGGCCTGTCTTGCCATTTCTTGTGATTTTCCCATGCGTGAGACTTGACTGTGTATCTTCTGCAAGTAAGACATGTCTTGACTATGTCTGGTCTGCGAATGTATTCATGCTCTCTGTTTGAGCAATTTTGCCCGCCCAAGTTTCCCTTCGTTCTTTGGTTGAAGTTAATGGTTTGTTGCACAATTGAATCCGATCGCCCAGCAGACCACTGAATGAAGATCATGTAGACCTTGTTTGCATCTCCGTACAAATTTGGGGCCCCGGATTGCATTTTGGGGCCCTGATTTGGGTCATATTTTGGTCCCTGTTTCGGGTTCCATTTTTGGGCACCGTTTTGGGCCTCTACAATTACAAACAAAATCCAGGGCCCCAAAACCGCGCCCAAAAATGGAACCCGAAACAAGGACCAAAATATGACCCAAATCAGGCCCCAAAATGCAATCCGGGGCCCCAAATTTGCACGGAGACGCAAACAAGGACGTGTAGAGATGATCTTCATTCAGCGGTCGGTCTGCTTGACGATCTTATTTTTAGAAATCTTGCCCCACCTTGGATGGTTGAAACCCTATAGATGTTCACTGTTCTTCCATTCACTGTCTATATATATATATATTTATGTATATATATATATATATCATTATATATTATAATCTATATTTATCTAATACATACATGCAGTTAAGATTATTAGCATTTAAGATTATTATATAGATATGTTTTAACAAAATGTATTCAAATAAATATAGACATATGTCTAGTAGACATATTTGGGCACTGGATGCGGCAATACACAAGACCGCATAGGGGTAATTGGGTGGTTCCATCCCCCCAAATAGAATAGAATAGATATCCAAGCAAAAAGGACCCGAAAAACGAATGAACCATGCGCAGAATGGACAGGTTCAGCACAAAATCAGAGTTTCTCGTGCTGTACTTGTTGACAATAGTTGATTCATATCCTAGGGACAAGAGAACTCGCATCGGGAGCTGCTTACCTGAGTTGAAGGGATGTTATTTCCACTGTGATTTCCACTGTGAATTAGATGGATACCCTCTGGTAATTTAACATAGCTATTGAACATGGCCATAGAAATAGTGGATTTACCCATCAAAAATGGTGATTTTCTATAGCTATTTTATAGTTTACCAGAGGGTACCTATTGAATTTGACTCAGCAGCAGGTGTGTTGGCGGTAATTAGACGTCGACGTCTCTGACTCTCTATTTGTCTATATTTCTACGTAATCTATGTGCACGTGCATGTGATGTAAAAACAGGTGAGAATCAAAGACCCGGCTTTCCTTTTCAAAACATGGGTATTTTTGATTGGGCCTACATAATTCACACAATTTTGGCATCAATTTTGGCATTTTGATGCATTTTGATGCATTTTGATGCATTTTGATTTATTTTGATGCATTTTGATGCATTTCGGATCTTTAATTCCCATTCAAACACCATGAATCCCCATTAAACATCCATTAAAATACCATTCAACCACCATTTTTTACCCCCATTAAAATTACACCTTTTTCAGACGCCATGGAAAATCTACCGCCAGGTACATGGTGGGTTTCAGTAGCCAAAGCCAGCAGATCGCCGAAGTTCTGCTCCAAGAAGGGCACGGCATCCGTCCTGGAAATGAGGCGACGGGAGGTATCGGGATGACCAGGATGGGGCCCCCGGTGGTTTTTGCGTGAAGCGTTGGTGAACATAAGTGGCTGAAAAAACCCATGGTTTATGGTAGATATAACGAACTAGTATTTTTAATGGGGATTATTTCATGGTTTATAAACCAACGTTCACATCACTGGGGGACCCCATCCTGTGGGGAAATGGCAATTTTAATGCTTCAGATTCATTGCGAATCATTTGCGAATTTGGAAAAAACATAGATGAAAGCTGATTTTGGAGACTGAACTGGCCCACTTATATTCGTCCAGATGCCAAAATGAATCCGATATGTCTTTGAAAACGGAAATCCTATGCAGCTTCCGATCCATTCTCGCCAGCTTCCGATACGTTCAGGAATTTCTCATGGATCAAAGTGATTCGAGTTGATGATTCTCCATGATTCTGCATGATTCTGCATGATCTAAACAATAAACATGGCATCTCCATCTCCATCATATCATCATCATATGAAAATCATGTCATCATCAGCATCATCATCATCATCATCATCATCATAATCATACATAATATATATATATCCATATATAATCATATATATATAATTTGATTGACCCATGTAATGCTTATAACGTGAAAATCATATTCTGGGTTCCTGGGCGCTAATTCTGGGTTCCTGGGCGCTAATTCTATGTTCTTTCATGGTTCTGGAACTAAAGTGCTGTGGAAATAGAATTTGACTTTTGCAATGTCCAAGTTTGGGTTCCTTTGACCATAAGGGGTTCGGCTATCAGATTCTTAACCCAGAACCGCCCAGGATTGCCCAGGACTTCCCAGGACTACCCAGACACTGCCCAGGTACTACCCAGGAATCCTGGAACAGTTATGCTAAGCATTGCAGAATTATAATGCTTATCGTAAGTGTCACCGAAACGGTTTGGCGTCTATAATGCTTGGCGCAACTGTCAGGTCGATTCCTGGGCAGTACCTGGGTAGTAACTTCTGCCAGGATGTACTTCAACACTACCCAGGGATCATCTCCAAGTTGTGACATGCATTAGACCGCGCTAGTGAGCTATCCCAAGCACCAGATGTCCTACTTTTTTGATCTCCAGCCCCTGACCGTGCCACCCTCGCTGCCCCGCACCGTGCCCCGGATTTTTGCCATGTTATAAGCATTACGTGGGATAATCAATATATAATCATATATATATATATCCATATATTTATATATATATATATCCATATATATATATATATCCATATATATATATCCATATATATATATGTATATATATATATCCATATATAATCATATATATATAATCATATATATATATATATCCATATTTATATATATATCCATATATATATATCCATATATATATATATCCATATATATATATCCATATATATATATATCCATATATATATATATCCATATATATATATATATATATATCCATATATATATCCATATATATATATCCATATATATATATCCATGTATAATCATATATATATAATCATATATATATAATCATATATATATATATCCATATATATATATATATATATCCATATATATATATATATATCCATATATATATATCCATATATATATATAAATATATCCATATATATATATCCATATATATATATCCATATATATATATATATCAATATATCACCATATATCACCATATATCATCATAGCGTAGATTTCCAGCCTGGCCTTCACCGCCTTAGCCATTCCAGGTCTGTGGTGGGCCCGCTGCTACGGTTCTTGCAGCTGCACCTGGGCTGAAACTCCGGCAGATGTGATCGAAGAGATCCAAGACATCCATATCACTGCAGGGAAGTAAGAAAATCATGGAACATGTTGTATAGATAATATAATTTATTTGATTATATATATTATATTATATTATATTATATTATACATGTTATAGTATAGAGATCATAGTGAATCTTTTTGGAAAACTTGTCGAATAATCTTAAAAGCGAAGAGGACTCCGGTGTCCTCAAGCTTGGCTGGAAAATCCCACAGCATTCAAGCCATTTCAAGCCTCCGTGGCTAGTTGGGGATTTCCAATAGCTTTCCGATGGTTTCTCCGTATCATATGTTCATATATATATATATACATATATATATATGTTCCCATATGTTCCTGCATTTTCCGATAGTTTCTCCAAATTTATCCATAGATTCGTAAATGTTCTTCAAGTTTTCAATCTTGGTCCAGATTTTTCCCATATGTTTTCCATGAATTTTGGTGGCATTTCACCAGTGATGTTTTCCTCAGGCGGGCCTCAGCAGCTTGGGAGAGCTGCACCTTTCGGGGAGCTTCAAACCCCAAGACCTGGAGCGCTTTGCGGGCGCATGGGTCTGAGCCTTAGTGCCGTGGGGGTGGCTCTATATATAAATATTTGTGCATATATAATATGATTATATGATATATACAGGTATACATATTATTTATATGTATATATATTGCGTGTGTGAATATTATATATTATATATATTATTATTTATATATTATTTTATATTATATTATATATATATATTGTATTATATATTATATATAATCTGATATATATATTATATATATTATATATTATATATTATATATATTATATATAGATATTGTATATTATATATTATATATATATATATTATGTATATTATATTATATATATATATATTATATTATATATATTTTATAATATATATATTATATATTATTTATATTATATATATATATTATATTATATATTATATATTATATATATTATATTATATGTATTATATATATATATATGTACGTACATATACTGTAGAACCCGAAAAATAAAGATGCAGCAAATTCAATTCCATTTCAAGACAATAATCGTAAATTGAAGTGTTTCTGCATCTTTTTGGGGCCTTTGTAAGGCCAATGATTCGAAGCATTTGGCACGGCAGGAAGCACCATCAATCCGAAAGTCCCAATTGTGCAGGTTTAATGGCCCTCAACCTGAAAACATACGATTTTTTCTAACATCATTTGAGAGCTTTGTTTTGAGGTTTATCATGATTCGTCCAATTTACATTGCATTGGCTGTCAGGAAATGAGGTCCTATTCTCGGACAAAGAGGTGCTTTCCCATTCGTAGAACTTCAGAACGAACTTCAAAAATCTGGAGCTAAGGCGGAACTTGAGGACGGGCCGAAGAAAGGAAAGGGAAACCAGTTTAGCCACATTTTTTGGTAATGTCAACCCTGGATTAATAAACCCCTAGATTGTTTAATTGGGAGGGTACCATTTAAGTATCATATTATGACTATTGGAGGAGTACCCCCCTAATTAATAAATCATGGTTTATTAATCCGGGGTTGACATTATCACTGACTGGGAAAATACTGTGGTTCGATGGAAAATATCTGGATGACTTTGATTATGACCTCAAAATGATGGTGACGTCACTGGAATGATGGTGAATGTATTGGGGAATCACCCCATCATCCCCGAATGATTAAAAGTTTCAGTTATGTTCAGGGGTGTGAACTATTAAAGATTCAGCCAGACAGTATGGTTGCCATGTGGATTTATATGTTCAATGCTTGTCTAAGAGGATGATTACATAGTGACATACAGTGACTATCAGGCAACATTTTGTGATGCACGCGTCGAAGTGTGTCATGGAAAAACATGCGGTGACGGCGCCTGTAAGAGGCCGTGTTTTTATGCTCATTGCATTTGCACCGATGAAATCAATTGCTTCAAAAACCCAAGGTTTTTGCACATTCTGATTGAAGTCCATCATGAATCTAGAGAATAAAACACTGTAAGGCTGACCGAGGACATGCGTTTTTGGAACCCCTCGCAGCATTTTCATCACTTTTTTAACTCTTTGCCGGCGCGCCTGAAGTTTCAAGTGCTTTTTTTTCGGCACTCTTCTGCCACAGGTATTTGCGTAATGCATGATGAACATACTTACCTGAGAAACCTGTAATGAAACCATGTTCAAGTGACACATATGTGTGGAATTAAGCATTAGATGCATGTAGAAAACTACACCTTGGGTAAATATCTTTAAATCAAAGAAAGAACTTGCTAACACACCCCCAACAGCCCCCAGCAACCGCAACGTAGCATGACAAGAGTGCGCAAGTGCAAAAGAAGAGATTGTGAACGTAGCATCACGTAGTTGTATACCTTGAAGGGACCGTGCAGTAGCGTAGCATCACGTAGTTGTATAACTTGAAGAGAACGTGCAGTAGCGTAGCATCACGTAGTTGTATACCTTGAAGAGAACGTGCAGTAGCGTAGCATCACGTAGTTGTGTACCTTGAAGAGAACGTGCAGTAGCGTAGCATCACGTAGTTGTGTAAATTGAAGAGAACGTGCAGTAGCGTAGCATCACGTACGTGTGCAAGTCCAATGAACGTTAACATCCCCCCCACCCACCCACCCACCCCCCCACCCCAGTCAATGTAGCATCACGTAGTTGTATACCTTGAAGGGACCGTGCAGTAGCGTAGCATCACGTAGTTGTATACCTTGAAGAGAACGTGCAGTAGCGTAGCATCACGTAGTTGTATACCTTGAAGAGAACGTGCAGTAGCGTAGCATCACGTAGTTGTGTACCTTGAAGAGAACGTGCAGTAGCGTAGCATCACGTAGTTGTGTAAATTGAAGAGAACGTGCAGTAGCGTAGCATCACGTACGTGTGCAAGTCCAATGAACGTTAACATCCCCCCCACCCACCCACCCACCCCCCCACCCCAGTCAATGTAGCATCACGTAGTTGTATACCTTGAAGAGAACGTGCCCTAGCGTAGCATCACGTAGTTGTATACCTTGAAGAGAACGTGCAGTAGCGTAGCATCACGTAGTTGTATACCTTGAAGAGAACGTGCAGTAGCGTAGCATCACGTAAGTGTGCAAGTCCCATGAACGTTAACATCCCCCACCCCACCCCCCCACCCCACCCCCCCACCCCCCAACGAACCGTAAAAGACGAGACAGGAAAAATGACGTACGCGCACGGCCTCTTAGAGGCGCCGTCACCAAAAACATGCCCTATGTTCATCTCACAGCATCGCTATCAGTGGAGGTCACCTTTATAAATCTGCCAGCATCAAGTTTCAGACATGAAAGTATCCCTGTGCCAGGAAGAACTACGATAACCAAGATAACCAATCCATTTTCCCTACGAAAAATTATGCAACGCACACGTTTTTTCTATGCAATAGATTCATTTTGGGCCTAATTTGAGTGTGACCGCACGTTGGGATCATCTACAAACACCTGGATAGATTTGTTATGATGTTCTTCAACACCCAGTTTAATACATGTTTTCTATGTACAGGAATATATAATATATAATATATAATATAAAGTACAAAATATAAAATATATAATATATAATATATATAATATATTATATATAATATATAATAAAATATATCTATATATTATATGTTGTATATGATATATGATATATGACATATAATATATAATATATACTGTATAATATATAATATAATATATATATGTATAATATAATATAATATGCATATATATTTATATATGATATATGATATATGATATTATTAATATATTATATAATATATAATATATAATATTTAATATATAATATATAATATATAATAAAATATATCTATATATTATATGTTATATATGATATATGATATATGATATATTTTATAAAATATATAATATAATATATATACATATATATTTATATATGATATATGATATATGATATATGATATTTAATATATATATATATATTATTTTTAATATATAATATATAATATAATATATAATATATAATATATAATATATAATATATAATATATAATATATAATATATAATATATAATGTAATATATATATAGTATAATATATAATATATAATTATATTTGCTGTTGTTTTTCTGTTTTAGTTTGTTTAACATGATTTAAGCCTTGTAGTATGATCGGGCCCAGGAGAGTGCACCTGAGGCAGGTGAAGGAGGCGGGTCGGACCTTGGACCCGCGATGGCTGGCTCTGAAAAATTGCTCCAGTTTTCAACAATTCAAACGGAGAAATATAGATATAGAATGAATTAAGATGATTCAAACATAGAAAAACTATGTTAAACTATGGTTAATTAAACATAATTAAACTATATCTGATGGTTAAACATAGTTTAAACGTAGTTTAAACAGATCTGTTGATTAAGCTATGTTAAACTCTAATTGTTGAGAACCTGAGAACCTGACTCCGTTTCTCAGCCTCAGGTGATCGCGCGGAGAGCTTGCGTTTCATCCTGCAACGAGCGAGGTGCGCAAAAAATAAATGCGGCAACGGTTGCAGGTTGGTTAAAAAGCCAAGGGAAAATCACCATTGAATAGGTAGATCATTGCAGTAAATGGACCATTTTGCATAGCGATATATATAGATATATTAATGGAGAGTAAATGTTGTTCAGCCGGGAGCATATCAGAAGCCCAAGAATGGGAGACAAACGGGGATGGGGTACGAGTTGGGTAACCCCCCAAAAAAAAACCAGTTGATATGCAGCCATCTGACTATAGGACTATAGGTCTTCGTCTCATCTTGAGCCTGATGACTTACGTCCAGTCCAATGGTTTTGACGTTTTTTAGCTTAATGGGGTTCATGATTATACGGGAGTTTTTGGACCAAGGTTTATGGTTGCTATGCTACATATATATATATATTGCTATAATCAACCAGGGGGATTATTATCATTGGTGATTTGGCGGTTCATTTTGATTGATCGTGTTTGATACGACCTGTCATACCACTTGGTGAGCGATGAGGTTTATTTTAATTTGTTGGAACCTTCTGTTGTTTAGAGGGTGTCATTCAAGTCCCGTCACCTGCGCACTTCTCGGACACAATATCTAATTCCAAAGATAAACACAGAGTTTATTAATGTTTGTTAATACCAATACCACTACTACCCTTCATAGAGTATCAGTTGTGCGTCATCATTTTGTGCAATTTCAATTCAGATAGGTTTTGCAATCGCCCAGTTGTAAGTCATTGACATTGTATCAGCATGCATTATAGTAATTTATATTATATATATAAATCCATGTTTGAATCTGAAATCTCTAACAGTTAACATGTGTTAACATGAATATCAACTACAGATTTCTTTAATCCTCCGCAAAACCTGCGGCTAGGCGTCTTCGCTTCGTGAGTCGTCATGGCTTGTTCGCGGAGGCCGGGACCGGGGGACCGGTGAGCGTTGAGCCAGCATCCCAATTGGAAAGTCGTTGATGACTGTTGGGTCTTTAGCCTCTCAGGTGTATCCAAATGCCTGGGTTATATGAGCTATGGTCAATACTCATGGTTAATAACCATTAATAGGGGCTAGTCATCCAATGGTTCATAGGGATTTATAATAACCATTATAAGGATCCTTATTATGGATGGGATGACCATCAACCATATAGTGAGTATTGACCATGGCTCATATCATGTCATATCAGTTATATCCATGTTTATTACCCTCTAGTAACGTGGCTTGGAACATCCTATGTGTTAGGAACATGATCTACGCATAGACGTGTCACATCATGCCTTAATTGGATCATCCCAAAAACGGCGGCTGCAGAACCAGCGACAGGGCTACGTTATTTTGTTGACCCACTTTAGCTATATACACATACATATGATATTATATAGTTTGTTATATACTAGATTATATATTATATTATACAGTATACTATTATACTATATATATATAGTAAGTATAACACATATATATATATATACATTCATATATATACATATGTATATATATATATACTGGCTGGTGGTGTTTGAAGCATGACTATGTTCAACACTGGCCAGCATATTTGTCAGTGGTGTGGCTCAAACACCAGGCAGTGATTGGAAATGGTTACATGATATTATATGGTTTTGTTTGAAAATAGGGTAGGCCTAAATGCAATAGAACACATATGTACAAAAAACATCTAACCCATATAAACATTGGTAATCACAATGTTCCCTATGAAAATTGTCATTTAAGAAGGGCCCATCCTCCATTTTCAGACAGACCGATATATGCATCAGTCACTTTGTTTCTCATGGGTGATATATTAATTAATGCATATTCCCATTATATGATCAAATTTGACAAGTTAATGACCCACTTACCCTATGGTAAATAAACATAGACCTTGAAAATGATATATTTTTTTAGTGGAAACTAATCTTCCAACCCCCTTTTTTCCAGGGTCCAACTGTTAATTTACTGGAGGGTAAAATCATATGTCATGGCTTCTACACGGCTGGAAAATCCACTATTTAGATCATTTACCCTCTGGTTATGTCAAAATAGCTATGGAAAATCCACCATTTTTCATGGGAAAATCCACTATTTCGACTGGGCCATTTTCAATAGCAAACTGTTAGTCATTACCAGAGGGTAGTTTGATGTTCCCAGCTATAAATCTCTATTTGCTTCGGGGATTTTTTAGCCACGTTTGAGGACACTACAAGAGGGTTTTTTAAGATGAAATTTTCCCACTGAATCCATTAGAATTATCCCATTCACATATCCCATTAATCCATGACATCCCTATCAAGTCTCATTAAAACACCATTAATCCCCATGAAATCCTCATTAAAACACCATTAAAATACCATGAAATCCCATTGAAAGACCATCAAATCTCATTAAAGCACAATTAATCCCCATGAAATCCTGATTAAAACACCATTAAAATACCATGAAATCCCATTGAAACACCATCAAGTCTCATCAAAACACGATTAAATCCCATTAAAACACCATGAATCCCTATGAAAACACCATTTCTCCCAGGATTTTTCTCCCTCCAACATATCCCTAGGTGCATTTCCTGGGCGATCTGCGGTACCGGGCGGTGGCGGGCTCCTTTACCTTCCGGGACGGAACTGGGTCAGTGGTCATGTTTTTTCATGCGGATTTCATGTGGATTTGAACGATAATTTTTGGCAAAATATGTGTCATCACTTGGGGATTGAAAAATGGGGATTTATTCTTTACACATCTTGGATTTGTCAGTGGCTAAATGATGCTAAATGGGTTTGCCACCATGTGCAGCCAATTGCAGCCCCTGGAGTCCCAGGAGGAGAAGTGCTGGGCGGATACCACCGAGGTCGAAACGAGAGAACTGGGAGCTGGAAATCTGAAGCGGCCTGGAAAATCCAATATTTGTAATGTGGGAGAACTAATAAGAAACTATATATATATATAATTATATATATATATGGCTCGACATCGACCTACAAACCTACATATATATATATTGTTTAAGTTTAATTGTTTTCTGGGTTTTGGGGTGGATTGCATTGGGCTACCACACTAGACGATTGAATTATGGAGAATTCTGATTTTCCACTTCCATGTTGGATTGGCCACCTAACAAGGCAATGGCACCAGCAAAATATATGGTGATTCCAGTGATAAATGTTTGGATAATAGAACCAATAACAGATTGATTTGAGCACTCAATAACGGTTTTTCAGATTTGTTGGAAAGTCTGAACGTTCAACAATTCTGACATTATAATGAGTTTAAATACATCATATTTTACCCAGTATATTTATCATATCATAGAATTGGATGATGGGAAAATTGAAACCGGAAACCCCGATCAATTTGATGGTAAAAACATCGTTTCCTGTAGATTTTCCCTTAAACCAATCCATTGATCATCGCAGAGACAACATCCACCCCACCCCAAAATCCAGTTCCCATCCGCAGGCATCCGCGGGCGTCAAAGTGAGCGCCGTGCGGAGGATCGCAGCTGATGCCCCAGAGGGCTGCCATGGGGTTGAATCAAAATTGGGAACCTGTATACATAATATATATATATATACATATGATATCATTATACTTAATGTAATCTAATATATTCAATGTATATATATATATAGTCTAACATATAAGTGTGTATATATATATATGATGTAAGGTAACTGTTACAATCAATCATAAGATGGCCTTGGAACTGCTCGGATCATGGGACACTTAATTTTGCTGCTCCATCCACTCCATGCTGTGCAGCTTAAGGGACGCGTATCGTGGTGTAGCATAGATGGGAGCATATCCCATGACGGATCCATGGTGCTGGTATATATACTAATATAAAGGGGGTATATTGATGGGATCCATGTTACCATATATAGCAGCACCATGGATCCTATGGGTATGGGATCAAGATATGATATAGCATGAATATCATGAACTAGCGCATGATTATGAGGGAAGCCTGGTATAAACCAGCTTATCCATGGAGATTGTGGCCCACGAACAAGTCGGATATTATATGATATACCCCACAACCGGATGTGTCACATCCTCGACATCCGGATACAAAAGCTGCGCCGGAGCGCGCACGTGGGTATCCTCCAGTAGACTAACATTGCCATGGAATATGGCCATGTTTTAAACATGTTTCAACATGTTTCAACATGGTACATCATTTGCAAATGGGTCATTTTCCATGGCTATGTGTCATTACCGGAGGGTAAATCCTCTATAAATTGGGGGATTTTCCATTGTCAGGTTGTAATACCAGAGGGTTTGGCTAGTTCCCAAGGGGTTAGCTTGCAGGACCAGTCCACGGACACGGTTTTTTCTTTTTTGACACATTTATTTGCAAAGAAGGAATTAATGTTTTATCCTCTGGTAAATCAACATTGACCCTGCCAAATAGGGGTTGGAAGATTAGTTTCTACTAAAAATGGGTTCTTTTCAGGGTCTATGTTAATTTACCAGAGGGTACTTAGAAAGGATGTCCATTGGATTCAATGGGTATCTATTGGTTTAACATCACCAAAAGGATTATCAAAGTTGTAGACTAGCTGGCAGCTGTGGTGCCATGAATTTTCTTTCTGCAACCCCGACTTCTGAAAGTCATCCTGAATGTCTATCAAAATATTTTACGAGGGTTGTTTCACCGTCACATCTATTATAAGTATTACATGTTATCTATATTTAAACAGTTTCAAAACCTCAGTTGACTGATAATTTCTTATACCGTATACCCCAATATCACCCCACGCACTCCTGATTTTTATAATCTATTATTGTAGTCTCCATGGACCAAACATCATACGGGATTTTCCAACAAGTTTTGACACTGTGAGTTCACTATGTTTATTTGTAGTATTTCAAGAGGCGTCACCATTACCTGTCGAATCTATAGTTATATAATGTTATATATATACAGGTATTTGTATCTAATTACATATATCAGCTACTGTATATAGATACATCTTGTGGTCATGTTCAAAATCTCCTTATCCCAAAACTCCTTATCCGTCCCCATGGCGAGCAGAGAACCGTCAGGTGGATACAGAGCCCATGCGGGCACCTTCAGATTGCCATCAGCCTGTGTCTGAAGTTGGGCCGCCCAGTAGCCTCTGGATATGGCCAGAACATATTGAGAATTACCCATGGGATCCCATGGTTTATCCATGTTTATCCATTAACCATGGCCGTGTTCCATTTTTTTTACACGGCTATTGCTTGCAGTGTTGGTTCCGGATGATGTGTCAAGTTTGCTGTTTCTTAAGCATGGAAACCATTGCAAACAAGAATCTGTCATTTAATGGTCGAGTTTCGGAGGGGCACCTGGTTTTGGTGGTTTGAAACACACTGGAGTGTTACGTAAAATACATGTTTTGCAGTGTTTTAATTGGGACCCTGTCATGAGAACTTTGTCCTGAGCAAATCCCTCAGTGACGCAAGGCTGTGCAAGGGTTTGGCGTAAGCTTATCACCAATTTCTTGCCGTGTAAGCTAGGACTGTGTCCGCATTGCTCACACACGTAAGAGAAGGTGAAAGCCAATCCATGCGACATGGCAAAGATAGTTTTTTGGGCCGCGAATCTCCATTTTTTTTAAACAAAAAAGTCTCTAGGTCTCCATGTCATCTCATGCTTTTCCTGGAGGTCTGTGACGATGAGCTGCACGATGTCACAGAAGGAGACTGCCAAGATTGATAGTCCCTGTTGATATCTTTTGATCCATTTTGCATTTTTTTTGCTGGGATCAAATCAAACATGTGATTTTGGGTATATTTAAGGGGTTTCCTTTGGTTTTTTACAATGCCATAAACCATCCATAACCATCATGGGTGGTAAACATGGCATTGTTTCACCGTACCCACGGTTTCAAGGTGGCGACCTTGAGACGGGCCTTATGTGACCACCAAGTGACAGGAAATGGATGGACATGGCCTCAAATAGAGGATGAATGCAACTCTAGTCATCCTGAAGTAGATAGAATACGTAATTTCCATATTCTATCTACTTCAGGATTAATATATATATACATAATTAAGATAGATAGATAGATCGATCGATCGATCGATAGATAGATAGATAGATAGATATCGAATGTGCTATAGACAGTAACCTGGGCGCATGTTTCAACAGTCTTCTCAGCTGCCACATAGAGAAAAAGACTGAGTCTTTCATATGAGCGGAAGATTCACATCAGGAAGAGGATCAGATTCCTAATACCTCGAAGAACCTGCAGAAGACTGCTGAGAAGATGATGTTTTCGTTGAAAAGTGCAGATTTCCACTCCATGATCGTTTGAAATTTAATTTAAGGCTGTAAGTGAAACTCAGCATGCAAATCATCAATTCTGTCGCTTGCGGACCTTCTTCCTTTTTCCATCATTAGCACCCTCTAGCAATCAAACATGGAAACTTGGACGATTTCCATTTGTCGATGATTCACATTGATTAAGCTTTTGAAAATATATACTCAAGTCCATATACATATATAAATATATATACATATACACATACATATATATATATAGGTACATATATATATATATATACAGTAATATATATATATACATACTGTATATATATATATTACTGTATATATATATACATATATACATACTGTATATATATATATATGTTCATACTGTATATACATATATATATATATATTCATACTGTATATATATATATATTCATACTGTATATATATATACATACTGTATATATATATATTACTGTATATATATATATACATATATACATACTGTGTATATATATATATATATTCATACTGTATATATACATATATATATATATTCATACTGTATATATATATATATTCATACTGTATATATATATATATATTCATACTGTATATATATATATATATTCATACTGTATATATATATATACATACTGTATATATATATATATTCATAATGTATATATATATATTCATACTGTTTATATCTATACATATATATATACATACTGTATATATATATTTATTCATACTGTATTTATATATATATATATACATACTGTATATATATATATTCATACTGTATTTATATATATGTATATACATGCTGTATATATATATATATATTCATACTGTATACATATATATATACATATATATATACACATACTGTGTATATATATTTATTTTCATACTGTATATTTATATGCATATATATATATATATACATATATATATATATACATATATACATACTGTATATATATATTCATACTGTATATATATATATACATACCATGAACTGTATATATATATATATATTCATACTGTATATATATATATATATATATTCATACTGTATATATATATATATATGTATCACAAACAGGAATATGTTTCCAGGGCCAGCTTTGTTCCCTTTTCGGTGAGGAGTTTCTTGGCGTCGCATCGCCAATCCCACGGAGACGCCCATCGCGGCGGCCGAGTTGTTGATGGAACAGGCGTTCCCCAGCGGTCCGCAATGGGAAAGGGCCGGGTTAAACCGTGAAAACCATGGGAAAATGGCGATGGAACCACGAAAAAGGGCCGGATTTCATGGGTTTTCATGGGATTTCCAGCTGATTTATAGTTTATGAATATTTATGAATGATGATTAATATTAGCATAATACACTAACACTTGCAGTGATTCATTGGTGATTAATGGTGATTAATGGTGATTAATCTGGACTGTCCCTAAAAGATACTAGATAGCTAAGTTGACTTATAAATTGATTAATCATTGTTTATTGGAGATATAACATGGTATAATTATTGTTCATGGCTTTATAAACCAACAGACATAACTGAGCTATTGAAAAAAATGGTTGATTGGTCAAGAACTATGGACTTTAACTTATACTAGCTAATTTATGATACCCCATAGTAGAGAACTGGGAACTTGTTCAACCAACAAATGTATCATGGCATGGGATAGGGCTATTAAATGCTATTAATGTCTCAAATGGTGGTCACTTGGTCACTGGTTAACACATTTTTTGGATCATCCATGATCATCCCACTGAGTGACTGTTTTGTAACCCAGCTATATATGGGGGTAAAGTATAACGACCTCACTGCGACCTCACTGGAAATCATAGTTAGTAAGGGAAATCATCCCCAAATGGCCTTAATTCAGGTTTGTGAAATATTACAATTTACCCAGATATTTGTAACCCAGCTATATATGTGGGGTAAACTCACTGGGGGGACTTACAAAAGCGTTACTAGCGTTACTGCTCATGAACCAGTTACTAAGTCAGATGGTCATTGGTCGGTACTGGTAACCAGCTGTGACCTACTGGGCCATGAATTGGGGGATATATTCGGAACCAATTTCCATGTATTTGGGGATATTTTGATGGGGAATTATGTATTTGAGACCATAAAAACAAGATATTCTGTAAAAAAATGGAAGTTGTCTCACAATCTCCATGGTTTTGAAAATATGTTTTCTGTTTCTCCAATTTTTTAATGGCAATTATTGGAGAACCCGTTGCCTAGATAAACAGACTTGAGTTGAAGTGGGAGGTTTGTTTACGTTCCACAGGTTTCCTTCGCCTGAACTCTTTGAGGAACTGCAACATGTTACCCTCTGGTAAACTAACAGTTTGCTATTGAAAATTGCCATTTATAGTGAATTTACCAAATAGTGATTTTCCATAGCAAACTGTTAGTTTACCAGAGGGTAAATCATTCAGGAAATGGGTGAAACCAACAATTTTAGGGCGGAGATGCCCCCAGCAACCGGGCGGCACTGCAGGCGCAGGGCCCCGGTTCCAAGACACCTGTCTTCGGATTGAGAGCCGGAGTATGGTTCCTTGGCAGCAGTTTCTTCAGGGATTTTGGAGGAATGTCATGCGAAATGGTTTGAGGGTCTCTGTTCTCTTAGCCAATGCAGCTGGATGATGGGAATATATTCTAGGCGTCTCACCACCGATACACATGTTGAAATTGGGCTGATGTAGATATGTTTTTTTTGCAAAATGCCAATTCATCTCCCATGCATGTTTAGGGGAATATCCCAGTCGGCAAGATATCTTAGGTGGTTGTTGAAGCGCTCCCTGAAGCTAGGTTTCATCTCTCCAACAGGGGCTTGCCTTCAAACTGCATACCTTGGTGGTTCCCACGAATCATACCCGCAATCAAACACTGCAATGAAATATCCCCTAGGTCCCCTATAAATATCTATACATGAGCAACGATAAGCGGAAAGATCATTTCTACATGCATGAACCTTCGCCGGCTGCACCCAGGATTGTGTGCGGCGAGGCTTCCTTGCAAGTGCCGCCCTTAGCTGCTTCAAATTGTCATGCACGGGCCAATGTGATGTCTGCATTTTAGGGGGACGACCCTAAATCCATTGATTATCATTGATTAATAATCACTAATTATTATAGTAATTACCCTCTTATTTTTGTTTGATCGCCATACCTGGGGGTTAAATCCCCCGTTTTCAGACACACCTAAGATCATGATTCGTTGTTGGGCGAAACTCCATGGTTGACAAAACTGCAAAGATGCGAATTCTCAGTCACACATCCTTAAAGGCTGTTTTTGGGTGAATTCCAAATGACTATCCCTGAAGAAATTGCCATGTGCATTGGATTTGAGATTATTTGCACAATATCCCCAATTGCCACTCATCCATGACTTCGTAAATTACACTTAAGTCCATGTAACTGGCAGATTACCAATCCAATTGCCACTTGCCCATGATTTGTATTGACTTTGTAAATGACACTTAAGTGACTTTGTTACCCATGTATATAGTTAACCCATGATTAACCCTTATTAACCATAACATAGCCAGTGTCAACCGTAACATATTCATTCATAGCCAGTTAGAATGACCATAATCAGTCAGTATCAATCAGTATATGTTTGCCTTTATGTTTCATTAACAACCAAATTAGAATGCCATGGACCATAATTGATCATCATGAATCATGATTAATCATTATTTGCCTTTAATTATCTGAAAGCAGAATATTTACTGAGAATGGGAATTTTATGTCATGTTGTTTTTTTCCACGATGTCATGTTAAATATGGCTGATTGATCCTTATTACCATCTGGTTATGACTAACATAGCCATGGAAAGATCCACCCATTTTTAAGAACGGTAAACCCAGGTAAACCATCTATTTCTATGGGCCATCTATACCATGGCTATGTTAGTCATAACCAGAGGCTAATCCCCATGTTTCGCATCATGTCATCGGACTGTCTCCGCCAGCAGCTGGCGTGGCAACCAGCGCACAGGTCTTGGGCCCGCCACGCGGCGAGGGGTTGATCGGCGGCACCATGTGTCAAAGCATGGAGCAGCCTGGGGGACCCAGGGGCCGTTGAGCCCAAAGGGAGATGAATGGGGATATCAATTCCTATGTTTTGGGAGACTGTTTGGATTAATGGATTTTTACCTGGATTTAATGTTTGTTTGGATTTCATGTTAATGGAATATATTATGATATATTATGATATATTAATGGGATAATTCTTTTCATGGATTTGGAGGGAAAATCAAACTATACCCTCTTGTAGTGTCCTCAAATGTTGCTGGAAAATCCCCGGACAAGGGAAATCCCGGGTGGATTTTCCAGCCCTGGAGCTGATGACAGAGGATCAATTGATTGGAAGAATCCAAGGAAAAGAACCGGATTTTATGGATCAAATATGGTGTTTCCATGTACTTCCACTTAATTATCAAAGACACACAATGTGAGGCCCCCCAGTTATAAGTTGGTTTAGATTCGCCCCAGTAACTATAGTTTAATAGTTATAAGTACCATAAACCATAGTTATTGGAGTTATTTGCACCAACTTAGATATCTTGGGGGCCTCACATTGTACCTTACCCTTAAAAGTGGGATGAGAATTCCCATGAACCTTTTGAAATCCGTGGTTCCGAAGGTGTCTTCGTTTGACCCTGGAATCATGGAATCCTATCGGTGGAGGGATCAACTTAGGAGATCTCAATGACTTGACCAATTTTAGAGCGACCCAGCAGTATCAAATGATCAATCATAGGTTAAAAGTATTTACTCACCAGTAAAGTTTCTCGCCTTATAATTTAGAAACTATATATAACTATAATATATATATAGATTCATATGTAGATGGCCAAGACCAAGACATCAACCTGTAGCCACAGGTTCTGAGACACTCCACTCTTCCCAGGCTTCATTTGATGGAACACCCGGAAGCCCTCAGTGATGAGTTGCAGAATCGCTATGAGGCGGGCGGAGAGAAGTCAAGTTTAGTGACATGATTTGCTGGTTGGTGGTTTGGAACATGAATTTTATTTTTCCATCTATTGGGATTTCATCATCCCAACTGACTTTCATATTTTTCAGAGGGGTAGGTATACCACCAACCAGGACATGATTTGGGTTTGTCTGGAAATCGGGGACCTCAAACTCCAATGGTTGATAATTTTTGTCATGTTCTCCATGAAGAAGCTATTTGGGCCATTTGGGTGTAGACCCCATTGTCAGAGGATCCACATTTCCTCCCAGAACTGGAAGAAGCAATTTGCAGGGTGCTAGCTCTGTATGTGTAACATTGATCGGTTTTATCTAAACCAGATAAGGGGTGAAAATCCGCGCACCCCCACCTCCCCAAGATTTGCCCACAACACGTTTCTTGTGTGAATTACAACAGCATGTTCATGATTTCAAGATGATCATGGTTTAAACTTTAAACCTGTTCAATGGGGGATATCATCAGGATGTATATGGAGTGGAATTTCAATTTACATCCCCATAGAATTTTTGTATTGAAGGGAATTTCAACAGAATGTTTATGATTTATGAACTTTTATTCCGGCCCCCAAATGGGCTTGATGTCAAGGTGGCTTCAGGGTTTTAGGCTTTGAGGCTTTAAGGTTCAGGCCTTGAGGTTTAGGTGGTTCACCATGGACGTTGGTAGGGCTCTCTTGTGGCCTTCGTTTAAGCCATTACGTCCGAATCAAATCCCCATGAAATCCCAACTGAAACCACATTCAACGAATTGAAGTATGACTGTACTTAATGACAATATATTACCATCATAGTCAAATCGCCATTATAATCACTACACCCATTTCCTCATTAAATCCCATTAAATCCCATCAAATCACCATTAAATCGCCATTAAATCCCATTAAGTTCATGGTCAATCCCCTAGGAAATCGCCATGGAAATCACTGCATCGCCAGGGCTCCACGGCGTTGGTCACCGTCAAAGGCTGCATCACCCGGGACCGCGGTGTCGGAGCTGCGGCCAACGCCAAGGCGGCCATGGATGAAGGGGTCGTAATGTTGAGTGATGAAAGAAGTATAATATTTATATATTTATATATATACATATATGAATTTATTTATATGAATAAATATATATATATATGTATTAATTATTAACCATAAATCAAAATCATAATCATAATCATAATGCTATATAATAATACTAATAATAATAATAATGATGATGATGATGATACTAATAATAATATTAATATTAATATTAATATATACATATATAATTATGACATAATATGTAAATATGTAATTAGATGTTTACAAATATGAGGTTGTATGAGTCTGAGTTACTGCCATTAAATGTAGACATTGTTGTGTTTTCGGTCGGCATGCAAAACTCGACAGTTACTTACATATGGCTTATCATCAACTGTGAACTAGGATGTGCATCAGGCGTTGAAACTATGGATGATGTTATAATTCAAACAAGATAATATCCATTCAATGAATCGGACTTCCATTTAATGAATGTGCATATTATACAGTGTTAATTCTATCCTGAATTGGATGAAGGAAATTGCATTGGCATTTTCTAAAATGATGGATAGTTTTTTAGCATATTTTACCACTGCATGCACGCATCATGCAGATGTTGTTTCAAGGAAAACATGCAAGACACCTGCAAAGCCTCGGATTTGCGGATACAACGAAGACCCCACTTTCACAGGAGGTCACAAAAAAATGGCCCTACTCGACCTTGACAAACAAACACAACCTGTGCAAGACCTTGATGGTTTGTTCCTTGCAATTTTTGAGGATTTTCCTACTCTACCAAGGTACGAGTTTTCTTCGACCACTCTATCAACGATTCTGCTGATGATAAGACTCCAGCTAATGTGTAGATCGTTGTATATACATATCACATGTACACATACATGAAAAATTGAGTGACATTACACGGTCAAAACACAGAGTATAAAAATGTATAAAATATAAAGATCTATCCCATATGATTTCGAATTCTTGTAATGTGTATACTTAAGTCCTATGAATGGATTGATGACCATCCCCTTTTCTTGGAATATATTAACCAGGTTTTGACCATAGCACAAATGACTACGTGGAATTCCATAATATATATATATATACACGTTACATACACGTATGTGAATCCCTATTCAGCAACGGCAACCGGATATCTTTAGCTAGCTCATCGGCGACGCCAGGGGTCGCTTCTGTGCGGATCAACTCCCAAGTCTGAGATTGGCTTCAAAACGGTCAGCAGGGCTGGTGCTGGTTGGATATGTCTTTCAATTGGGGTTGTACAATGGAGAAACCCCAATTGAATGGATGGTTACAACCCCAATTCCATTGGATACAACAAAATTGAGGTTGTATTGTAGAACCGCAAGACTTGATTTTGTATCGATTTTGGAGGGTTTTGGAATCAATGGAGAAATCCGAGTTGCGTATAAATGAATGGCACATAATGGCACTTAATGGCTGAGTCTTTGCGATGTGTCCTTTTACACTTTCCCAATTGCTCCCGATAAGATTCATGTTTTTTGTTGAAACAACCCTGAGATTCCAACCAGAAAAATGCCACTGTGACATTTTGCTGGACAGCTGTCGTTTTGCTGTGGGTTTGTATTTTTCCGTCAAAGCTGTGTTTTTTTTTAATTTTTCCCAACAAAACAGAAACCATGCGCCCAAAATTTGGCATTTCGCTGGCTTCTGCACGGAAATTCTGCATTTTTGTCCATGGATTTCATGTACTCCAAATATGAAAATTGTATACTTATAGACTATAGATACTTATTACTTCACATGTCCCTAACAATGAATTAAGTACAGGCTATGAGTCGTCACCCTGGGATCCAGATGGTACCCTTTTTCATAGCCCGCGCAGGCCAGCATCCTGTACAGCACTGGGTTGATGACGAAGGTTCCGTGACGGGAAAATGGCCGCATGGATCAACGGGAAAGCATGGATGATTTTCGATGGCAAACTGGTATTGTAGTCAACAAAAACAGATTTTCCATGATCTTCCCGTCCGGAAATTTCACAGTTTGCTAGGGAACATGGCCCGTTTATGGTGATTTACCTGTTGGACATCGTGATTTTCATTGATTGTCCATGGCAACTGCTAAATTACCAGAGGGTACTTTGGACGATGTCGGTGTGTTGCAAGTTTTTTGACATGTTTTATCATGTCTTCCTTGAAAATCGATGGAATTTCCGCAAGAACATCGGGAAAGGATGTTGTTGTATGTGTTCTTTAAATATTACTGTAGCTGTTTTGAGTTCTTAGAGAATGCAACTATTCATGCGGTCAAATCACCCACGGATGATTTATGATGATTTGGCGTTCATTGCAAACCTGATTGTATAACTATCTTGCAGAGAATGACCTATCACAGAGTTTTAGACCTTAGGCAGGTGTCCCATTTTCACGATGGTCCATGTAGACTCATGGCCCGCCGTAGTCCTCCAATGGAGGTGCTGATGACTACTATCCGGAGGTATGATATCAGTTTAGACGCACTCTCTTCAGCTGTTAGGGATGGTGAATCACTAACGAAGTATCAAGATGTATATCAAGTCTATCTGATTTTTATCATAGTACATACTATATAGTGATACAATACATCCATTAGTGATGAGGTCTATCCTCAACCTCAGGGGTCTCGGTTGGCATCTCGCAACGTGGTTCCGGTGTGGTTCCGGCTGCACGTGCTGCGCGTCCAGGGGGGCAGCATTACCCTGGAAAGTCCATCGGGATCTTTCACCCAAGCCGCTTCGGCCGCACAATGATATCCACAATGTGAGGCCCCCGTTGGATAGCGTTCAGTTGGTGCAAATAACTCCAATAATTATGGTTTATGGTAAGCAAATAACGAACTAGTTACTGGGGCGAATCTAAACCAACTTATGATATCCAGGGTTGTTCGAATTTGGCTTTGAAAATTGGGAATAGGCTAGAAAACGAATGGTTCTTCGAATTTGTCTTCCCATCTGCAACACATGGTTAAGTTGAAGTTGCTAACTATGCATGGCTGACTCAGATTCGATGAGATTTGAGCCAGGCTCACCATCACGGATCAGCTTCCTGAGTTACGACTCGGGTGGGCATTTTCGGAAACCAGTCGTCCCTGTATTTTTTCGTGGTATTTCCAGGAGAATCCCAGGGTTCCATGATTGGTGCTTTCAAAAATACATGGAATTTCTGTTCGTTTCCCAAAAAATGAAGGTGGTTTTTGAAGATCAAAAAAATCCGTAGTTTTTTTATGCCCAGAATAGGACTTGGGATGATGGTCACTGAGGAATTCCATGCAAATATGTATTTAAAATATATCAACATTCATCTTGAAGACGGTTTTTGGAAAAGTCCATATTCTATTTGATATCTATACTGAATGAATGAATATAATAGATAAATGGTATATATATATAACATAATTTTATCAGTGTATCTCCCATCGTTGGTGTTTGTTCCATGTTTCTTTTTGCCTCATTGAAAGCGCCGCTACGCGCCGCTAGGTTTGGCGCATTCGCGAACTGGAGGAGCTACAGCTGGGCATGGTTCAAGTTCGTGACTTGAAATGGACAGCAGATGTACCAATAAGTATATAGGCATTTACTATCATTTACCATGGTAATGTCCAAAACATTTACCAATCCCAGAGGATCCATGTATGGAATATTTACCTACATTGACCCCTAAAGTAATTTAAAATAATCCCAATGTAGGTAAATATTCCATACATGGATCCTTGGGGAATCATTTTAGCGAGCTTCCGGCTTCATTTGAATTAATGGGTTCCACCGTGTTCCATGACAGATTCGCAACTTCAGTGGGGCCTTGGTGGGGTGAACATCATCTGAAGGCTGGATGGAAAGGAGATATTCCGAGAGTTCAAATTGTCTGTTTTGCTATGAAAACTGGAGAATAGCCAGCATCCTCCAAGCTTACTGATATTTTAAATCAATGTCATAGTCAATTGAAATTTCGGAATATATTGGAATTGGACCTAGATAGACCCCACCTGCCCCATTTTGGGTGCACAGAGACATGTTTAGGCCGCTCTTCTCAAACTCAGGAACCCCAAGTTCCAATGGTTCATAAAAAAATAAATAAATAAATAAATAAAAATGTGCCTTTTCATGTGTCATTTTGTGCTTGCAGCAGTTGTTCATGATGAGCAACGTTTGCATGCATGTTTGTGCAGCCGTTTCGTGTGGCCAAGCCCTGAAGAGTTCCTAGAACGAAAGCTTGGATTGTTCATGGCCACGCAGAGATAAAAGGCTGCTTCTTTCGATTGGTCGTTGGCTTGAGCATTTTCATTCCCGTTGTGTTTTTCTTGATGAAAACAAAGCTGTACTCTTCAAGTGAATTATCATGAATCATCATTAACAGAGCTGAGTCCCAGCACTTGGAAGCTATACACTTCGAGTTTGATCTTTTTGAAATGCAATGGCAGCAATGACAACCAAGCGGTAACCGCTGGGATCCACCAAACACTCCAGGACAATCCCTTTGACAGCCCCGAGTTGCGTTCCTTGATGGCAGCAGTTTGGAATTTGAAACGCAGCCGGGGACTGCGAAAACGAACCATTCATGCGGCCTCTTTTTTTTTGGTGGGATGCTATTGGTTTAGAATGGTTTAGAATTCAGACCTGGGAACAGCAACATAGTTTGTGGATGTATGTGGATTTGTTTGATAAACCATTCCAGCCAGGCTATTTTGGGGGTACCGAATTTTGATCCACACCCAGACATGTTTTGTGCTTGAGTTGGTCATAGTGGGTCAATGATCGGGCAAATCCAGGTGCTGCGCGAAAGATTCCAACAGGCAGGGAAGAGTGGGTGCTGACATGATCGAACCGGCCAGTACCGGCCATATCCATCGGATGTCCATAGGTCTAGCTTTATTCGATGGTACACCCAACCATCCCAACCAGCCTGATAGGAAGCGACATCTCATCCGCGGGATGTTGGGGAAATAGTGCACTCAAAGCCATCGAAAAGGGATGAGCAGCGGAGAAGACGTGATTATCGGGATATCAACCACTGGGCACCGGGGTTGATATCCCGATCCCCTGTGTATGTGGTATAGATATATGTATCAAATGAAGTCAGGATTGGTTGATGAATCGGGGGAAGTAGCATCGGAACACTTTACAGACTTACATGACTTGGTCGGTCCGAAGCACAAGGGAAAGTGATTCATGCGGAAACACAAGCGTCCCGATCGCATCCTCGCTGGATGTCTTGGGCTGAAATGTTATGTGTTTTTCATGGTCGAATTTGAATGTCCCAGGATTTACGGACAAACACTTTAAAATGGTTACAGCCTTAACTGGTTGGTGGTTTGGAACATGGCTTTTATTTTTCCATCTATTGGGAATGTCATCATCCCAACTGACGAACTCCATCATTTTTCAGAGGGGTAGGTCAACCACCAACCAGTTCAGAAAGGTAATCACTTTATGGAATTGACATCTCCGAAACTGGCCGCTCTGAAAATTGCGCGATAGGATCTATCACCAGTTCGGTTGGCCAAAATCCCGACTTCATTCAAAACCAAATATCTGCTTGTTGGTGAATCATTCAAACCCACAAGATTATGTCATGTATTATCATTTAAGGGCTGCCGCCCCTGCCGCCGACCCCGGAAAAAACACCAGGAGGTTTGTGACGCAACATTCTTTTTCGGTTCTTTTTTTTCTTTTGTGTAGATCAGATTCAACAGTACGGACATCAACTTTGGTGGCGTTGGCTATTTGGTTGTCATCTTACACAACTTAGCGGCACACAATTCTTTCAGACACACAAAACTCTTTCACACACAATTCTTGATGGAATATCCCACATGTTTGGTTAGTTCAGCATAGTTCAACCCCAAAGTTTCATATGCTGGTTTGGTTTCAATCTGATCTCTTCCCATTGTTCCGTAGTAAGATCTACTGGAAGCTTTACACTCTTAAAGTTGAGTTTCATGTTATAAATTGCTAGGGATGGAGCAGTGTGAAGCTTTTGCACAGCCTTGGACTTGTTGCAAAACTCCATAGCCCTCTGTGACATGTTTCCTTTTTGGTGAGCCGCAAAGCCACGCTGATGGTCATGGCCTTTTCTGAGTACGATCATGGTGATTGCGAGCTTTGCCCTGCCAATGCATTCAGTGGGATGACTGCGGGCATTCCATGCTTTGTAGGACCCGTCGCAGTGCTGAGATTTTTGTCCATTGCCCATGTGATTTCCAGAGGGAGAAATCGGATGTTGGAGAATGTAGATACACTTTCTGATTGATGGCAAGAGCACCTGAAAAGTTGCCTGCCGGTGGCAGGTACATGTCATGAACATCTCTGTAAGTGCTCGTTTCTTAGATTTTGCTCATTCCAATCATGAATAACTATAATTTGTGGCTCCTTCTTGGCCAAGCTTCCTGTGCCCCGCAGGACCTCGGTGGCATGTTCACCTTGTGGCGGTTGGTGGCTCACGCTCTGGCGGTTCTGCTTGGGATATTTCGTGTAGTGGGTCAAGCCCCTAAGTCAACAGAAAAGCTTGGATCTAGCCAGCTTGGGTGGCTTCGGCATTTGGATCTCTGTTCTACTTCTTGGGGCTCCATCATCCATTTTGAGACACTGCGGTGTATGGAATGATCATGGTAATTTCCCCATAATTTGCACCTAGAAATGGAGACCAAATTCATGAGAATCGAAGATGGTTTCGTGATTGATTGGCCAGAGATTGCCTTATGTCCGCAGCAGTTACAGCGGCGACGGGCGAAAGGCTAAAGCTATGGCAGCTTCGTACACTCTCCGACTCCGTGCTGATCTGGCATTGTCTGTTGGATCGGCGCACGATGAAGCCAAAGCAATCGTGTTGCAAGCATTGAGCCCTGCATCGGAGGACTGCGCAGTTTGCATTGAACAGCGTCTTTTTTTGTAGATAACGCTAGTCACGGGATCTGTTTTGGTAAAACCTAGTGAAACTATGATAACCTATCTTTTCGTCATTTATGCCGCATTACAGCCGCATGAATGCCTAGTTTTCTCTGAGCTCTCGCGGGTTGAAAAGCGACATCAACCCAACTGCCCATTGCAGCATCATGATATCCCCAGTCAGAGACGATTGTCCACTGAAATATCGTTGGCTTCCAGGAGATTTTGGTGACAGTGGTTGCGAAGTCAAGACGATTGCCGATTGCTTTACCTGTTGACGCGTGAGCAGGCAGCTGGCTTTGAAACAGATGTCAGTTCCCTGGGTGACCTTGTTCGTCTACAGCAAGAAGATCACGATCGACAGGTGGCACAGGATCAGGAGCTGAAGACGCAGCGTACAAATCAGGGTTTGGTGGCCACAGCATCCTCAACGGAGATTTCTGCCATGGTGCATACTTTGATGTCTTGGATCGATTCAGGCCGGGTATGTGTTGTTGAAAGAAAGAGATCGGCAAGGTGTATCTGGGTGAGTCTGAAGTATTGATATCGTTGTTCTCTGCATAAACACATCTCTAGGGATGATGTCCCATGCCCATTTCTCTCTATAAACTCATCTCTATGGATGATGTCCCATGCTCATTTCTCCCTATAAACTCATCTCTACGGATGATGTCCCATGCCCATTGTCCAAACACTGCATATCTGTGCTGGTGTGCAGGTGGTGGAGTGGACGCCAGAACGAAGAGGAAGGCGGGTGCAACGGGCTTGAATCTATTAGAGAGATCATCCAAGATTATGACATCCGGGCTCAAAACGAAAGCCGTTGTGGAGCAAGAGAACAGTGGTTCCATCTGATATGGTGATCTGTATGAATCTGTATATTCCAACCGAAAAGGGCACGGAAGTAAGCTTAGAATATCGACGTCATCTGTGAATCTGAAGTAGTATCTACCAAGGTGTTTGCGTGCTCAGCTTACTGCTGCCTCATGGAATGCCATGACTTTTGAAGATGTACAGTACAGGACCTTGCAAGCAGTGTGACCTGTGATATGTTGACAAAGCTTGATTAGAGTAATACCATGCAGTTGTGTAACTTGGGAGTAAGGCTTGCTTGGAAGCTTTGAAGTGCAACTTGACAGTTCCCGAAAGTAACGGGCTGCTTGCGAGGCTACCCGATTGTGCAGCCATGGGTAGTTTTGGAAATGCAGAAGGCTTGCCTTGGCGCTTTGAAGATCTTTGAAGTGTAAACCGAAAGGTTCCCGAAAGGGCCTGCTTGCGAGATTACCCGATTGTACAGCCATGTGTAAGCTTGGAAAGGCAGGGAGATCAGGGACTTGTGCGCAACTCTGAAAACAGTTTTATGGTGTTTTGACGCTGTTCCGTGCATGATAAATAGACATAGACGTTGAAATTTTGGAAAGAATTTCATTGTCAGATACCAGTAGCAACTAATCAGAATTGTCCTATTGTTTCCCGATGATTGCACCATAATTTCATGTTGATTTTCCGACGCTTTCACCACCATTTTTGCATGAGTTGATCATAACTCATAACGATGTCACGGTTCTTCACCGATTTCCCGAAATTATTTTCCGCCAAAGCTTTGCCTAGGCCGTGGCCGACAAGTTTGCTCGCAACGTTCCGTGTGCCAGCCTCTCAACTTGGTGAGACACACCAGGTGTGTAGATTTCCATGCGAATGTTATCTCTATATGTATTTGCTCAAAATGTGTACTCGTAATCTGTGGTGTTGGGAGCGATCTTGTTGAATTTGTCACAAAATGAAAGTTGGTGCGTTAGGGTTTACTTAAGGCTTCTGTACGTCTTTCTGTCTCTGTTGATGTATGTATATAGTTCCAGGGAAAAATTGAAGTGGAAACACCTACAAATAGTGGGAAAAAAATAAACACGGCTTCAATAACACCAAACTGTTGTTGAGGTGTATTTCGGGCTACAAAGTCAACAACACCTATAGCTGTTGTTGGGGTGTATTTCAGGCCGCAAAGTTAGCCATAACAAACCATAAATACCTTCCAACTGGCTCAATATATACTATATATATATATATTCCAACATGCTGCAACATAGGTCAAAAATTAGCTCCAACACGACCTCAACAATACCTAGCTGTTGTTGAGGAGTATTTCAGGCCGCAAAATTAGCTAAAACAAGTCACAAACACCTTCGAAACGGCTCAACATAGCTCAACATGCTCCAACATAGGCCCAACATAGGCCCTACGTAGCCCCAGCATGGACTCCACATAGGGCCAACCTGACTCAAAAACTAGCCCCAACACGACCTCAACAACACCTAGCTGTTGTTGAGGAGTATTCCGGGCCACAAAGTTGGCCAAAACAAGCCATAAATGCCTTTCAAATGGCTCAACATGCTTCAACATGCTCCAACATAGGTCCAACATAGGCCCTACATAGCCCCAGCATGGACTCCACATAGGGCCAACCTGATTCAAAAACTAGCCCCAACACGACCTCAACAACAGCTGATTCCGCAGCAGAAGCAGCGCAGCAGCAGCCAAAGTAGCAGCCGAGCAGCTTACAGCAGGAGCAGCGCAGCAGGAAGGCCATGTTGTACAACTACAACAGACACTGCAACGCGAATTTTGGTCAGCAGCATCAGCAGCAGCCCAGCACCAGCACACCATGCAGCATCAGCACGTCAAAGCAGCAGCAGCAGCAGCAGCAGACTCAAGATTAGCATAGAACTAGCTAAATACTCATGCGCGTTGATATTTGGTCTGTCATGTCATGTTGAGGAAACATCATGGTTGATGGATAAACATCATGTTGGTAAATCACACCAAGTGATCTTATTCGAAGAACCAACGAGATCAAAATACGGGAGGTCAATATTATGATCATTGTAACCTTTATAATCTTGATCCAATTCAAATCACTTCATCATTTCGAACCGAAAAAATAACATTGGATGGAAGACCTCTCGTCAACTGGCCTCCGTGCAGGATCACCGACTGGATGTTTTGCATACATACACACGCAGACACGCAGACACAGAACATAATCTCCGTAGCTGCAAAAGATTGTACTATGAGTGATTTATTATCGGAGCCACCGTAGAACATGGCTCAAGATGGTCGCAAAAAAGAACTTGGCAGATAGAAGCAAAGACTGGTTAGGGGTTCGTGGCTCCATCCAGAAAGCGAAGAGCTCTACGTTTCGAGCTACAACTGCTCTCTTTCGCCATGCCATAGGCTTGCAAGAGATGTGCTTTCAAGATTGGTGGGTGCAAAGTGCTATTAGACGGCATTGACATGGCCAGGTGCCAGTGGGTGATCGGTGGGGTTACGGCAGGGAAGTGTTGAAAAGGAATGGAAAATTTAGGATGAGAGAAGAAGAGGGACTAGTTAAGAACACAGAGAGCGTGTGGTTTTTGCGACACTGGACTGTTTAGGCTCGTGGCAGAGCTGATTTTCCTACGTCGCTATGGCCTCCAGCACAAGTATGCCAGCGAAAATGGTTTTCTGGTGGCGACGGAGTCTGGGCAGCAAGAAGAAAACGCGGAAAGCGTGGCTAGAGAAAGTTGGAAATGCAGGAGTTGCATCATCTATCTTCTTTGGAATTGCGTGTCGGAATTGTTGTCCTAGAAGCTGATTGAAACATGTAGGAATAGTGGATACATGGCGTTGCCAACCTGCCTTTTCCATATGTGGTCGCAGCATATCTGTATAGTTTTGGTGTCTTGCAGACGCGATGGTAGTAGCTGTGAGAAGCCAGAAGGGCGTGTCAAATATTCACACTGCAGGTCAGAAATCCGTTCCTGCGCATGGAGCGTGCTCGGTATGCGTTGACGCATTCTTTGGAGGGAAGTCACGTCGCGGGCTGGGGCTGAAAGTCAAGGGCGGCATTTTAGATTGAAGTGACGGCGACTTTCGTTAGGAAGTCGTCATTTTAGATGGGCAGTGCCTGAAGATTCATCGCAGGGGTATGTTCATGGGATATGGATGTGTAAAATGGCAAGGATATGTTACAGACGATGAGAAAAGGATATGCCAGTATTCGTACTGTGCTATTCGAACGACTGCATGGCTCAGGTGCATCACCCTACAAAAGACGCAGATGAACTCACATTGGTGTGTAAACCATTCTGTAATTGCCCGGCAGCTCAGCTACCGGACAAACATTTGCGGCTGGTCCTGTGCGTCCTCATCCTTTTCTTGCGGAGTTTGGACTTCGGCAACTTACCTGTAGTCGAAGAACAAAAGCAGTGTAAAAGCCATGATTTGTACATGAAGGAAAGTCACACATAAATCCATATTGACATGCATGGTTGCGTAGCAAAGTGGTCAGCGATGTGCCAGTGGAAAGATTAACTTTTGTTTGCTTCTGAGGCAAGTGGTTCGTGTCGCGGCTTCTGACGTTGTTGTGCTGCTGTTGCTGCTACTGCTGCAAGCTCCTCCTCCTGCTGGCGTGCTAGTCCTGCTGCTACAACTCTGGCGCTGCTGCTACTACTCCTGCTGCTGCTGATGCTGCTGCTGCTCCTGGCGCGCTCCCCCTTGCGTCTGCCGGGGTCGGCGGATAGTACCCCCAAAAAAGATGCAGAAAAGTTTGTAAACCTATGTAAACCTGGAAATTGCATGAAATTACAGGAACATATAATATAGTATATCATCAAATGACCTGGTGGAACACTTTTCAGCATCACTTTGGGGTTCAAGAAAGTCGTCCCAAAACATACAACGGTTGGTAATTGGATTCTCTGTTCATAGATCGTGATAATCCACCATATTATAATGGTTAATGTGGTTCAAACATTGCCATGTTTACCACCCCGTTTTTGATGGTTTATACCACCCATTTATGGTCATGGGGATGGTCTTATTATTGTTTTAACCACATTATATATATATATATATAGGTTAATGTCATCCCTTATCATCAACCAAGCATCATTTATCGCTTGCTGTAGATATCCCCATTTGTTGGAACACATATAATCGAACCACCATCATGGAAATACACTAGGGTTGCATCTTTTTGATGCAGTGAAAACTCCCATAGTGCCATAGTTTCACCTCCGGTGGATCCCTTTCCAGTGATCCAACAGGCGGTCGCTTAACTTCCCCAACAGCGGCGGTGGTGCGAGTGGCATCCTCCATGGCCCCAAAGGGCAAGGGCAAGGGCAAGTGCGGCCCTCAGCGAAATCCCCGTGGCCTAGCGGAGGTTTAGTTCGCGAAAATCATCGAAGTATATGTGGGATGTTGGGGGATATTTGATTGGATCAATTCGGATCAATTCGGATCAATAGATCATTCGAATCTCCATTGGGTTTGCTAAAGGTGTTTGTTGATGTTCCCAATGGGAAATCCACTACTTGAGGGAATCTATAGGGACTCTTTTTTGGTGGATCCCCTAAGCAAATCTAAGAAATTGGGGTATCTCCAAAAGTTCACTCCCTGGTGAGCTATGGGAGATACTATGGGATTTTTTGGTGATCATCTGCCATAATCCAATTCTGGTGTTTTTTCCACATGGTTCATATCCTATCAACCAACCAGTATCCCTTGGGATACATATTCACTTGGGTGATTTTTTGGGTCCAGATGTGGAACCTCGTTATTTCATCTTGGTTTTCTCCACAAAATCAGTTGTTGCTCATTTGTTTAAGGGTCAGGGCACCCCCTTTGTACTACAGAAACATTAGATCATGTTAGATCATTTTCTGCTCTCACATGAACCAGGTCGGGGATGGCTACATACAGGATCCAAGTACCTAAGATGGATGTCTTGGATTTGGGTTCCAGAAAAGCAGGATTTCTTGGAAAAAAACGACATCATGGACACGACATCACCAAGCCATGCTTCGGATTCGGGGAATCGACCCCCCCCAAAATGGTGGTTTTCTCCAGACTTTGACTAGTGCCAACTTGGTTGGCCCGTGACCCCGTCATTTTTGTGCCAGGATGTCATGGTATCACCTGATAGTGCCGATGAAATCGGTGGTCACCTGATGGTGCCCATCATAGTGGAGATTTCTGAAGTCTTAAGGGGGATCCCCAAGTCACCATGAGTTTCAATACCAAAATGGTCTAATTTGGATGATTCGGGATTAAATACCTCCAGTTGAGGAAACCTCCACATCTACATAGTTACAAACCAACTTGGCTGAGAATTGGGGGCACCACCAAACGTAGCATTTGATCATCTGTGCAGTTCAAGGGAGATGGTTTCTGCGGACAACTGGCGTCGAAAATGTCAACGAAGAATGTGCTGGTAGCTAGAATATCTAGAATATTGAATGCAGCCGATGTTGGTCTTAGTAGGATTTTATGTGTATTTAAGGGTTATATAATATATAGTGGTATATACAAGGTTGTGCCCCCCAGTGATGTTTGTTGGTTTATAAACCCCATTAACTATAGATATATCTACCATGAACCATAGTTATCGAAGTTATAAACCAACATAAACCAACTTAGCTAACTATAAGGCACCACATTGTATATATATATATAAACAATATGTGCGTGGCTGTGTCGGGAAAAGAGTGATTCGACCCCAACATGGCAATCAAATAGTGGGGAAAACTGATGATTAACCATAAGATTTTATAACATTTTAGGATACTCCATTCTAGCAAAGCCAATTCAAAAGACACCATTGTGTGACATCAGTTGTAGAGATATTCTGATTTCTGAATGTTTAATCCCTGCGTCTTTGGAGCATTTGACATGTTTTGTTCAACGAATGTTATCGAATATGTACACCTACATACCCAGTTTTATTGTTCACACAGTTCACACATTCCTTTTTTGATATAGCAACCTCCAAATAGATAGAAAAATAAACTCAGTTTCTGTTATATATATAGCCCATGATAGGTCTTATAATTCCAAAGTCTCACTGTGTACATAAAGGGCTTGATAATTACATATATATATGAGTAATAGGGGAAGAATCATATATACACAACCATTTACTATCATCAACCACTTTTTTCTTTCTATACGAACATGTTTCATGTTTTAGGATACTGAATATACTGTATATTATATATATATACAGGCACTATCCAAATACTATAAACTGACTATAGTATATATATATACATACACGATAAAAATATTATATATGTATATTATTTACATATACATATCCTAAACCACCCATAATCATATACGAATAACCCGCCATGTACAGTAAAACATATATGCTGAACCATATCATAATCATGTGTTTATCATTATATATAAAAATGTACTATAACCTTATATATATATATTTATACATATTGTGTATCATATATATATATTGTATATACATATCATATACTAAAACCACATATGTTCGTTTTGGGGGTTCCTATCTTCTCCCGTCAAACCACAACGGCAGGTCTGGTCGAGGCGGCAAAGGTCGTCCCGGACGAGCCATCGCGGCAACATGGCACTAGATGGCCTGGATGAGGGTTGTGCCATGGTCAAAAGGTGAATCATTACTATGATAAGTTATATATATATATATAGATAGATAGATAGATAAATAGATAGATATGCTATTATATAATGTTTATATGAATATACATATTATGATAAGTTATATATATATACATCTGTATATATATATATATATATCCGGGGAAATTATAACGACTTCACTGCGACCTTACTGGAATCAAACATGTGGTTAAAACAATGTCATAAACCACCCATTTTCCTGGGAATGGTAAGTTTATACCACCTATACTCATCCCATCATGAAATCGGGAATCCTTCTGTTGACCGTGATGTTTTTTTGTTTTTCACTATCACTGGTGGTATGATAACCTCCCGATACTCTTATATACTCATGTAGTATATTCATATATGAAATCATACATGTATATATGTATATATATATATATACCATCATGAAATCACACGTAAAATTATATACATATTATAATCAGACCTATAATCAGATTTATAATCACAATATTTGTATGTATATATACATACATGTTACGCATATGGTCATATAAACATAATACAATAGCATATAATGTGGGTAAAACAATAATACCATCTTTGATGCAGGTTGATGAAGTACCCTCTGGTTATTTGCCGCTGGGAAAATGGCCTTTTATATATAATACAAGGTTGTGCCCCCCAGTTATAAGTTGGTTTATAAACCCCATTAACTATAGATATATCTACCATGAACCATAGTTATTGAAGTTATAAACCAACTTAGCTAACTATATGGCACCACATTGTATAGATGATAAACATTATGATTTAGCCTGTGTTTTATGGTGATGACGTGAACAAATGCCAGAGGGTAAATCCTGTGAGCCGATGATCCAGTGGATATGGACCGACTACCGGGGATGTGCCGATTTTTCATGACAAATTGATGAGAAGGAAAAATGGTTCACTTCTTATGTTGGTAATGTTTTAATTACTGTATAAATGATTATTCATATATATATATATAACTTGTTTTTGTACGATTTGCGGCTACCGCATTTCACTGCAAGACCAAGTGCAACATGCACAGCATTGCGAAAGTGAAAAGTGTGTTTGTACGATATTGCTCAATGTTGGCAGAGGAAAGAGTTTTTTGTGTCCTACCATCACCAGTCCCTAGATCACCCGGGGTCCAGTGAGGCATCACTACCTGTGACGAGTGTGGCTTTTGCGCGTGCGTCCTTTGCCACAACTTGCGGAAGGGAGGAATTACGTTTTGATCAAAGGCCATGGAAAGTTGTCGGTTTTGTTCCCTCTGCATTTGCGGTACCCCAAGCATCCCTAAACCCAATGTTTGCTCCACTAAAGGTAAGCAATGTGGGACGTTTTTGGGTCCTTTCAAGAAATCCCATATGAAATCCCATATGAAGCCATATGAAGGCATGAAGAATGTCTAATGTCTGAACCATTGACCCTGAAAAAGTCTTTCTCTGTCAGGGACCGATCCAGGCTTGTAAGTATACGTAAGCCAGGCTAGACTGTGGGTAATCAGCTTATCTAAACATGAATCATGTTATTAGTGTAATTATTACTAATTAATACTATTATTACGTAGTATTATCACTATCATCAATGTGCTAAAGCCAATAATAAACCTCCAGTTTTGGAGCATTTACAGCGCCCACCCATTTATAGTGAACTTGGGAATCATTTATGGATGTTTCTGGCATTGGCTTTACCACATTATTATTACTATTATTTTTGTTCATACATTACTCTGATTGGTATCGTTATTATCGTCGTATTGTCAGTGTAAAAACCATTAAACATGTATCATATCATTATAATCACATATTATACTACAATTTTATTGCTGGTATACACAGTGTATATATATATATATACAGTGTATATAAAAAATATAAATAACTGAATATATATATATATGTATGAATGTAATGTAATGTAACATAATGTAATGTAATTATGTAATGTAATGTAATGTAATGTAATTATGTAATGTAATGTAATTATGTAATTATGAAATTATGAAATTATGTAAATGTAATGTAAATATGTAATTATGTAATGTAATGTTCTATTCTGTTGTGTTGTGTTGTGTTATGTCATGCATACTGTACAATCCAGTTATTATTTGGGTAAATTATATCTGGATCATGAAGAACTTCCAATGCCTGGGTCGCTGTTTTTTTTCGAGGCCGATAGGAACCGTCTATGGCGCCCCACGGGCTTTGACAGTCTATGGAGGCTGGAGTGAGCCACAGCGTTATGTGGTTGATGGCTGATTCAATGGGATTTGATTTAATGGGATTCTATGGATAAATAATGGGATGCATCTAGGAAAAAAGGTGATTTAACGGAATTTAATGGGATGTCATGCGATTTAACTGGGAAAATTGGTGATTCCATGGGATTCAATAGGGTTTAACCATCAAGAATGGTGATTTAGTGGGTTGAATTGACATCTCACCCATCACTGTCATCACTGGGGGATGGATATGGAAAAATCTGGTTTCAGACAAAATGGGGGCCATATTCATCACAGGTGGTTTGGAAAAGCATGTGATATATGGTTAATCTATGGTTAATCTATGGTTAATCTATGGTTAATCTATGGTTAATCTATGGTTAACCTATGGTTAATCTATGGTTAATCTATGGTTAATCTATGGTTAATCTATGGTTAATAATGGTTAATAACAATATATCTGGTTGGTGGTTTGGAACATGTTGGGAATATGTTCCATTCAGTTGGGAATTTCATCATCCCAACTGACGAACCCCATCATTTTTCAGAGGGGTTAGCAGCAACCACCAACCAGATATAAATATATAATGTTATAGATATATATCTTTTTGTCAACCACATATCCTTCAAATCCTTCTCAGCAAAGTGTCTGCTGGGATGACTGAGATCAACGAAAAATGGGGGTACCCCCAGGTCATCCAAGTCAGACCGTGACTTAGTGTATTGGGGATCTCCCATGACATAAGAACCCCCAAATGGCCCAAGTTTTCCCATTCGATTCAGAGGCCAAGATGTCAGAAATCGTGGCATCGTGGCCCAGGTCCAAGTGTTTCGGCACCACCGCCGAGGCGAAGGGCTGTGAAGACTTGGAGCTTGACCAACTTTTAAGGAACAAAAAATGGGTGGTTTCACCTGCCGCAAGTATGATCCAAATCAGTGGTTTTGCCATCAACGTGTCGAGTTGAAGCATCACAATAATTCACAATATTCTTGGTCAAGATAGCTTCATGTTGGAATGGTTTTGAGCGGGGAAAGATGCAGTAATTGGGTGACATTGACTTTGTTTGCGGTTATTATGTTGGATAGGCCATGATGAAGTGATCCAATGATTGTTGCTTTCAAATAGGATCCCTGAGACTTTCCTGCCCTCAAGACGAGATGATGATCTTCAATGACTCATATTTTTTCGGGATTGAAACTATCGACCAGAACATGAAGTAGTGGGACATTTGCATCATAGTTGCGGATGATCTGTGCTTGTATATCAAATATCAAATATCAAACTTGTATATCATGATGTTTCAACGTCCTTTGGACACCTCTTTGAATTAGTCCTTGAAGTTGCAATTGGAACTCATGTCAAGTCTCCGCAATAAGACCAATCCTTCTGAATCCTGGACAGGATAAGCAGAAACTGACGTAGATGTTTCAAACCGACCATTTATGTGTTCATTTGATTCAATGGGTAACACTTCCCAAAGATCCAAAGTATCCTTTCCCTGTCATTCAAACCTCCTGTGCCAATATCGATATCTGCAAATGACTAAAATGTCTGGCCCAAATGTGCTTATAACTTATAAAACAAAACCCGTCCTCTTGTAGGACAGAGTGTGTAAAGCCTCGTAAGGTGCAATCAGCCTTGATACTGGATTCATATTTTCCACTATTTGACTATATACAGCAAATCTGTGGCCGGTCGAGATCAACAGAAAACAATCGGTTGCACTTGAAAAGACCAGCAATTGGAGTGGGATTTCCACGGCGACAGGAAACTTGCTTCACCAACCAGATGAGATGGGTTTCGGTCGAGTTGTTTTTGGGTTAAAGCACCACTTTCATGGTTTCAACATGTTTCAACTTTCTTTGATTGGGGGTTCAATTCCAATTTTCGTGCTGGATGGATATGTGAATTATGGTCATACACATTGTTGGATACGCTTTTAGCGGGTTAGATTTTACTCTTTCATACTGGTACTGGCAATTATGTCCTACTGAATGTAAACCTTTCGCAGGATGTTAACAAACCACCAAGACATGGTGGATATGAATATAGAATACTGTATTAATTATATATATATCATACATATATGTAGATATGTACAACATATATATATACAATATATACATATATATGTATATATGTATCTATCTATCAGGGGATACAAGAACCACAAATATCAACGTAGTACGGATGGAATCCCCATTTTGAGGGGTCTAAAAAGGGTTTTTTTTGCCCGGGAAACATGGCGTCGAACTCGACTTCAAGGCTTGGGAGCCGTCCACCTGGTAGACCTGTGTCCAGCTTGCAGAAGGTCGGGACGGGCATCGTGGGGCTCCCAAATGCTGAATTTACTTTTTGGATGGGATATACTTGGTAATTATATAATTCTCATATATATATATATACATATATGTATTAGATGTGTATGTATATATATATATATACATATGTATATGTTTGATATATCATACTATTTATATATATACAATGTGGATATGTATATACTATTGTATCTATATAGGTTCGTCCAAAACGGTGATATTTAATTTCCGCAAAATCATGAGGGGGTTGCTTGGACAACATGGGGTGGAAATGTGTGGCCAATGAACCGGAAAACTGTAGAAGTTCTGAAATGTAATTCGCAATTATTACGGTGGATAATATGGTTAAAAGAATAATAAGCCACCCCATTTTTGATGGTTTATACCACCCATTTATGGTAATTCAGTGGGGGTGGTTTATTATTGTGTTAACCACAACATATGTGAATATATTGATTTATTCAGGATTATTTATCATCAAAGTACTGTTGGTATTTTAGTAATGTTGGGGGTTGTATAGTGTATGGCTCTAAACTATTGTACTCTACAGGCTCTGTGTATCCATCAGCAAACATCAATAACCCCAAAAGACCTCACCTCTTTCAATGAAACTGCAAAATTATAGTTGGTAAAACCAATTTTTGAGACGTATTTTTTGTGGCCCAAGACCCTAACCATTGGACTTTCCCATGCCCAGCTTCATATCTTAATTCTCAGTTTCTTCTTTGGTCTACAACCCTTTCCCCTTGATATGAAATTCCCCCACATGGGCCCATGGGCCCAAAACCCGATCCAACACTGAACTACGGGGGTTCAAGGGGCGTATTTGACATTAGGGGGAATGGATCATAAATATAAATATATATATATGTACATATATATATGCAATTTCTTTGATATCTGGTATATTGCATTAGTTCCTCATCGGCTAACCCATCTTGTTTAACCCACCCATTTTGGTTGTCCTGTATTTGTATGGCAAATTTGCTGACTGTGGCCGGGAGATTTTGGGGGGATCATCCCAGTTCATCACGTTGAACCCCACGATGGCCGTATCCAGTAACAAAATCATCTTTGGGACAGCCATGGGAATTTCTCAGGAAACGATTTATTCGAGGTACCTACCATATATAAGGCATATTTTTGAGGCTTATGTAAGGGAATGTCCCCACAAAATATGGCCTTATATGGTACAGTACCTCTATTTTAGGATCCTGAAATTGCCATTGGGACAGCCATGGACAGCCTTTTTCAAGACCTATTATATGTATTACACAGTTCTTGGAATATGCCCAATTGGATTAAGGGGTTATTTTATGTTATTTTGCTATGGCATATGAACCGCTGACGATGCCTGGGATTTTGAATTGTCCAAATCAACTCGGGTTTATGACCCAAGACAACGGTGCATACATACCACTCAAGGGTACATCTTCCATTTATAATCCATGTTTGTTTTATTTTTTCGGGATTAACTCATTTTTTATGTGTGGATTCCCAGTGACCATGCCAACCTTCTCAAGCCATGTCACTTGACTATGGCACATCAGTGAACTCATCGGTTACCGGGATAATAATGGAATATATAATCAATAAAAGTGTGTGTGTGGGTGTGTAGTTTTACAATAGCATTTTACCCTTTGGTAAACTAACAGCTTGCAATCAAAAATCATCATTTCAAACAGGTAAATCCACTATCAATGGGCCGTTTTTTGATAGCAAACTGTCAGTTTGCTAGATGGATGTTTCCTAAAATGCTGGTACCCCCCGAAAATCAGCCATTTTTGGATCGCAGGTGGAGCGTCCTTCCAAGGGCTCCAAAGGCTCCAAAGGCTCCAAAGGCAAGGGCAAAGGCGACGGTCGCATCATCCTGAGCTCTGCCAATGCCACGCCGCGGCGACGGAGTCGTAGTGTGGGAAAGCACAGTTTGAGATGGAGGAATCCCACCGGGGTGGTACTTTTATGGATGTTTAATGATGTTTAATTAATGAATCATGTTATATATATAACATATATGTCATGATGGTTCCATCCATTTATATATACGTATATATATATATATATTGTATACATTTGGCGATGATAATGGATGATCGCATTATGATGTTGAGCTTCCGATAGTGAACATGTTTGGTTTCCTCTTCTGCACACCCTTTCCCCTAGCATGGAGCTTTGTCGTACCCCGGTCGCATTTCCATCCTCCAAAAGCTTTAAAATCTTATTGATTTGAAAGAGGGTGATAATGGATTGTCCCACATCTGCCACACAAAACGGACTTGGAAATGTGATTCGCGGTTGACCGAGATGGATGTTTTGTAAAGTTTTCAAGAAGCATAAATGGTGTTCCTCCGTATTCATGGACATTCATGTTTTATAGTTTAATACATATGACTACATGATAGTTATGCATGCTTAATCATGTGCCACATTCATGAGAATGTGATATATCAAATGCACCAGCGAGGAAATGAAGTTCATGGTTATTTGAGGTGTCTAGGATGGGGGGGATCTGAAAGATCAATGATGGTTGGTACCAGCAGGTAGGGGACCAGATTTATCCCAACTTGGGCTTAAATTCGCCCAGATGAAGTTGCAACACCACCAAAAGTGAAGAATACAGTATGGAATTGAAAAACACATATGAATGGATGAAATATGATGAAATTGCCTTTTTCTTCTCATTTCGTGGATGATCCGTGAGTGTTTTTAGACCCAAGGTTGGGACGTTTGCGGGTTGTCGAGCTAGGTAGAGTTGCTATTTGCTGACTGTTCCATCGGTCATTCGAGCAGGTCCCAGCATATGAAATGGCAACTGAATGGACAAACTGTAGTGCGGTGTGATGTTTTCATTGACCCCTCACCGGTTCGATAAAGTGAAGTGGGCTTCAATGAAGTAAAATCAACCAGCATTATCTGCAAGAACCAACCGCCAGCACCTCGTCTTCTGTATCAACAAGTGGTGATTCGGGCAAGTGTTGTTTTTTTCTTTGCATCACTCTTTGTTACTTTAGCCGGGCTATGAAAAGACATCGATCTTAGATGGGTTTCCTTTATTTTGCCATTGAAAACGGGGACTGCCAGATTATTTTACTTGTTTTTTTAACATCTCCATACTGTGACAGGTTGGGAAAGACACATACATCTGAGATTATGATATTCAACTCGTCCGCAGAAAATGGTCCAAGAAGAATCAGCCAGAATATTCAGCATTTGGATATAGATAGGTACACCGCACCGTGCAGGTTAGATTTTCATGGGAAGATTTCGGCCCATCTCCATCCTATAGGATCATCCACAGTGCTGGTTGACATAGAACTCAACTATAACTATATTATATACTATTATCCAACCATATCCAACCACTTATACTCATAATAATACATTATAATAGTATATTTATATTAACCATAAGCGTATAAGCACTTACAATCATTTACTGCAATCATATATATATATATACACAATTATATACACACCATTTTTGTTTTTTCCAGAACCCCCTATATGTATATATTTATATATATATACATATTTATATATATATATACACAGTAATGTATTTAATTTATAATATATCATGTCAGACCGGGATTACTAAACCCAAAACGGCTGTTTAATTGGGGGGCAATACCATTTAAGTATCAGATGAAATGACAGGGGAGTACCCCAGGCCCAGAGACGGGAGACTCCAGGCCTGTGAGGGATATGGAGACGGGTGCTGGCAAGGGGTGATTTTCATGAGATTTAATGGGATTCAATTTGAGTGAATCGTGGTTTAATAGTGATGTTCATGGGGTTTCATACTGATTCAATGGGATTGTTTTCTGGAATCTAGCCTCTTTAAAACTAACATGGCTAGAACATCCCAACCTTTATAGGGTGAAATTCATCTATATATGGGACCCACAGAAGTGCCATTTGGCCGTGAATGGAGGGAGCGGTATGAATTGAGCTTCCCAACCACATGAGAGACTCGGGGTCTCTTTATTTGGAGGGGTCGGGAGATAAGGAATTATTGTTGTGTTGTTTAGGGTGTCAACGCCAGCAAGAGGCCAGGCGCGCGTTGATATTTTCGCGTCTTGATGTGCGGAAGGTGGGGCGGGGTGGGGTAATAACGTTCTGTTCGACTTCTACTCCATAGGAAGTGTTCTTGCACTTCCAAACATACATCAACACATATGTCATGCTATGCTGCTGGATGTTCTCTTGCAGTTCCACACATACGTTATGCTACGCTGCTGGATGTTCTCTTGCACTTCCACACATTTATCATGCTACGCTGCTGGATGTTCCCTTGCACTTCCACACATACGTCATGCTACGCTGCTGGATGTTCACTTGCACTTCCACACATACGTCATACTACGCTGCTGGATGTTCCCTTGCACTTCCACACATACGTCATGCTACGCTGCTGGATGAACTCTTGCACTTCCGCACATATGTCATGCAACGCTGCTGGATGTTCCCTTGCACTTCCATACATACGTCATGCTACACTGCTGGATGTCCTCTTGCACTTCCACACGTATGTCATGCTACGCTGCTGGATGTTCCCTTGCACTTCCACACATACGTCATGCTACGCTGCTGGATGAACTCTTGCACTTCCACACATTTATCATGCTACGCTGCTGGATGTTCCCTTGCACTTCCACACATACGTCATGCTACGCTGCTGGATGTCCTCTTGCACTTCCACAGGTATGTCATGCTACGTTGCTGGATGTCCTCTTGCACTTCCACACGTACGTCATGCTACGTTGCTGGATGTTCACTTGCACTTCCACACATTTATCATGCTACGCTGCTGGATGTTCCCTTGCACTTCCACACATACGTCATGCTACGCTGCTGGATGAACTCTTGCACTTCCGCACATATGTCATGCAACGCTGCTGGATGTTCTCTTGCACTTCCATACATACGTCATGCTACGCTGCTGGATGTCCTCTTGCACTTCCACAGGTATGTCATGCTACGTTGCTGGATGTTCTCTTGCACTTCCACACATGCGTCCGGAACATCCCTCCACCTTCGCGCAACTTGAGTAAATAGATCCAGCGCTTTCTTTTGGTCCGGACGAATCCAGAACGCTCTGCTGAAAAGATCGTCAAACTCAATTTGATGGGGACCCAGGTAGACACACGGGTACCTCGATTCGTAGGTCAGACTTAATCGCGCCTCTTTTTCCAAGGGGGTCTGGTAAAAGGAGCTGAACGACCTCGGCCAACTTTGTGTTTGAAACCAAAAAAGGAACTTTTCGGCGAAACCCTCGGCGAACAAAACTGCAGTTTCATGCTTGTAAAACACTAGATTTTCCACTTTTGAGGTCATCTTTTCCAAGGGATTTGCACCAGATTGTTTTCCAGAAAAATAAACATGTGCAAAATACTACAGTTTTGGACATTTCCATCATCGTCCTGGGACTGTGTGATGTCATCACCGACACGGCCTCTTACAGACGTTGTTACCTTGTTTAGCAAGAGAGACAGGCAAGCAGCAACCAGTGAGAATTGATGGTAAAATGTGTGGAAAAGGGATTCCAAGCGCAGATGAAGTGGTCGTGGATACCTAATCTTGACTATCTTGACCCATAAGGCAGTCGGGAATCCATTTTGTCACAGCGAGGTAAACCTGTGTGGGCACAGTACCCAGCTGAGAAAACAGTTCTCCAAGATTGCGGTTTGACTCGGACCGGTCCACTTCAGAGTTAAATGCTTGTTCGACCACCATGCAGATACCAATATACCCAGATTCATGAGATAATATACATACAGGTATGTATATACATACGCCTAAAAATCATACATTATATATATATATATATATATACAGTATTCTATCTACATATGTGCGAATAATGCATGTATATAACTTAGGTATTTCTTTGATGGAAAGATGTAGAGGTGCAAGATGTTCAGAAGCACATGGGAGTGATGCCTTGCCTTTTTTTGATTATCATTCAAAGCCCTGGTACCCTAGGTATCCTAAAATAGCTGGTTAACTGGTTAACTGTTATTCCCAATAATAGGGAAGTAATAGGTTGTGACCCAATTGGTACAGATTAAAGAAGGATGAAGCAGCACAGAATTGAAAATGCATAGTTGTGGCCATTTGAGTGATTCCTTTTGACATGCCTTGACTATGGAACACCATTACTGACTATTGCACACAGTTATATACAAAAAAAGAACATACCCATTAGGATACCATCTATCATCCAACCAAGTGTATATCTTACCTGGCAGTGGAAAGCACATACCGTGCATGATTTATTGAACAAGTCAAGGGGATAGACATAAGATGTTCCCTTTCTATGTTTGATTAGCAGAGCTTGCTCTTGAAAGTTCATCCAGATGTGGCTCCCTCTTGTTGTTATACTGAAGGCAGGCTGTTGATGATCCACATGAAGTCATCACGGGCACCATCGAAAAGGGTACAGCATGTGCAATCAGTGAGTGAAGATTGATACAGGTGCAATGACAGGTGCAGTGGCAAGATGCCTAGAGTTGGTGTTTTGTTCCAGGTGTCGGTGTCTTCGCTTAAAATGTGATGATTTGGTTCTGTAATTATAGGGCTGAAGCTCTAGCAAACAAAGATGGCAATGAGAAAAACACCCTTGTCATCAGAAAAATCATCCAGACATGGTTGACTTCCATTAATTGCGGCTTAGTACTGCTGGAGGGTGTCAAATTCTGAAGGAGACGACCTCTTGAAGATTAGTGGTCCTGCACCCAAATTGCCTGATGCACCTGGGGATGTTCAACTGCCTCCACTGTTCAACTCCATGCAGAAACCTGATTAAACGGGACCTCAGTTGGCATGTGCACCACGGCCCCACATCTCGTTGTAAGATGTTGTAAGCATTTTCTGGGCCAAGCGCATGTTGGACCACCATAGTCCTTGATCACCCTGAACTGCGATCAGGTAGGGATCGTTTTGAGTGGGGACCAGCACCATGAAGGTCAAATTTCATCGTTTTCTGGAACTGAATAGATTAATAGATGGTCTATTTCTATATAGTTCCCTCACTTGAGTGTGGCGTAACGACGTGCCGCGCCTGCCACGCAAAATGACATATTGCGCCTGCCACGCAAAACACGTTTTCTTTGTACTTGAGTGCTGCAACCTGGAAGATGAGGCAAGTGACACAGACATGGCCTACATGGAAAAGTTCAAAACTTGAGTTGTCCATCTGGGCGCCAGCGCTCAAACTTGAGTTGCCCATCTGGGCGCCAGCACTTGACCGCCCCTACCCTGGCCCTCGCGAAGCGGCTAGCATGGCCTGCCAATCCGCGGCGCGCACTGCTGGTGACGCGGCGCCCCTGCAGGTAGCTACCGAACGAACGCCCAGAGAGACAACGCGAGCCGCTTGGTCAGCAGTGGGAAGAAGCAAGAAAGGTCTTTTGCAACATGTTTTTTCCCCAAAACTTTCTTCAAACAAGCGTTGCCACACCGGCATTTGTTGCTCCTGCATTTTTTACATGAATGCCAGCTTCAATGCCCGCACCACGCAAAAAAATCATCGAACCCAGTGAATATGGCTGCCGATGAGGGTAGTTCCATTCAACTCGGCAGCAAAATGGGCACAGCAGCATACGATGATGGTCGACTGCAATTACTTTATTTTGTATGTATATATTTATATATAATATGCATGGTTTTTATTTTAATTAATCTACATGTACATATATACATATATATATATATGTATTACTTATGGATGTATCTATGTATATATATATATATATATATAGAATTATATAGATGCATTTCGGGGTTGTCCACCAAACACCGCGCTTTTGACCCATACCCATTTGAAAAATTGAATTTAACGGGTGAATGAGAATAACATCACCACCAGCCCGTCATAAATGATTGATATTAAAGGAAACCAATATTTTCCAGCATGGTGAGTTGTTCTCCAGGCTGTTACTTTATGCATCCGGTCACAAGTCCGGCAAGTAGAGTAAGGGTATTTGCTACGTGAGGTGAACTAGCCTTAGTTTCAGAGCATTCCCTACCTTCCCTTATGGTGCGCTATGGTGCATTATCATTTTCATTTATAACTGGCATTTCGAAGGCATTCCGCTTTGCAGACAAATCGTATTAATGTTTTGGTAGCCTTAAAACCATCAATGGGGGAAGATGGGGAAAGTGATGTGCTAAACCGTGCCGGTTCGGGTTTAATTTTTGTTTTTTTCAAACGAACCCATATGTTTTGTGTGTGTGTCTGCGTGTTAAATGCACAAACAAAATATTGGAAACCTCCGGAAATTTTACCCCATGTTTCAACATATTGTTTTTAAAGGCATTTAACCCCAAATAATATTTAAGACCCAAAAAAAATCCTTGGGACACATTTTGGCCCACAACGTGTTCTGCGTTTGTCTGAAAATCAGGCACCGCCAATCCCAATTCCAATCGGTCATCATTATGTTCCCCCTTCAAATTGCCATTTTCAGGTAAACACAATTTTTCAGACACACCAAAATACCGCATCTTGATTTTATAGTAAGCATATCCCCGTTAAATACCCAATAAATCCCATTAAAACACAATTTTGATGGTTAAACCATGAAACCCTGTAAACCACCATAAAATCACAATGGTTCCCAGCTAAATCCTATAAACATGTTTCCAGTTAAATCCCATAAGCCCACCATTTTTCCCGGTGATCAAAACGCTTGGTTCCATCAAGGTTCCGCCCGGGGCCGGAGCCGGAGCCACACATACGGCCACGGCGGCCATGGCGGCCATGGCGGCAGCGGCCACGGCAGCCACTCGAGGCGCTCGAGGAGCCAGGTGGTATTTTTCGATGGGATTTAACAACATGGAAATATATGGAAATAGTGAATGATGGGGGTTACATGTACCATCAAAAATTGTGTTTCACTTGTTTTTTTTCGAAATACGTATTTATATAACGGAGGCATAGGCGGATATACAAGAAACAATCTGTCTATGGGTGTGTCTGAAACTGGGGGAGGATTTTGGGGTTACCTATTTCCAGACAATTCGCCATAGATTTCGATGTTTTTAGCGGGGGCGTATGTTGCAGGAATAGTTGTTGTTTGTTGCCGAAAGAACCTCAAAAAACATGTTTGTGCGCAAGGCTGGTTCTGCCCATGATATGTCGAGTCAAGCATTCATGTGTTTTGAGTTTTGGAGATAATATAGGTAAATAATATATAATAATCATAATAATAATAATAGCCATAATAATAATATCGTAATAATAAATATATAATGATAAATAATGATACTAATAATAAAATAGATAATAACAGTGATGAAATCAAATGATAATGATAAATATAAATAATAATAAGTAATAATAATTATCAAAATAATCAAAATAAATAGTAATTATAATAGCAATAGAAAAATAATGATACTAACCAAATAATGATCGTAAACATAACAAAAATAGAGTAATAGTTTCAAGTATGATAATAAAAATTAATAATAATCATGATAACAATAAATAGTAATAAACAAAAACAGATAGTCAACATAATAATAAATCATATCAAAAAAATAATAAATAAACATAACATACAAATAATACATAATAATAACAACAGATATTCAAACTAATAAAAATAAATGAAACATTCAGTATAATAAATATAAATAATAATAACAATAATAATAAATGATGAAAATAAAAATAACAAATAATGAACAGAATAATAGTAGTAAATGATAAACACACAATAAATGCAAAACAATAATAAATAGAACATGTATACAATTAAAAAAAAAAAACATGATAATAATCAACCTAAACAAGACCATTTTTGCAATCATAATGTTCGAATGCCATTTTTCTAAAGAAACGAACGCATGTTCCATGTCCATCTCCATGGTTTAACCTTGGCCAAACAGAGAAGAAATGATAGCAGATCCTGCGTGGTCTTCCATGTGAGTTTCCTTCAGGAGTCGTCGGCGTGGAAGGTGAAGCCTTGACTCCGGTGGAAACAGTTGAAAAAACGGCAGCAGTTAGTGAAAGGCATGTTTTTGTTGATCACCTTACATCGCCCTGTGCCTTGACTATTTCTGATGATTTTACATTGTTTCCATATGTTTGTCAGTGAAAAATATGTTGCCGAATGACATGTATATATTGTCGGTGATGTTTCATGTGAATTGTTTTAAACCCCCATATTTTAACCCTTGTCCGCAGAACAACGTCATGCCCACATGTTTGCCTGCTGATCCCAAAATGCAAACCCCACCACGCAGGGGCGCATTTCAATAAGTTGATATATATATATATATAATATATATATAATATGTATATATATATATATTTGCAATTTATTTCTGCAAAAATTGGTTGACTCTGTGCAGTGTCAAACTCCTTTGATTTATCTTTGGTGGCAATGCCGGTGTTTGTGAGATTCACCTCTTTGGGACTGCCACTGATTGTTTGTGCTTACTTATTATCCAAGTATCTGGGAGTCTGGTAAATTTGCCCATTCGACTTCAAATTCATAGCCATGGTGTTCAATAGCCAAGCATGGTGACTCAGTGACAAGACATGGCAGTTTTGACATGGCCAGCCAACAATTCAATTGATGAATTTGTTTTTCAGCTTCGTTTTTGCCCAGGATCACCCAGTCCCAAGTGTAAAGATTCTTCATTTTGGGTTTCAACAATTCTTCTTCACTGAGTTTCCCGAACATCTGAGTTTAGTCCCTCAGCCCCTATACGCATTTGGTGAAACCCACGTCGAACTACACCATGTCGAACCCGGGGGTGTCCGAATGCCTGACAGCGCTGCCCGCAGGGGCCCCGATTCGCATAGATTTGTTGGGGAAAGATTTGATGGATCTGGGAAAATTTCAAATTTCAATAATGCGCTTAAAACAATGCCATAAACCACCTGTTTGGGAATGGTAAAAATACCACCTATAAAAATGGTGATTTTGGGCATGGTTTATAGTTATTTTACCAACATTAATTCATGATGGATGATGTGGGGGTACCCTCGGAGGAAATCTCCATCAATTTTTAGATCTTGAGATTTGAGATTTGGTCCAATGCCGTTTCCAACAAGGCCCTCTTTGGCGACATCCAGTCGCTTCTGATTCGAGTCATCAATCTGTGTAAATTTTAACGACCTCACTGCGACCTCACTGGAATCATGTTTAGTAAGGGGAATCATCCCCAAATGACCTTAATTCAGGTTAGTGAAATATTATAATTTACCCAGATCAATCTTGTTTTTATTTTATTTATACGTTCATGATCAGCGTTGTTATCATCATACTTTGATAGGACCTTGGGGCGGAAGTCAGAGGATATTACTGGATCCTTTACTGGTTTTCCTATTGGAAGGTGCCGGAGAAACAGGTTGTTGAAAGACTTGAACAGAAAAACGCTTCCATGTGATTCACTCTACGTATCTATACATATATCTATACATTGTATTCATCAAGCGCCAACTTTGACATATGATGTGTGCTTGCATGATTGTGTGTATCTACTAGTTGGATCATATGAATGTTGAAATTGTGTATATCATTACATCCCATTCTTATTCACATATTATCTCCAATAAAAAACAATAAACATCCACAAACGTCCCGGGATCTAAAACCGCGCGAGCATTTCAGGACGCTTCAACTTGACACATGCACAATTCACTGCAATTTTCAATGAACAATAAATGTTTCTCATGTCTGGCAAAGCCAGAGTTCGGTCCCAAAAAACGGATTCAAGCTCATCATATGTTCGTCAACATGCTGTAAATACCACAGTTTCAAAAGTGGACATTTAGTGTTTTCAGCATCTTCAGCACACAAAATGCATTTTTTTGAAGATCGCTGGTCGGTTTAGATTTTGCGAAGCATTTCCCCTTTTTTCCAACAGGTTTTGGGCTGTGTATTGCCAACATCGCAACCACATCATTGAAACTATAGTACTAACACCGACCCCTAGGTAACTTTTAACCTCCACCCACCACCCCCCTTGGTAGCCTCAAGAGCATGTCACAAGTTCCTTGAACAAGTTCAGATCGAGCATCAAGAGAACGTCCACTAGCGTAGCATGACGTGTGTATGTAAGTGCAATTGAACGTCCACTAGCGGTGACAGGTGTGTGCGTGTGTGTGCGTGTGCGTGAAACATCTGAACAGATGTAAAACTTCTAGCAGCGGACTTGGACGTATTATATTATATTATATTGATATTTTCTCGGAAAGTCTTGTAATTATTCGTCAAAAAAGAGAGGATCGTAAACACAATTCTCAAGTGATGGTTTTCTTTTTATGGTAAAAACATCCCAAACTATCATTTGAGCTCAAGTTGATGTTCTGGGCAGTGAATCTCATTCCATCCACTGCCCAACGAAGACGGTGGTTTGAGATTGTGATATCGGGAATGATCATCCCGACGTACCTGCAAAGCATCTCGATTTCTGGACATGGGACGTGGCTAACCTAAGAACCACAACACCGATTTATTCATTTGGTTTTGACGGACATGGCGGAGGGCTAAGCCGAGAACCCTGCTCTACAGTTTTTCAAGGTCATCAAATTTGTCAAGTTTGCAACGTTTTTCGAGTTTACATTGCTCCTGGAGGTCTACCTAGGATCGATATTCGTGTTTGGTTGCACGTTTTGGGACTCATTCCCAATGGATCACTTCAATGATCCAGTTCTCTTCTAGTGCGCGCAAGTGCAAGAGAACGTCCACTAGCGTGGCTTGACATGTGTGTGTGTGTGATTGCGTGCGCAAGTGCGATTGAACGTTATTAGCCTACCCCACCCCACTCCACATTGCAAAACGCAAAAAACCCAAGAATGCTTGTACGGCTTCAAAGCCGTAGGCATAAACTTCCGTAAAGATCATAAACATTAACATTATTGATTATCTCCCACTATCCCCCATAAACACTTTACCATTAAATTGTTTTGTTTTTTTATTCCGCCGAGAAACCGAGGCAGATGCCTTGGGAAAGCCAGTCCTGCAGACTGAAAGCCTCTCGGTGATGGAAACTTATGGGGAGATTTCCGCAAAAAAAATCCAAGTCATTAGACCATTTTAGTATTGAAATCCATGGTGACTTGGGGATCCTCCAATTTAGAAAACCTCTATGGTGAACTTATGGAAAACAAGGGAATAAACTGTTGGAAAAAAACATAGGGAAAAAAATGGGAAACTAGCAATAGGGATGTGAGAGAATGGAGATAGGATGAGATTTTAGCCGTTTTAATCGGAAATTAGTAAATTTGAACCATGATTTATTAGGGGTTGAACCATGAACAATATGGGGTTAGAATTGATAAATGATGGTTGGCAGATGATTTGTTGTGAGGGCTTGATAGGGTTTACACTACCCTTTATATTAGTTGGGGATAGTTGGAGTTTGTCGTAATCCATGAACTGGGAATCCAGTTCTTAACCAACCAATGTAAATGGAAGGTCGCGACGTCAATGGAATGATGGGAACTGGATTGGGGGTAAGTATCCACAATTGCCGATTTTTTCGGGTTGGTGATGTTTTCAATTTGTCCAGATTGATATAGAAAGTTGAGTGTTGTGGATGCCTGAAATCGACACATCAACGCAGTGTCAAATGCATGGTGAGATGCGAATTCCAAGTTGGATACTTAAAATGCAGGCAGGTAAGATTCGTATATACATAATTATACATATATGCCATCAGGAAAAGTGTTCATGGTCATCAATTCATTTCATATCAGGGAAATGTTAATATACGGTGTTTCCGGGGCCGTGCAGGGATGACCATGTTTTTGTGCCCTGATTACAGTCTGTCAGTTGTTCCTGCAGGACCAGCCGGTTCTTGTTGATCCAATCTCCAATTTTGTGTGGTGTAATAGTGTGATTCACTTTTTTTTGCCACGTCTGCTGTTAAGATTGCTCCAATCTCCAAATGCCAGCCATAAGGGGAGTAAAGTTTTGGTGATCCCTCGTTTACCTATTTTCATTGAAACTTGTTTTCCTCTCTGTGGGTTGTTATATTTTATGGTGCTAAAAACTCTACTGTTTTTCGGCACAGGCAAGATGTGGGTCGATGACATATCGGCCGAGTGCAGATTATTGGTGTCTGGGCATGGAAGCGTATTCATACATAGAGGTTTGATCAGTGGGCAGTTCAAGTCTGACATTGCCACAGGATTCTCAGCAGCAAAACGGGACTGATCATGTTTCAGCAGAATCAGTTGGCAATGACGTGGTTAGTAACCCTGAAGCCTTGTTACCCCCAAATTGTGTGACCTTCGAATGCAATGGAATTAAATGGACTCATAAAATAGTTTTCGAATGGTTAGACAATACAGAAATGATTCAGAAGTGGAACCTTTTCTTTAAACCTTTTGACTACCAGATGTTTATCATGTGAAACAAGAGTTGATCATCCCATTAGGCTTCAGCAGATCTAAGCAGCCAAAGTTTTGAGTTTTTGTGCTCAATCTGATTGGCCATTGGCCATGTTTTTTGCCATGTATCAAACATGGAATTGTGATGAATTCTGGGGTTTTCCTATGGTTTCCCTATGGTTTTCCCAACATCTTCAGAGATGGCTCGGCCATCGAGGTCTATACGACGCCGGATCCAAAGGTGGAGATTATTGCAGTGGCTTTCACCCAGCTGACGCTGCGGGATTTCGCCGGTTTTGAAGCGATTTTCGTAGGGAAAATCAGGTGAATTTCTCAGAATTTGGCATTTAGATCATGGGAATTTGGGGTATAATTATATTGTAATTATATACATATATATATATATATTAAATATAAATATATATATAGGGTATAGTACAAGTACCATTTGTTTTCAGACCAGGCCAATTTTGAACAGAGCTGGACTTGAGCAGCAAGAAACTGGACTTGAGCTACCAGACAAGCTAATCTGAAGTTGTTTCCATGTATTGCTTCGTTATAGATACACAGGTTTGGACACCACCTGTTCTGGCAGCTGGTCTTTTGCTCAAGAAACCTTTCGAACGACATTTCTGCGCCCAGATGGGATGCGAATCTTGGTGTGACTGTCTGAGAGATGGGTCATACTATTCAACATCCAAACATGCATATCCAAAAATATTGTATAATACATAAGTATATCTTTATATTCATAACAGATGAACATCAATCATCATGTTGTTACACATTTTATACCATTTTACACTCTCAAAATATTTGAATCTTATTTTATACAGTAGTGGGAAATCAATCCGCATTTCCTTTGTTTTTTTGTTTTCCCTAGTCGTCAGTCCGGCTTTCTTGCTCCTTGACCCAGGACAGCGAGGGCTTTCTGGTGCGTACTGCAGAGCCTGGTGACGAGTCTGCGACCTTTGGCCATGGTCGAGTGGATGATCATGATGATCACCATATTGGGCACCGGATTTTGGGGATGATTTACCCTCCAGTAAATTAACATAGACCCTGGCAGATACTGTAGGGGATGAAAGATATTGGAAGATTAGTTTCCATTAAAAATGACAAAAATGGGCCATTTTCAATAGCAAACTGTTAGTCATTACCATAGGGTAACTATGAAAAATGGGGACGTCATGGGATCATCATGGTGATGTTTTTTAGCAAAATCAATCTATAGTTGAATTGGATTCACCGATTTTTTTTTGGGGGAATGGACGTAACGGCATAATCAATCCATGTTCATAACATATAGATTAACCAATGATGTTTGCCATTTTTTGACCATGGTACATCTATGAGAATCCTTCTCAGTTGGCCCATTAAGAAATTGTAAAATATGGTTAAAGTTAAAGCACTATAATTATGGGTGAAGATGATTCTTAATGGGTACAGCGCATGTGAGTGTGTGCAGCTGCATGGATATGGAATAATGACTTATATAAGCAACTTACTAATTGGACGATGGTTAGGCATGGGGAACTGTCCGAGTAACTCGCCAAAACATAGATCAACAAATTGGTTCTTTCTGCTCTGGGAATTCTAATAAGTTATTGCATGTTATTGCCTAGATCCAGGGGCAAGCAATGGCAACCAATTTATTCCGTCCATATGGCAAACTTGGAACTCTGATAAAGTTAGACAACTACAATGTGAGGCCCCCCAGTTATAAGTGGGTTTATAAGCCCCAGTAACTATAGTTGTAAGTACCATAAACCATAGTTATTGAAGTTATAAACCAACTTAGCTAACTATAGGGCACCACCTTGTATGATAACATGCAAGTTTTGCTGCGATGGCCGGGCCTAAGCTGGCGTCTACGAACCACTGCAGTTTATGCTCAGTTTATGGCCTACGCCGAGGATCCATTTGGTCTTGAAAGCTTCGTATTCCGTGCTTTTGCGCGGCGTCTACGAAGATCACGTCAGCAGCTGAAAGTGTTGTTTTTTTTGGCAAGGGAAGGTGTTTCAGTATGTTTCCTGGTTGGTGGTTTGGAACATGAATGGATTATTTTTCCATTCAGTTGGGAATTTCATCATCCATTTGACTTTCACTCCATCATTTTTCAGAGGGGTAGGGTTGCAACCACCAACCAGTTTCAGTCAATAGTCAAATGATGTGAAATGGTTGTTTGGGCGGTGCTGCGGGCCACTTTTTACAAGCGGGTTTCAACGGTTGATCAAGTCAAACCACCAATCAGGCATTCTCCCCAAGGGGAACTCCACTAATCAGCTAGTTTGTAAGAGCACTAGCCAATAACTCACAGCTCCATCAGCCGCAATTTCCTAAAAACATCTAAAAAGAGGTTTAACAAAACAGCAGAAACCGAGCACAAACCGAGCATAACTGAGGTGTTGGATGCATTTCTGCCCCATATCATCCACTGTGAAGCCGAGCTATTCAGCTCTCAACAGTTCTTTGTGGTGATGCATCAGCCTTCCAACAGCATCGTGGCCTGTGGTGGCTGGTCGCAGGAGAGGGTTGGAACCAAAGAGACCACAGAGGGCCTAGGACATCTGCGACAGTTTGCCGTGCACCCGCAGTGGGCTGGGAAGGGCCTGGGCAAACGGCTCTTTGATGCTTGGTGCTGAGCTAAGTTCCTGAAATCGATGAGATGGAACCATCGAAGTGGAGTTGGAAGATGTTTTTAAGATTTAAGATCTTACTATAATCGATATTGCTGGCTTGTCAGTTGGCTCTTGCGAAGCCAAGGAAGCCTGTCAAAGACAAGGAAAGGAGATGAATGTTTCTTGGTCTTGAGCTTCAGGTCGTGTTTCGTTTTTCTGTCGATGTCGAACTGTTGGATGGGGCATGGTCCATATGGGCAAAAAAAGACATGACAAAATCCATGAACCTGAACGGCACCATCGAAATGGTTGGGCGCCAGGAGATAAAATGTCAACATGGACCAAGTCGACCAGCACAGTAAAAATTGCATTGACAATATGTGAAAATCATAGAATATGATTCTGAAGATGTTGTTTTGCATAGCTACAGTAGCATGTGACCTATAAGAAATAATGATTGACCATGAATTAGGCCTGGCCCATAGTGTTGAGGATAGAATCCTCTCTGAAGGATGAGGCGAAACGCTGGTTACATCACCAATTTTCTTATGGAAATCTCAAGTTTTCTGTTCAGATTCCAGCATATTCCAGCAACTTGGCTATTTTGGGATAGGATTGATGTTCTAAAAAAAATATATTTACAGTATATGATCTTATATGGGAGACCCCAAACATCTCTGTAGAGTTGCCACTTGATCTCTCCATTTTCGGGGCTGAGGTGACAGACTTTGAGTGTTGCTCATCACTGCTGGCTGAAGGCTTCTATCGACGTTTGGGGCTGCAGACCATTGGGGACAAGGTGGAACCGGCTCCTCGAGACCGCACTGTTGTGATACTGTTGTTTCTTTCAGTAGAAGATCTTTCAGTAGAATAAATAGTGATATAAAGATTAAAAAAGTAAGTATGTGTTTGCTCTAGCTACCCTTTGAGACCATCTTCGGGGTGATTTCTTGGACTTGAATCCATTGAAACGGCTTGAAACAGCCGCAAAGGAAGGTATATTTTGTTTGCAATAGGCTTTGATATCAGTTGAACGTTGATATATCAATTCTGTTGTGATCCAGCAGTGTCCTGTTGCTCCAAGCATGTTGCAGCACTCCAAGTGCCGCGTAGGAGGTTTATGTGAAGGATGGAATCCCACCCATCCCCTGCAGCTTGACTCTGGGAATCCTGGGAATCGGCCTGGTGAGGATCATAGTTCTGGGGAAAAAATGGCTTACAGATCTCTGGAGATGTGAAAAACCCATTAGAGTGATCATTAGAGTGATCAACAAGATTAGCCAATTCTTTATCATAGATAAATCATCCATGAAGAATTGTCCATAGCTACAGTGAGGCCCCCCAGTGATGTGAACGTTGGTTTAGATGCGCCCCAGTAACTAGTTCGTTATAAGTACCATAAACCATAGTTATTGGAGTGATCAACAAGATTGGCCAATTGTTTATCAGTATCATGGATTTTCGGGGATACAGTGTAAGTTGGAAACTACTCGTAGTTTCCAAATGTTTCCAATATCCAGGTCGACCAATGCGGCATTTAGTGTTAGTATCGTTTAGTATCTTGTGGAAGAGGCACTTTGCCAAGTCGTCAGCATGTAGCACTACGACGCGCTACAATGCACTAGAAATATTCGACTCAAGCTGACTTCTGGTTTCCCTTTGTTCAAGTGTAGTCACTGCCAGCATGCTATCGCAAAAGCAATGATAGAACACATCTTGGCAAGGCGGAAAGAAGGCAACCTAAGGCAACCTACACCCTTCTCGCGTCAGCACTTCCAAAGATGGCTACATAAAGAGCTGCGAGCCAGGAAACTCCTTTCAACAAATCATATCAAATCATAGCAAAGCCTGCTCTTCTGCCAGGTTTGTGTGAACCAGCTACAACTCTAATCAGATTAGCGACATACCGTATGATGCTATGATGCAGCAGTGAAATCCAATGAAATTGCAGCTGGGACCCGCACCGCCGTAGGCAAGCTTATGAAGACCAGCCTGACATCTTGCTGAATCTGAGATACACTGAGCACATGAATTTTGGAGACTGATCTCTGGTGGATCAAACCTCAGGGATAGTAGATCAAGCCCGAAAAGCATGAACTGTGTCAGAAAAACTGACTTGGTTTTGACCTATTTTGATTACAGATTGGTGGTTAGTAGCCACAAGTGGGTCGTGTATCGCATTAACAGTTTCATGTAGCCAACAAAAGTTGAGATCAGAGATCAAACTGTTGCATTGATCCATCCACTGACGATCGATTTGCAGATGCACAGCACAAGGCTAGCATCGTCCCTGTCGCGGTTTGCCACCTGCCGCCGCCCCGCAAGAAGCAGAGTGGCTGGTTGTAGGTGGCTGGCCCAATGTACAGACAACTGGCACCATCAGTTCCCAGCGATCAAAACTGTGGAGGCGGTTAAGACTGCTTCCAGGCCGTGAAGGGTCGTCATTCTTATGGGTCAAGTAATGTGTTGACCCCATGTAACTCCAACATTCAAACCATCCACAAAATCACAATTGTTATGGGTGCTATAGCAGTGCTAGGTGCTGTGTTTACCCCTTCATGGGGATCCTGGTGAAATCCTGGTGAAATCGATCTCAAATCGATCTCGCGCCTAGGTCGTGAAGGGTGAGGTTCATGGTCAAGAGGACAGCTGATCTGTGGCCATCATGGCAATTTCGATCATTTCATGTGGATTTTACTGGGGATATCCTGGATCGTTCAATCATGTTCAATCCAACCGTTTTTTTGCATGTGTTTTGACATGGGAAATCATGTTTTTCCCAACAATTTACTAAAACCAGCCTTAAAAGATGTGGTTTTTGGTATGTAAGCACAGCCATGTTTTGATGACTGTTAAGGGGTATCCCATGTTGGCAGAAACTGAAACAAATCAGATGCTTGTTCTGTCTATGTCTAGGGAAAAAAAACGGGATGCACCTAGAGTCTCACTCTATCCCTGCAATTTCTAAGCATTGGAACTTGACCGAAACATGTTCCTAGTACCTATATAGGTACAACTATGCATACGATGCATGAGCGTCATTGTTGAAGTTGAAGAAATATGTGGTTTGTTCTACTCTGAGGGATCCTGGATGTTCAGAAAGTCCCATATGACACATATCCATATGGTTATTTCATGCTGTTTCTACCGGAGAGCCGTTCCTTTGCAAGACGTATCCCCATTTTGGCTGGTGACGTGAAATCACAGGAATTTCAGGATTCAAAATCGGAGTATATGGGTACCCTCTGGTAATTTAACATAGCTATTGAAAATGGCCATTTATAGTGGATTTTCCCATTTAAAATGGTGATTTGTCCAGAGTTATGTTAGTTTACCAGAGGGTATGTCTTTTTTGTGATCTATGTTTGTTGGCAAAAAGAGTATCCCAAAATCCCAATGCTTCATTCATGTCATCATCATGTTCCCTCTTGTATACAATAGCCTATAACCATAAATTCGGAGAGTTCATGTAATCACCGAATACATGGTTGATTGGTCAAACCCAAATGTGTAATAGTTAAATTACATGTTTTTGTTGCTTGAATCCCAATGTCCGAATGGTTTGTACTCTTTGAGGCTTAGGGTATATTATTAATAAATATATATATATATATTGATTTAATAACATATAGTAATATATATATATAGTAATATATATAATAATATATATTATTAACTATTTTTATAATATTATTATTATATTATATACTGTGTACATGTATTCCCATTTGGTGATGTTCACCCCACAGCCACAGATCGCCCATCCCAGCAGTTAGGGGGTGCCAGCTCGTGTGCACTCTGAATGCTTCACGGGGGATGTGCTCGCCTCCAAACGTTGGGCGGCTCAGCTAAGGGCTGTGTCTATCCAACGTTAGGATACATGGATGTGGGTCAAAATGGAAGACCTAGGGGACCACAGATGGAAATGTCTAGTTTAGTATTCACCATCCAATTATTGGGCTACCTAATTTTGACCCATACCCACATGAGGATGGCCAGTAATGGAGCGTGATGATGGGACATCCCCTATGACTTTCTTTGAAGGCTTTGTGACGTGATGTGTTTCTATGGATGGGGACATGTTCCAGAGCCATCTTTGATTACCTTTTTGGGTGCCACAAACTTGAAAGTCGAATGGGAAAATGATGATCAAAACCAAACACAAAACTAGATGGTAATAAAATGTGTTTCAAATAAGACATGTGCCAAACTGATTTGCCAAAAAACAATTGACAGTTTCACAACACTCACCAAATGTGCAGGTCCTGCGGCGCCCAATTTTGACAACAATTTGCCAACACAGCAACGAAGATGGGATGTTTTCACACGCGCGCGCGCACATATTTTTCATGTTTGGCCTGAAGCCTGCACGCAAGGAATAAAGGCAAACCACAAAATCCATCAAAATCCTGACACCTCTTGCAGGTCACTTGCTTGATTTGCAGCAAAATTGGCACATGGTCTTCATCCAATTTTGCAGGGTTTTCCCGATGATATTCCTTTCAACAAGTCGGTCAAGGTTTGAAAAGGTTGAAGCGTTTTTGAGGAAAAAGCGAGACTCGGTGACAGACAGGACTGGTGGTTTCATTTTTGTTTACCATGTCCATTTTGATTCACAATAAAGGCATGAGAAAATCACAGGAATCCAAGAAAAACAGTAGTGGGTTCAGAGATCATCCTGATCAACCTGAAGCCCAGTAGATGTCCGATGTCATCCACAGAACCCATCTACTCCGTGGGGTGTTTTTCTGAAATGTATAAGGGTCCCCCCAAAACAGGCGAGTTTATTCGTAGGGCTGGATTGCTACATGTACATATTGGAAGGTCAATGCCCTTCTTGGATCCATCCATTCTCCCTGTCCCTAACCATTGAAGTCCCCAAATCTATGTCCATTTAATCATTTATATAGATGTTCCCTGGTGAAATAATAACTGATTATTATAACAAGTCGACTATAAACCCAACCATCATTCGGAGATTGGGGGTTATGACCCAATTACGAAGCTGCGATCCTAACTTCCAGGATAATTCAAGTATACATTTTAAAGAATCTCATATATTATATAATTCCACCATCCCGCTAATATTAAACACCCCATTAATACGTGTTCCAAATATGTGCAAATCTCCCGATCTCCCACCATGATCTCTAGGGACACTTTAGTTTTAGGGGAAGGGATTTTTATGTAGAGGTGATATCCCCCTGCGGATCCATTCCAGATCTACTCCCGCCGCAGGTTGTGACTGCGGCCAGCAGCTTCATAAATTCATGCGGGTGATGAACGATGTGCCAGGAAGACCCAGCAACGATGGCCCTCTTTGAACAGCCGGGTAAGAATGAAACTGTGAAGTGATGATTGAATTTGGAGAAATGACCTCCAAGTGGATAAACATAATCTATGTTTGACTGGAGGTTATATATATATACATACATACACACATACATACGTTTAAGCTGGTGCACTATCTACCGGGACATCTTTACTTGCGAATACCTGGGACATGAATCAAGCAACAAGGCTGGGAGCTCAGGGATTTTTCATAACTCATATCCGTCGGGAGAGCCAAGGCAGCCAAGGTGCCATGAAGATCAAGAGATATTTTTTAGTTGTAACATGTTGTAACCATTGCAGCCTCATACTATGTGATCTATGAGATACAAGATGGGTTTCTAATACCAGTAGAACCAAGAACCTATGAAATACAAAATGTCGGGTTTTAGGTCACTGCGGATGGAAGTTCCATGAAAACTAGTGATTGGCTCTGATCCAGTAACGCTGAGGGTTTCCTTGTTGATGCCAACTTTGAAGCAGATGCCAAGGGTTTATGGATAGGGCTCCAAAAAGTCACCAAAAAACAGAACTTTTTGTCGAAGGGCGGATCTTCTCCATCGACCATTTGTGTTTCGGACACCGAAATTGGGGCTCATTGAATCTTAATGAGATGCCTATAATTTGGATCCTGTTGGGTTTCAACATTGGAAGATAGCTTTCTGAAAGGACATTGGAAATGGGCTTGTGCAATGTAACCCGAAATCCTTCAGTTTAGATCATAATTATTTAATTATTCATAGCTCTCTGCACTAAACCCTGATCAAATGTCCATAAATGGGGGCATCACCATGTTTGGATACACCAACATGGATGTACATATGTTCCACAAATATGGATCACAGTGCCTGGAGGTGTGTGTGTGTGTGTGTCGACGCAGCCATCACTTCGTGCAGCTCACTCTCAAGTGTCCGCATTCTGGTATGTGTCATTAATATTTATATAGTAACTTGAAATATGAATCACAAAAAGCATCGGTCCTTAAGATCTTAAATTTGTATAAATGTCTGGCATGACTGGAAATCGAACAGAGGCCCTTCGCCATTTTGCTCTACATCAAGGGGCAAGAGGGGCCGGGCAACTCAGAACTCAGCTAGTGATTTGGGTGCGTCCTGTCACATGAGGATACTATGGGATCAGAGTAAATTTTCTCCGTGCCGGAATTGGAGCGTAACTAAGGTGGTAAATTTTATCTAAAGCTAAAAAAAAATGGTAAAAAAAATCCAACTTTTTGATGGGAATGCAACTTTTGATGGTTTTTTTTGTGATTGATACAGTACCTTTGGAACTTGGTGTGCTCCATGTTCACACAAACCCATTTGAACATGGACCTGTGGAATGAAGGTGTTGGCCAATCACTGCCATGCACATTTGCCCCCCTTTTCGGCTTGCAGCTACGATTTCTACCCCTCCTGATAGTTCAGGTATGCTGAATATTTTGAGATATTTTGAGGTTTAGTGCCTCTCCTTTGTTACGCATGCCAAGTTTTGACTTTGTAGGGACATTTGATCAGGGTCCACTGTCATAGGGCATATAGATGTTCATGGTGTTCAAGATCGCAAAGTCTTAGATCTTGCTTTTTGGTACCAACCGGATTCATATGTTTCTCAAATTGCCGATGTCAAACCTGTCGCCTGCATTGTGACTAATCAGCAAAACTATTGCGGGTGAATGTTGGCCAACCATTATATATATATATATATTATATCCTTCCTTGTAGCACCGGCATGGTACCATGTGGCTGTTTCTCAAAATTGGTGTCTCTGCATCCCCAAATCGCTCCTGCATTTTTTTTAGAAAGAAGCTCGTAGTTCATATAAAATGCATTGTTTTACCATAGTTTTTACCATAAAAGGTACTCAAAATAGTCTTACCATAGTTTTACCATAGTTTTACCATAGTTTTACCATAGTTTTACCATAGTTTTACCATAGTTTTACCATGGCAATGTTTCAAAATCCTAAATCAATGGAGCTTCAAAATTGGGAACGTCTACAGGCGAGGCATCGGGCTCTTGGCCAAGATCCGTTGGGGGCCCCCGATGCATGCGGCAACAAAATGGGTCAAAAACATTTGGAAAAGCCCTGCTTAGCGTTGTATAGATGTAGACTGATGTAGACTGATATAGACTGATATAGACTGATATAGACTGATATAGACTGATATAGACTGATATGAATATAGTTTATCCCGATATGTATCCTTATTAATATTAATATAGATTAATATAGATATACAGTAAGTTCAATGATCATCCTGTCAGATGATCCGGGATATGTGGGTCGCTGGAGGATCCTATGGAAACTGGATGCACTGGTAATCCAGCCTGGTAATGGAAAATTCCGAACAGGAACACCATCTAGAAATAGATGAACATAGATGAAAATAGATGAACATAGGAAAATAGCTGATTAATTCATGCCGATAATAACCTATTGCATCCTATCGCCATTTGATTGCAGGGTATGGGAAAGGGATGGAGAAGGCGCCTCCACATTCTGGGCCAACACTTTTTGGATCTCCGGTGGTTTCCACAGATGCCCGAAATGCCGAGACCGAGGTGCCTACCAGTTGCAAGATCAAGGTCATGATACGGTGGATGCCAATTTGAAGCTAGGCTTGCCTGCAGCTTGGTGAAGATGTTGAGCTGTTGGGAGGTTGGGATCGCCATTGGCGAATGATGTGAGCTCATCATCTTCTCGGGTTGACATCCTGGTACCTGGATTTAAGATGATTTAAGCATGTTTTGCAACCAGACACCCCAAGCAACAGAGACCATGTGGTACAATGTGAGGCCCCCCAGTTATAAGTTGGTTTATAAGCCCCAGTAACTATAGTTACAAGTACCATAAACCATAGTTATTGGAGTTATAAACCAACTTAGCTATCTTGGGGGCCTCACATTGTATGCATATTGTGTTTCCCTAAAAATATAAAACACCATGACCGTTGACCCCAGCTGTTAGCCTGATGGGACTCTGGCGCTTGAAGCTAAACAATCCCAGATGCTGATTAGAACTACACCCTAAAACCTGGTCAGGCACAAAAAGAGGATCAAAAAGGACCATTAAAAAAACAATATACATACATATATATTATATATATAAGGCCTAAGTTAACCCAAACACAGGTTCTCAACTCAGCGTGTGACTTAACTAGCCGACATCGAAGATCAGAACTCATTGTTTCAAACAGGTGCCATGGTGCCATGATGTACTGGAAATTTGTTGGCCAAAAGCATTGTGCTTTGATCTGCGGCTCCTTACAATCCACTTATTTTTATGGCTACACTCAGTGACCACTTGATGTTTGGAGATGTTTGATCAACCAATGTGACTAGTGGAAGAATCCTCCAAGTTTTTTCGGAGCCCCAAAGGGCCAACAACGATTCACACGCCCAGGTCGACATTCGAAGCTACGGGGACGCGCTCTTCGTCCTTCGCGACCTCGGGTTGGGGAATCCCATGGGATTTTGTGTCAAGAAATTACCAAACTTTCAGACCCAGATCACATTGAGTTGGTTAATGTTGGTTATATTTAATGTATTATATATGTATAGTATGTATAATATATATATATATATATTCAATCAACATCCATTTATTGGATCCCATCAAGTACTTTCCAAAGATAGACAGGAAGCCACATTTGATCAACTTGGAGACTGAGAGTCCAAGCAGATTAGAGAACAAGTTCGACATGAGTATGGTTCATAATATATATATATATATTGTGGTACTACATGTAATATATATATATATTATTATTATATGTATGTGTATATGTTTTGCAATATATTTCATATAGGCAATCTAATATAAATATATCTATATGCACATATTATATAGATAGATAATTACATGTTGGAAATCAAGGCCAAATATGTGACCCCTTTCAACGATGTTCCATGAAATGACAACGATACCTGGTTTGTCCCCCGCTAAGAATCCTTTCATGTCATTGTCCTCGACTGCTTGCTGGTGGGTGAAGAACTAGTTGAGAGATGTTGATAGACCAAAATACTTGATGATTATCGGTGGTATTACTTGATGTTTCTTTGGATTATCTATTACGTACCCATATCTTATATTATAGGAACCCCAATCAACATACCACTCTAGTGGAATGACAGATGTTCTTCACACTATTGAATAAATCGAAGCTGATCCAGGAAACTGCCGAAAAATCCTAGAGAGTTTTTCCATGTTTTCCCCCTGGTCAGGGTGAAGTCAGTATCCCTCTACACCAACAATCCGGACAAGATGTCTGCACTGCAGTCCATCACGAAAGAGGCTGGAGACGGAAAAATTGGTAGAAGTCTCGTGGTTTGCCACAAAATAATTCGACATTTCTGGGCTGAACTTGTAACCAGATCACTGTGGGTTTGGAGTTATGCCAAAAAGAATATCACCTGTGTGATCCCTGAACTATGGATGTTGGTCCTTCATGGTCGTTTCTGGAATGTTGCAGCAACCCCCAAGAGATGGAGAAGGAATTCGCCATGATTTTACAAGCGTGTGACTTTTCTATACATATATATATATATATTATATATATACACATATTTAGGGGGGTACTATCCATATTCTTCAGAATCATGATGTCTGGCTATGTGGAGCCATAACTGATACAATTTCTTTATGTTGCTGATTGGCTGTGCTTTTTGCCATAGATTGGAGTGCCAGAATCGGATGAATCTTCTGGGAAATCCATCTGGAAGGTCCCTGTAGACGTCGGATTCATCCCAGCAGGTTGTAGCTATGCCATCTGTGCCCTGTGAACGGAACATTGGCTATTTGAAGACCAAGAAAGACAGGCGTGCAAACAGCGCGAGCTGTTTAGGGTTTAGGGCCATTCATAGTTTAAACTTTATATAAAGGGGGGGAAATATGAAAAATGGAATAGAATGGAATAGATAACCCATCACATTTGGGAATACTCATGAATAACCTTTTTGAGATAGACCCATGTGGATCTTGCAAACGAACAGGATAAATTTATATAGGACATAGAGTATGTTCGTGGCTTTTACGTGTAAATATGATTGGCAATTTGGCAATTGGTTTTCTTTATTGTTCTTCATTAGTGAAACAATATGAACAAATGTAATGTATTTTACACATGTTCCTTACGTGTTTTTGCCGTTGGCCCTCGCTGGGAATATGACACCTATAGTGGTGTGTGTTTGTGCCCTGAGTTATCGGACATGTTTGCGACGCATCACCGTACAGCACCATGATGTGCAACATGTTCGATTTATAGAATTATTTATTTATATATATATACAATATACATACTGCACATGCTGGAGACGCAGGTGGATATGAAACCCATGAAATGTGGGTGTCTCTAAAATTGTGACATATGTATGTATGTGTATATATATATTATAAATATACACCCCAACTAGCAACCTTGACAGGGAAAAATGGTAATAAACCATGGGATTTCAGCACTTTGGAAGGCCCAAATCCATTCATCATAGGTCGACCTCATGAGGAAAGCAGTGCTGGTGGTTCACCCCACTGGTGCAGGTTGAATCATCGAACGGTGCTCGAAACCTTCAAACTGCCTGAGCTTAGCTGCAGCCTTAGAGCTTGTGGCCTTGCAAAATGGGAGAGGCACGAGTGGAAAAAGACAGTCAGTCTGACCAGGAACTGCTTTGCAATGTGGTTCAATGTGGTTCATATCCTTTTCGAAACTGCTTAGCAATCAGTTTGCAGATTGAAAAATATGTTGGCCTTTGTTGATATGACAATTATGTGATACACTAGGAGAGTTTGGAGGTAATTACCCAATTGTCAGACAAAGACGCAACTTATCGCATGTCCATACTTCGGTACACAAGAAAATCAGCTGTAAATATAGTGTATATATATATGTAAATGTGGATTTCCAATTAGCAGACTGTCAGAGGCGTAAGTAATTCAATGTCCTCTTTTGGGGGTTCCGCACTTCCATTTCATGCCATCAAACTTGTTGCATTTTGCAGGGTCCACTTACTACATCCTAATACTTGGTTGAACCTTGCGGATTTGAGGTCAGTGGCGAAGTAGCATTTGAAAGACTGGTTGGTGGTTTGGAACATTTGATGTACCCCTATCAACATCAATGGTTAATAATGGTTAATCATGGTTAATACTGGGAGAATATATTTGGTTGGTGGTTTGGAACATGGCTTTTGTGACTTTCCAGATATTGGGAATTTCATCTTCCCAACTGACTAACTCCATCATTTTTCAGAGGGGTAGGTCAACCACCAACCAGTATTTCCCAGTCATCATCCATATTTTAATGGTATTTTCCACTATAAACAATCATAAACCATCCATATCATCCATTTATAGATGGGGGTAGGTCAACCACCAAGCAGGTTTTCATGAGATCCAACGATTCCCGGAAGCTTCAGATTCAGTGAGGTCTGCCACCTTCGCAACTGCGGATTGGCATCGTCTACGCCATGTGGAACCAATACTTCGCCTGGGGTCCCTGGGGTCCCAGGACGCTTAAAAAGGAACAGCAAAAAATGGGGGCAAGAAACAGCTGGAGATTTCACCATCTAAGAATTGAAGCAACTGCCGCACCTTTGCATTGATTGTGAGCAGAGCTACGATTTCACATAGACATGACCCAAAGATACCCATTTGGGTCGTGTAGTCCATGAAGTCAAGCTGGATCAGTAATCGTTGAGCAAAGCTGAGTATGGATATGGATCAAACATGTTCAAAAGATGTTCCCCAAGAAGAAATTGGATGGTTTTTTCTATGCTTTGCCAAAAGAAAGCAGCTTTTGCTGTTTCATACAAGGTGGTGCCCCATAGTTAGCTAAGTTGGTTTATAACTCCCATAACTATGGTTTATGGTAGATATAACTATAGTTAATGGGGTTTATAAACCAACTTATAACTGGGGGGCACCATCCTGTAGGTCCCATTTCTTTTTTGCACTTTTGAATATCAGTGGTGGTCTCTGAACCAACGACACCTTGGATGTCATTGACATAGGTCAACCACCGAAATTTTGTGGAGGTTTCCTGAGGCATTGGGGTATCCCAAATCATCCAAGTCATTTGAACATTTTAGTATTGACACCCATGGTTTTGGGATGTTTGGGGTATCCCCCATTTCAAGAATCCGCAGAAATAGGTGTGAAGTTTGGTCTTTGTCAGGCGAAATTTCATAAAATTTGCATGGTGTATTCATAAACCTAGAGAGACCACTGAAAATTTATCAAAAGGGCGCTTATCTGAAATTAAAGCTCTTAGAACTCCCCAAATGAAAATCCGCTGCGAGCCGCATATATTGTTCACCTTAAAACACCTCAGCAAGATTCACTGATTGGATCTGCGCCTGGCTCTCGCTTTGCCGTTGAAAACACAGCTGGCGCCTGGGATTTTCCCCAGCGTATTGGATGTAGCTAGGTCATGCACTTTCAACTCTTCAAGTCTCCAATTTCATGAACAATTCCCAGGTCATATGAAGTTGATACTATTGACAACCGTGCATCTCCATATACAATACTGCAGATAGTCCAACATAATAACATATACATAATATCATATCTATATATATACACATAATGAAAATGATAACAATAAGAAGAATAATCATAGCGACAATAAAGATGATAATAATCGTCAGGTGGACGAACTCCGATTGGCTGCTGAAGCAGAGCTTGAGCGTTGCTTGAAGCAGTGGATGCGCAGTGTGTGTTGGCAAAAATGGTGGTTTAAAATCAATAAATGGAGGTTTCCTGAAATAGGGGTACCCCTAAATCATCCGTTTAATAGGATTTTCCCTTATAAACCATCCATTTTAGGGTACCTCCAATTTAGGAAACCCCCAAATATCAAGAAATGGCGATTTATCCAGTAATAACTTGGATTTGATGGGTCGAATCCTAGATCTATGGATGGGTCACATGTGAAAACCCATTGGAAAGGACACAACTCTGTTCACAGCAATTCAGAGCTGTTGATATTTCATAGAGTTGGATACTTTTCATTGAACAATCAATGGGTTGTTCCAGCTGGGATCCCCAGCAGTTGATTCATAGCATATCTATTGATCCATGGCATGTCATCATGGTCAGATGGATTTGGATGCGCCAACATGATTTTTTTCAAAGCGAGGGGCAATGGCCAAGCTCACAAGAGGATTTTTGGTGTTGGGAAATCATCACAGAACTGTGATCTTCATCGGCAAGGGATGCAAGGGTCAAAAGATTGTATGGACTGATCAAAGATTGTATTTATGGTATTTGAATGTTCATGAAGTGCCTGCTGTCACTGAAAATAAATGCTTGATTGGTTGTAGTGACAGGATGCTGTGAAGAAAAATACCACTGATAGCACCCCCAAAAAGGAGCTGGAGGGATATCGTAGAAACATTCAGGAGTGATCTAGAACCAGTAATGTGAGTAAAGCAACAATAAACCACCCACAATTTTACCATAAATGGGTTTTATGAAACATCAAAATATGGTTGGTGTATTGCTGCGTTACTCACATTATGATGTTTCCGTGGCATACAATAAGAATTATCCGGATGGATTTTGATTCCCCATTGGAAAATCATCGAGCAGACGACAAGCAACAATGAGAAGGGGCGGTTTCATCATGGAGCCCATGAAGTTGCCATGAAGGCTGGTGATGGGATAGCAACCATCATGAAGCACCTGTAGACTGGATATGAGAAATACAATAGTATTTGACGATTAACAACAATAGAAGGGGAAGGTTGACGATATCAATCATATATATATACATCTATACACATATATCACAATATCATTGAATGTTGATATCATATACAATAGGCAACTATCAATCATCAATGGTATTATGACAGAGGCACCACGGCAACAACATTGTGAGATGACTATCACGGAGAAAAAAACATCCTTAGGCTCCATGACTCATGGCACTCATGGCACTCTTCTGTGAATTGGATTGAGATGAGGACGTCTTGTCACCCAATCGGAAACTATCTTGGAGATGAGCTGGTATAACTTTAGATGCATCTAGTATCTGGAGGTGCTCCCCAACTAGTGGTTAGTAAATGTTAATAACCTATATACAACTGGGAATTTCTATACAAAGTCATTCTCGGAGATGTAAACCGTGGCAGAATGACTAAGTAGTACTGACGAGTAGGACGGCCAAAGGAAACATTTCAGTCACTAGTTGGTTCTATGACTATTATATGTTACATATATTTATGCCGCCTACGAGATATTCCATATAATTTTAATATATTCCACATGTATTCCGCATATTCCGCTTGTTGATCACTTAACATCACTGCAAGACGGACTGGTGGAACACCGGGAGTGGTTGTCGTCCAAGGTTGCCGCGTGGAGGTTTTGAAAATGGCCGCCCGGCTGATCCATGATGATCCCTTGGATCGACGAAAAAAAGTGGACTCCCTAAATCTAAGTAGGAGCCATTAACAATACCATGGTTAATAATGTTAATAATAGTAGTACTAATAAAATAGTATAACCAACTTTAACCATAATCATAGAATAATAGTATAACATAGGATAACGAATAGGTACTCCCTAAACACCCTGTTGATTGGTTATACTATGTTATACTCTTTGATAGGGTGTTTATGGACCTACTCACCTACTCTATTGGGGATTATGATAACCAACGGGAATACCTATTGACATGGGACCCACGTTTCTGACTGCAGAGATTATCTTCCAGCGCGGAGACTATCTTCCAGACCCGATTGAACTTGGGTTCCGTATTCAATTTAGGGGGTGTATTCAAATTTGCTTTCAAACTGCTCATGAATCCTTGAATCAAGCATGCTTGAATAATATAATGTAGATCATCCTGTTCGTGTAAATCATTGTATTTTTCCAAACACATTCATTGTCATTATCCGTTGTTTGCTTTTCCCTCACTCCTGGGGTTCTGTCAATCCTGTGGCTCTTTGGGTTGCTGAACTGAGAAACGCACTTTGCTGAACCTTGATGGCTGTCAGATGAGAGATTCACATTCACAAGCACTCAACATTTGGTGAATTTGGTGAAATTTGGCAAACTGAACTGGCGATCAATCCTCAGTTTTCAGAAGAAAACATGTTGGTTTGACTTTTGCAATTCCAATATCATCTGTGATTGGCTCAGCCATGGGACACACAGAAACTGCACATGTTGGTGGTTCAATCATCTTGAGCCATATCTTTGAATCAGTTGAACGTTGAAGGGTAAATTACAGGTTTGACGATTTTACAGATTGTGGTAAATTCCTGGGCTGTCTTGTAATTGTTCATGTTGTTCCAAGAAACCTTACGTCTCCCCTTAGACCCAGACATGTATTGAGCCATTGTTGGCAAACTTGTCATAACATGTTTGAGATTGGGTATGAGTTTAGAAAATGTTACTTTTCATGATCATTCAATATTTCACTTGTCATTCGATTCAACCATTCAAACCATATATAGCTACTGGTTGGTGGTTTGGAACATGTTTTTTCAGATATTGGGAATAATAGTCCCAACTGACGAAGTCATATTTTCAGAGGGGTAGGGTTGAAACCACCAACCAGGCTATGGTTGATTCCTCTTCCATGCCCCACTTACCCACGGCCTACGCTCAGCAAGGCGGTGCCGGGAGCTTTGGAATTGGTGAGCGGTGCTCGAATCACGCTGCGTCTGGGGTGCTCAGAGTTGATTGGGATGGCCGGCCAGGAAAATCTGTAGGAATTCCCATGGAAGTCCTACAGATGTTTCGGGGTTAAAACATGCGAAAACCATCTTAAAACCATGGTAAACCCTGTAGATTTTCCCTAAACCAATCTAAGAGTTCGGTGCAGTTTCACCAGTCAGCAGCAATAATTAGAAAGCTGGATTTATATACTGCAGATCCATTTCTGGGGAGTTGATCACGGTGACCGACCTTCTGCTAATCAAAAATGGCCGGAAATTCTCATGTTTGATGGGGCACATACCCATATGCTCCATGGTGCTGGAATATTTACCTACATTTGGGCAATTTTTGGGGAAAATGTAGGTAAATATACCATACATGGAGCATGTGGGATATCTACTGTGGATATTATATATATATACACATAAATTGATGATTATCAATGGATATATGATGTAAATGAATGGATACAGATGGATTTCGGGCTTTCATGATTACCAGAGGGTATGCAAAAACATGCAAATGAGAGATGTTGATACAATTTAAGCGGCCCCTTTTCAAGTACTAGAACTGCTGTCTTTTTCGCTGGTTTCTACAGAGATTGGAGCAGAGTGTTTGGGAATATGCTTAAATAGAGAGTCCCATGTCTATGCCCATTGTTGCTGGTTGAATTCATGTTCAATCGCCATTTTGGTGAACTCCGTTTGTTGGACTATTCTGGGGCTACTACCCTGTGTGTGTGCTGCTTTACCTTGCATGACTATCCAAAACAGAAATTCGCAACCTTTATTTGTCACCGATTTGTCACCCACTTGGCGTCAAAATTGGGGGCCCAAACAATGGAGGAGGAATCTGATGAATGCATATTTGAATACACAAGTGAGCCAACTCTGGCTTTAAACTTTCACCCACTCCCAGAAAACCAGCTGCAGGCCATCACAAGCCGGACGCCGTGATCGTGAGCACTCCTGGCCGACTTCGGTTGGAAAACTGTGTTCTTTTGCCATCGAAGATATCACCAATATGGGATTCACCCCAAATGCCAAGTCATCACCATCCCCAAGTCATCACCATTTTGATGGGATTTTTCAACCATCCCTAAATGGTATAATGGCATTGGGTTGCCGATTTTATCAATGATCAAGGCCGATTGTTTCATGGTGGAAACACCCCAACAAAACATGTATCAATTCAACGAGGCTTAGTGGTGTTCAAATTGGTCATGGCCATAATTGGAGCGAAGCTGATATGTAGAAACATATATAGAAAAATATAGAAACTGTTTGGTTCAAACACCAAGGCTTTTCGATCATACGTATATGTAGTTGCACGTCAAATTCATGGATCTTTGTGGTAGTGCATGCTGATTGTCCATTTGAGGAATTGAACAATTCCACAGATGAAGTAGCTATGGAAAATGGCCCATGTAAAGTTGATAAATTACCATCATTTACCTTTGGAAAATGGTGCATTTCCAGAGCAAACTGCTAGATTCCAAGAGGGTAAGCAGAAACTTTCTCAGTACATAGCGTACTAGTCTGTCGAGAAGACTGGCAAGATAGTACTGTCAAACTTGTACGACTCACGCCCCTCGGTGTGGCTTTGTCCTGGAAAATAACCCCAAGCAAGGTAACCCATATGCTCCATGTATGGAATATTTACCAAAATTTGCCCAAAAAATCACCCAAATGTAGGTAAATATACCATACATGGAGCATATGGGTAAGAATGATGATAAACTACTAGATTTTGGGGGTACAAAAAGATATCAAACTCAGGTGATCATGATTCCCAGAAACTGCTGAAAGGTTTTCACAACTTATGGCATGGGCAAGAGCCCCATGAAAACCAGCAGCCAAACCACACGAATCGCCAGGACAAGACAGCAGGATTCAGCTAGGATTAAGTCCGGTGATGGGTGAAGATTACCCAAAAGATTGAATGTATATAGTTGAATCATTATGTTAAATGACATCGGACAGTGTACAATCAAGTAATAAACACCTGGTAGAGCTGGCAAATATTGGAATGATCATGAATTATTCGTGTGAGATCTTAATTAGACACAACTAATTAAACCTTACATATAGATGTACCAACGTTATCTGAGGTTTGACTATCATTGTGTATTATTACCACATCATAAGCAAAGCAGTGTGACCAAATAGCTTCAGATATCATATACCCTCTGGTTATTTCACATAGCCATGGAAAATGGCTCATTTATAGATGGTTTACCTATTAAAAATGGTGATTTTCCATGGCTATGTTAAATAACCAGATGGTAATCTCATATCTCATTAACTATTCCATACCCTCATGATCAAAAAAACCATGGACCACCATGGACCATTGGGCATCGTTGGGCATCGTTGGGCCTCAGGTGATTGGCGTGCTCATCAAAGGTTCCAGCGATTTGTATGATCGCTCCTGCAATGCGGCCCGAGAGCCCAGTGGGGGCCCGGAAGGACGATGGCTACTTTATTTTTGTGTCGTTGGATAGCTACGTCGGTGCAAATAACTCCAAGAACATTTTGGTTTATGATATAACTATAACGTTCATGGGGGTTATAAACCCACTTATAACTCGGGGGCCACATTGTATAATGTGTGTGTGTGTTTTGTGGTATTTTGTTTTTTGTTCCCGAGAAAGATGCCTTGCAGGCTACGAATTCCTACTTTAGGATTTCCATGGATTTCCTAGGTCCCTGTGTGCCCATCGGTGCAGAAATACATACACGGTATAGTTGAATTATGTTGTATTGAATTGAACCGACCAAAATGTCGAGTGTATCATATCCTGCGCCTGGGGGGGGCTGATCCAGCAATTCTAGCAATCAGTTTCTGTATTCATTCTAGTACAAGATCCGTATATTGTGGTAATGACTTTCTATCTCTGTGCCCTCGTTTAGAGAAATAGTCCAACCATTGTTTGTGGGTGAAACGAGCAGTGGGTTCGGGAAGTTTGAGGTTTGTTCATTTTCCTAAACTTGCAACTTATCCAACTTGGGCATCAGAATCTTATCTCAAGAACAGCTAACACATCCATTTTACCACCATAAGGAACAGTTAATCGCTATGGCACGGTGGCACGGCAGGTGATGACAGGCCTCACAGAACTGAATGCCATCCAAGACACGCCGGGGTCTTCAGCAATGCCGGCAGGATGGCTGACAAAGTAACCAATCATTTTGTGGTGATATTAATCTATATGGTTAATTTATGGTTAATCTATGGTTAATCTATGGTTAATCTATGGTTAATCTATGGTTAATAATGGTTAATATTAAGGGTTAATGATGGTTAATGATGGTTAATGATGGTTAATGGGATTTAATGGGTATATAATATCATGATTAGGTAACTATAGTAGATGAATATGACCTCATCCAGCTTGGCAAGCCAGCAGTAAGTGTTGCAGCATTTCACAGTTCTGGGGTTCCAGGGTTCCATTCTGGTCTTGAGCGGTTTACATCCGTGATTCATCCGTGACCCAGAGATGAAAACCCAACAAGCACTTCCGTTCGACGTTAGTGGGATATCATGATGTTCCCTCCGGCAATCAACTGTGGCAATGGAAAGTCTCACATTTTATAGATGATGTTCTCATGGTTTCCCATATAAACCTCCATTTACTTGGGCCATTTGCGACATTTTTTCAGACTCCGGAGGGTGCCTCAAAGTGGCCATCAAATCAGGGGGGTTAACCAGCTATAACTGACTTAGGGTATCTATGGTGCCACGGTTTTGACCCATTTTTGTCATGGTGCCAGGATCCATCTTGCTGCCATTCATAAGCCATTTATGAGACCCTTTAACTTCGTAAGATTGGACCGTTGAGGAGACATGTTGCCTGTCCATTCCTCCATGGAGAGTTTTGGCCAAGTGTTGCCTGTTGCCTCTTTCTGGGCCTGGGAGGATTCAAGAGGCATGATGGCAATCGAGTTCAACCGATTTCAACCGATTTCAATCGAGTTCAACCGATTTCAACCGGTTTAGAGTTGATGATTCAGAACATTTCAGAACCTTTATCCAGTACACATGACAACCTGATTGGCGGTGATCAAAAAACCTCCTGATACCTTCTGTTTTCGTCCATTCCCGATTGATCAGCAGATTTTCAAATGATTTTGTCAACCACCAATGAGACACGGATTCGGCCTAAATCCTGACTTTCAGGCCCATAATTGTGGGCTTGCTGATGTGTCAGAATGAGGCCCGGTTTTTCTTATTGGCACCTGGGTAAACCTGAGTGAAGGGCGGGTGAATGTCCAGATCAGGGCCCTGAGATCACAGAAGGGAAGCCTACCAAAATGCCAGTGATCCAGCTCATGGCCATATAGTATTGTATGATTACGTGACGTGTATAATATATGGCACTATAATAATATAACATATGTATATATATATATATACATGTTTGCGTACATATGTGTATATATATAGTATATATAGACATACATGTAGACATTGTATATTAGATATTCGGCTTCCATGTCTTCCATGTAAATAGAGTTCTTCAGAAAGCGTTGGCAGCTCAAAACAAAATGTGGGCAAGCTGGTGCCCCCGTGGGGGTGATACGAAATTTAGCGCTTCAAAAACAGTTTCTCAATGGATTGATTCTGGGAAGTTTCAGAGTAAAACATGTTTCGCCTATGAAGTTTGACAAGTGCAAAACATACCAATCCTGAAATGGGCTGCCCAAATAGGTCTTTGAGTCTTGTGCCATGATAGCCATGATAGCCATGATAGCCATAATAGCCATACCCATTTCTGCAGGTAATCTGGCTGAAATGGAGCTTGCTGTTCCATGTAGATCTGTCCAAAGCCATCTAAACCATCGATGGAATGCAGCTCCTGCAGTCTGGCGCTTTTGGAAACCGAAGGCAATTGCTAGCAGTGGAGTCTCTGTGAGGCATCAGGTTCCTTAGCTTCTGGCACTACGGCGGTCCACGGGGGTCCATCAAACCCACCAAATGGCAGGTACCAGGCTCTCTTTTGCCACTGGCGATACTCACCAGCTAATACCAGCTAAATATAGATACAAACAGAAAATCAGGCTTAATATGGGTTAATCATGGGTTAATCATGGGTTAATATATCTAGAATTGGCCAGGTATAAATATATATGTATAAAATGCATAAATAGAAACATCCACTCTGCTGTTGTAGCTGCCATCACCATGTGGGACCCCATGTGTGACCCAGGTCCACGAGTTTGGCAGATTCTATCGGAGCCAGGTTGGGACCCGGTGATGTTCCACTTCGATATACTAGTTCACCAGAGGGTATGCTCGTTGTTTGGATCTGTTCGGTGGATTTAACATGACAATATATATATATAGTTAGATATATATGTGTGTGTTTAACTTGATTTCTTGAATCATGTCCCCAAACACTGATTTATTAGGAATGTAAGAAAAGAAATGTGTGAAATTATCACATCGAGAAGAGAACAGATAGTGCCAGTGCCACTTTTGTGATCATCTACTTGGCCAAACCCCGGTTGATGTTGTAGAATTGCTAGCCCTTTGAGATATTTTGAGATATGGGAGAGGAAACAAGCACCTTGTAGTGGCGAAACTTCATGGCAGTGGTAGAAGCTATGTGGGTCCCCACACCGACTCCAAGCTATGTGGATTTCCTGCTGAACGCATGCCCTCCCATCCCATCACATTCCAGGTGGCTCGGAGATGTGCTCAAACTTCAGTGAAAGCGGCAACCGCCAAAACGGCGCAGATCATTGGATTCTCAAATCTGATCACTGTGATGGTAATCCTGCAACCAGGCACTAAATCGCTGGGGGAAATCCGGTGATGCCTTCGCGAAAGCTTTCGACGTAGCATGTTGAAGCTACTTTTTTGAAGGAGAGACATTACATGGAGGACATCATTGTGGTTTCCATTGAAGGGAAGATTTGCAGGAAACCGTTAAGTCTCTACAATTTCTGGTCAAAGTTATGTTTGCGGCAAGTTTTCGGGTCGAAACCAACCCATGGTTTCGCGTGCTTCCAATCTTCAAAGAAGTGGCTTTGAGCAGCAGAAACGGGGAAGGTGGTTTACAACCAAGCTAGTGGACAGGATGTGTTCATGTGGATATCGACAGCTGATGTAAAGATCAACCAACTCTTCTTATAAAACGCACCACTAAAAAAAAAGATTAAATCCTCACCAAATCCCATTGTTTGTTGCTTAATCCCCATAAAATATCAATACATCACCATAGATCCTTTAAAAAAAAACTTCCCAAAAAAAAAACATATGGTTGGTAGGTTACCCTCTGGTAAACCAACATAACTATGGAAAATCCATATGAAAATCACCAGTTTGACATATTTTGAATAGGTCATCGAACTAAATGGCCAAGTTATGCCAAGTTTCATCAATTTTTCCTATTAAATCCCACGGTTCCATATGAATTCATCATGGTTCCCATGGACATCCCACGGTACATCCCATGGACATCAGCCGTTTTTGGTCGCCTGAGGACCATGAGCTTCTTGCAGGTCGTCCGCCGTGAGGTGGCTCCCCTTGGCACGCTGGGCACCTTGGCGGTAGAGGTTTGACGGAAAATGTCAACCTTAGGAGTCATATAGTTAATCTATGGTTAATCTATGGTTAATCTATGGTTAATCTATAGTTAATCTATGGTTAATCTATAGTTAATCTATGGTTAATAATGGTTTATTTTCAATATATACTGGTTGGTGATTTGGAACATTACTTTTATTTGTCCATATATTGGGAAGAATTCTCCCATTTGACTCATATTTTCAATATGGTTGAAACCACCAACCAGATATATATAGTTACTATACATATATTTTGCATCATTTAGCATATGTTTGGTCATTAAAAAACTATAACTATATATATAATATTCATTAAAAAAACTATAACTACTGTATATATAATATAGATGATTATTGAACATGGTTCCGTTTTCATATTTACTATATTTAACATTATTTAACTAGAAAACAAACATACGTATCAATGGAAAAAATATGGGGGATATAACATGATACAACTATTGACTGTACTCGTAGCATACTGTAATTAATCAATAGGGGCTATACACAAACCTACAACTGAGGGGCCACCTTGTCACCTTGTAGAAGCATGGTATATTTTCACCTGGCACGGGGTTCATCCCCAATACCATTCAATTCTCCCATTGATTTGCAGGGTTTGCCTTTAATACCAAAACGTGAGAAGTGAGAAAATCTAGACGACGGATGGCCCGAGAGCGTAGAAGAGCATGTTACTCTCTTCTAATTAGTAGCAAAGACATTGTAGGTGAAAGCTTCATTGAAGATGATGCAGATGATCAACAGAAAGGAGATAGAAATGCTATGTCAGATTCTAAGCAGAAGCAGACAAAGATAGACACAAAATTTAAGAGACCGACAGAGACAGACAGCAAAGAAACACATACACACACAGACACACAAACAAAGATACAGACACATAACCCTTTACACGCAAACGCTTTTACACACACGCGCTTTTACAGACACACCCTTTTTCACACACACGATTTACACAGAACCTTTTACACACAGACGCTTTGACACACAGACGCTTTGACACGCAGACCCTTTTACACACAGACCCTTTTACACACAAATGCTTTTACACACAGACGCTTTTACGCAAAAACGCTTTTACGCACTGACACTTTTACACACAGAACCTTTTACACACAGACGCTTTCACACAAAGACCCTTTTACAAAAAAAAATGCTTTTACACACAGACGCTTTTACACACAGAGGCTTTTACATACAAAAGCTTTTACACACAGACCCTTTTACACAAAAGCTTTTACACACACAAGCTTCAACACACAGATGCTTTTACACACTGACTGACACTTTTACACACAGAACCTTTTACACAGATACGCTTTTACACACACACGCTTTTGCACGCAGACCCTTTTAGACACAGACGATTTTACACACAGATGCTTTTACACACAGACGCTTTTACGCGCAAACCCTTTTACACACAAAAGCTTTCACCGCAGTTTTTGACACTCGACCACCATTTCGCGCGAAAGGGTTGCGCTTCGACCTCTGAAATCGCAATTTCACCGCAGTTTTTGGCGATCGAAGCTCGTTTCGCGCGAAAGGATTGCGACCGACACTTCGAAATTGCAAATTTACCTCAGTTTTTGGCGATCGAAGCTCGTTTCTTGCGAAAGGGTTCGTTTCGTGCCGTCTCGTTGGCACTGCCCCACGCCTTAAGAGAGAAATCGAAAAGAAGGAAAAAGAAGAGGGTAAGAGAGCAAGAGGGCAAGAGAGCAAGAGGGCAAGAGAGAATGTGAAGATGTGAGGATGTGAAGATGTGAGGATGTGAGGACGTGAAGATGTGAAGATGAGAAGATGTGAAGATGAGAAGATGTGAAGATGAGAAGAGATGTGAAGATGAGAAGAGATGTGAAGATGAGCAGATGTGAAGATGAGCAGATGTGAAGATGAGAAGATGTGAAGATGAGCAGATGTGAAGATGAGAAGATGTGAAGATGTGAGGATGTGAGGATTTGAAACTGTGAGGATTTGAAGCTGTGATGTGAAGATGTGAAGATGTGAAAATGTTTGACAGACCCCCACTATTACAAGAACCCTTCGCTCAGACGCTCTCGGGTATGTTTTGCTTGATCCGGCGTGATATGGGAAGAACATTTGCAAATGGGTTGTAGTATGGAGCCTAAATCCCAAAAGATGGAGGATGCGCCTGAAACCGAGCACATAACCCAAAAGTTCGCGTCTGGAAAAAAATGACTCTGCTCCGCTCCGCCCCCAACTCTGGCAGTTTAACATAACATAACTTAATTATGGAAAAACACCATTTTTGCTAGGTATATCAAACTAAATGGGCCATTTCGGCGTGTCATGGAATTTTGGAGGGTGAACTTCACAATTCCTGGCGTATCCTTTCTTTGGGGGTCTTCCTCTCCAGCGATTTCAGTGAAATACTACAGGAAATACAGGGAGATACCAGGCGTCATCACAATTCAACTCCTATCACCTGAGCAAAAAAAAACTGGATGATGCTGGAATCCTGTGAGCTTCAGTATTTTGTTGATGTATTCATCTATGTGTCCATTTTTGTCACCTGCCGTTCTTGCCAGGAGTCATTGTGGCCAATTTCCTCACCAAGGGCTTGAAACTCTTGGTGAAACGCTTCTGGGCCATGTTTGAGGTTCAAGGTTCAAGCCTTTGGAAACCAGAAACATCAGAAACCAGAAACCATCTCTAAAATAATGTGGGTAAAACAATGCCATAAACCAGCCATGACTGGGAATGGTAAACATAGCACCTATATATATATAATATTATATAATTATATATACATATTTATGGTGATGACTGGGGGATGGTTTATGGCATTGTTTTACCCACATTATTCTCAAATGACTTGAAATCATACAGAGTTTTGCCCTGAGACATGAGTTCACTGGGACGAAGTCAAGCAGATCCGGTTTCGGAAATGTGTCCATGTTTTTAGCTTCACCATGTGAAACACCTCTTACCACCCTGAGGTTATGGCCCCGAATTTCTTTGGCGACGTCCCAAAGAGTCCACACGCAAAGCGGGTGATCCGGGTTTTCCATCCAGCCATACTTCGAATATGATCCTGGGATGTTTTTCAGTGTCAGCCATCCTACCATGGGTTTAACCAAACCATACCAAACCTTTTGCTGATGTGTTGTGGGGTATAACTACTTAATACAACGAAATATATCTAAATGCTGGAGAAATTGATATGTAATGATACAACATGATACAACATGATACAACATGATACAACATGATACAACATGATACAACCAACAATATGACTTGGGTGTGTCTGAAGATGGCCTTGTATTCCTCGTTCTTGTTGGTTCTTCCTCTAGGTGATTTCCGAACGCTTCGCGTTCGGACCGGCGACTGAAAATCCACAATGGCCATCAAGACATGTGATGATTCACTAGAGGATTCAACATTGAGGGCTGCTCAACATTTTGACACAAAAATATATGGCCCATATCCCACCTGCATGTGTACATGGGATATGAATGGATATGTAGTTGGAACTGCCAGTTATATACACCCCAGTTGAATATGGGGAAAATTATTTTTGAAACCTTTAAACCAAATTAAATTATGACAAACTCATATGATATAATGTATATACAATCAATCAATATATATATGGGCCCTGCGATACACACCAACAATTCCAAATACAACTGTGGTGTACTGGGATTACATTGACCTTGAGTTTCCATTTGCAGTTGATATGTGTGTGTTTAAAACTCACGTAAAGAACTTATCACCACATGTCAAACAAAACAATGGACACATATGTTGTTTTCATGCGTTGATGAAATTCAGCCACTGTATCCATCCCATTCCATCTCAAATGTCCATGCCATGATTGTGTGAGAAGTCCATTGAACAACATCTTCAGCATGGGTCCAGCATGTTGCTTGTCCCCACAGGTTTCAAAGATCAAAATTTCCATCCCGAGAAATTTACTTGATGGCATTTCATCCGGATTTATATGTATATGTGTGTATTTCATTACATATAGGGGGGGTGTTTAATCTTGGTGCGGATTTTCTTACCATTCAGAATAGGATGTGAAAGCTGCCCTTCAACCAGAAGGTTTGAGGATGACTCAGGAGAGCAACATTCAAAACCCCGGTTGGTTGATGATTATAGGCATAGGGGATCATACTAACCAATATATTGGGGATGATCACAATGAATGGGGAATCCCTACTTAGTATTAAGGGACTGTAGACCAGTGTTTTGAACACTGCTCACATGGATTTTCACCAAAAAGAAAGCCCCAAAAAGATGCCGAAAAGTGTATCCAAAAGTACTGATAGTTCGATCCATTCTTCTTCTGGTTGGTGAATAGTGAGTTTTTTCAGGTGAGTTTTGGGATTCCCCTGATCTTACTTAGCTCAGGACATTTATTTCCGTCTACTTTGCCCTCTATCTTTGGCTCCACCTGAATTGGCTTCCTGAACGATCCCTGCTGGTAGCACTCATCCCCTCTTCGGCCATGGCCGCCGCACGTTGCTGGGCCCATCTGAAAAGGAAGCTGAAAGCCATGAAAGTCATGGTGATTCAATGGGATCTTTCATGGGGATCCATGGGTAAATGGATCCTAACTTATAGGACAAAAAATGGTGATTTCGTGGGATCTTTCAGAAGGGAGGATTTGAGGACTAACCTACTTTAATGGGCCGCAGATGGTAATTCCGAACCTTACTGTATGTGGTTCTGAGTACCCTTTGGTTTTGAAAAAGCATGCAATCGAAAATCCTATAAAAGGGTTGCTAATGGGAAAATCATCCACTTAAATGGTGAATTGTCCTTTGCGATGTTTTGAAAAAACCAGATGGTAAGTGGGTTTTTTCATCCCAGTTATATCTGCACATTGCCCGTTCTTACCCTTGCCTAGCTGGGGGGAAGTTACTGGGAAGATCCACCAAGTAGCCTGAGGATACCCAGCTTTGAAACAAAACATTTGACTGGGATGTTTTGACTGGTATGACTGGGTGCAGATCATTGTAGGATCTAGATTCCCTCAACATCCCCATTTGGGTTGGGGAAATGGTGAATCGGCTAGTTTCAAGTATCCCCAAATCCAGTGGTCAATCATGTCATTGTCCATCAAAATTATATAAAATTACTATTTTGGGTTGTATATTTGGTATGTTACCCAATTCTCAGATACACCCATTTGATTGCTGGCCAGTTGGCCAGTTCTAGGCCATGTGTTTCTCCCTCGTTTTCACAAGGCATTTGCGACAAGGATCACACTGTGCAGCAGACCATTGCAGGCCCTGAACAGTTTGCCATGAAAAAGGACCCATTTCGTTCGATGATTTACCTATTTCCATAGTTATGATGATGATGTTTCTATTAAAAATTGTGATCTTCCCATTAAAAATTGTGATGTTCCTATTAAACATGATGATTTTCCTATTAAAAATGGTGATTTTCCTATTAAAAATGATGATTTTCCTATTAAACATGATGATTGTCCTATTAAACATGACGATTTTCCTATTAAAAATTGTGATTTCCCTATTAAACATGATGATTTTCCTATTGAAAATGATGATTGTCCTATTAAACATGATGATTTTCCTATTAAACATGATGATTGTCCTATTCAACATGATGATTATCCCATTAAAAATTGTGATGTTCCTATCAAAAATTGTGATTTTCCTATTAAACATGATGATTTTCCTATTAAACATGATGATTTTCCTATTAAAATGATGATTGTCCTATCAAAAATGGTGATGTTCCTATTAAAAATGGTGATGTTCCTATTAAACATGGAGATGTTCCTATAAAAAATGGTGATTTCCCTACTAAACATGGTGAATTTCCTATTAAAAATGGTGAATGTCCTATTAAACATGGTGAATTTCCATAGTTCTGTGAGTGTACCAGAAGCTAATCCGGGATGAAACAGCTGCCATGAACCTGTTTCACTTTACCTCGTTGATAAACCATTCTGTCATAAACCTGTAAGTACACATCATTTTATCATTTAACTTATGTAGACACCTGGTGTCTTCATAAACCAATGGTAAAAATCTCTAGAAATCATTGAAAGCTTTAAAATCTGTAAAGAAATCCATCAGACTTCACAAAAACACTGGAAGCCATCGCCCTGGTTCCACTGGTTCCGCCCTGGTTCCACTGGTTCCAGGCGTCCTTTGGGGAGCCCTACTAGGACTCTGGTGGGCCTTGATTGGTCCTCGCCTGCGAGGCATTTTGGAATGGGCCCAGCCACAACCTTGGGCTCTGGTGGTCTTGTGCTTCGTGGTTGCTGGATGAATTTGGATGTATTTGGATGTATCTGGATGGTTGGTCCTGAAAAGAAACATAGTTCTAGAACTTTATAGAATTACCGACAGGTTGAATCTAGATGAATTTGAAATTGCTGTAGTATACTATCTTGCGAGGATCTTGGCTTTTCTGTTTTTTTGGCGGGGAGTTGGCAGATATAAGCCAAGCCGCAATCTCTCACTGATAAGGGTTTACAACCCGGTCACGAACCCCTTCAGAACTATAGAGAGGTAGTAGGTCCAGAATGGCCCTGGACAAGGTGGATGTGCCTCCGGATGGTCTATGAAACGAAAAGCCATGGAAATGGCAGGGGATATCCAATATCAAAGGGGGTCAACCAACTTCGGAAGCACTTTCGATTCCTAGGAAGGTCGGATGGCAGAGAGGCCCATTTGTTGAAAATAACAGGACTGAAAGCTTCGCTGAGAAAACGATTTCCAGTTCAGTGATGCAACCTGTGGAACTCACCAGAAAACCTTGTTCACCACTACTGATGCAACGTCTGCTCGCGCTTTGCGCAACTCCAAATTTGGTTGGCGAGAAATCGGCAAAAATCAGAAACTCAAGCAGTCCCAAGCAGTCCCAATCGGTCCCAATCGGTCCCAAGTCCCAATCTATCCCAATCCGCACCTGAAATTTCCCTCCCTCGCAGCCGAGGTTGGCCTACCGATGTTCACCAAACCCTTGGGACTGCGGTTGCTTCCCAAAGGTCCTACGAGACGACCGCGCCGCTGATTCACTCGCTGTCCTGGATACCTAGATACCGACAGTGCTGGGAATGTTGCTGAATCGCCGGTTTCTGCTTCGCTACTTGGATCATATTGAGAACGGGTCATCATCAAGTATGTACATGTTTGTCATTTGCTAAAATGGTGGTACACCCAAATCATCCATTTTTAATAAGATGTTCCAAATTGGATTTTCCAATATGTTATATATTCCAGTCATGGATCAACTACCTCCAGGACCATCGGTTCATGGTTGATGCGCTTAAGGTATGACAACTCGTGGATTCCAAGGTAAAATGACCCACGGCCACATTGACAATGTGTTGATCCATGTTGATCCTGGGTATGGGAAGCCAGCTTTTTGGACCTCTAAATCTCAAGGTGTTTCCAGATTGGATAGATCAAGTATTCCCATAGGATCCATGTATGGTATATATGCTAACATTTGGGGTATATTGATGGTAAATGTTACCATATATAGCATGCATGGATCCTATGGGGTATTGATTAGAGTAAAATCCCATTAGACAGACGTTTAGACATTTGGCGACCGTTGTGCGTCTGTTTTGTTTAAAGTCACGCTGACTTGAGTAGTTGTGGCCAAAACCCTCGAGCAAGTCCCAGCACTGTGCGTTGGCTGAATCGGGACGCTATGTTTAAAAACGAAAATGTGCTGGTTTAACTAAACACATGATTGCCATAGTCTGTGATTCTGATAGTCTGTTGTTCTGTTGGTCAGAGCCTGAATAGTTGTTGATTTTTGTTGATTGGTGCTGATCATATCACACGTTATCGTATGTTGATATCATATCATGCAGCACATGTGCAATGTATCGCGTATCACATATAACATTAAATGTATCATCTTTCATATCTCATGTACATGTATAATATGCTGTTTATATAGATACATACATGTAAGTATTTTCTGTATCATATCATAGCAGCTGCGCATATAATATCATATCGTGCCATATCATAGAATGTCAACATTAAATATACAGTATCATTGTCATTTCATTTCATGTAATTTTATATTATGTCATATCATATTCATTCACATTCATTCATATGAGTTTATATCAGTTCATATCATGTCTGTCATATCATTTCATATCCATCATATCCAGCATGTCCACCCATTCACGGAGGGTTTCCCCTGCTTCCAGTGGTTCCAGGTGAAGCTGCCTGCACCAGCGGCCGCCCGGCCATCCTGCCTGAGTCCTGCCGAAATTTGGCAGGTCGGCCACGCATTCTCCACGGTGGTCGGCATCAAAGCGGTCGACCACATATTGAGGATTATTGATGCGTATTGATGAATATATCGATGCAATTCAATGCATAAGATGAACGGAAATTTGGATTAAGTTGAAGATGCGATTAGATTTCAAAGTAGAATTTCAAACACACAAATGCCAATAGAGCTTGAATATGTCCCGGACTGTTGGTTGTTTTAACAAGATCGGCTGCTTGGACGTGGAACCCCTCCGACTAACCCTCTGACCCACCTGTGCTCGTACCCATGTTCACTCATGCTGAATTTCCTCCACACGGCAGTGCAGCACGAAGTCAGAGTTGGCGCTTTGCGCGACAAAAAAGCCAGACCGTTCAAGGGTAAAATGTGGTAAACCCAATGTTAAACCCTCCCCAATTAGGGTTCCCTATTGGGTGGCATACCCCTTTTAATGGGATAATTGAATTAAAAGGATCCCCCAATTGTTGATGGGATGGTTTTTACCACTGGGGATGGGTCGGTTTCTATGTCGACATTGAAAACCCTGAAAAAATCCGCAGATGGACTGTTGGACTAGTCTTCAAATATTGTCCAATGCTCTTGGTTTCCTCCCAGCGTCAGTTTCTTAATCATGTTTATTTCCAGGCCAGGCAAGTGGGTTTGGGGACTTGCGGTAGTTATAATTGCCAGTTGAATGATTTTTTGCGAATGTTGGTGTTTCTGTTGCGCTCTTCAGCTATAAAGGGAGAGAAATGCTGTATTTCATACCCAGCTCAATGTGTTTTCTTTCAATGATGAGCAACACACATATAGCTTTGGGTCAAAACCCTGGTACATTTTTGTTCGTCCTGACATAGCTGATGTTCATTCCCCTCAAAAACCTATTTGTAGGTGTTGATTCATAGCCATATATGATCATATCCATATAATATAATATAATATATATATATATATATATATGATTGGTGGTTTGGCACATTTTTTATTTTTCCATTTCATATATGGGATGTCATCCTTGCCATTGAATTTCATATTTTTCAGAGGGGTAGGTCAACCACAAACCAGATATTGAATATATTTAGGATCATTCAAGCCCAAGTCCTGTGGTGGCATGGATCGATCCACGTACGGCACAGGAGCAGGCCAGTGAACGATCTCATGGACCAAACAATCCGGCGAAGGATGGCGATGCTGACAGCTGTTGTTAGGTCTGCATAATGCTTCTCTGTTGGTATAATTTATATGTATATATAATTATATATATATACATGCATATGTATATGCGTATGCATACAATATATTTCTTGTGACAAATTTTAGATCTATCTAACTGCCTATTTGTATATATTATGACATATAATATATATATAATATATCCTTTCTAAATGGAAGATTGCTCTACTTTGGAGACTTGCAAACTACAGTTCCTGTGACGATTCGCCATGTCAACTGTGACCAGTCATGCAGCAGCTGGAGTGGTTACCCGGTGACCTAGTGTGGTTGCGAAATCCTGCACCAGCGAAAAGATGGTTGAAAGCCTATAAATAATGGGATACCCTCTGGTAATTTAACATAGCTATCGAAAATGGCCATTTATAGGCAGTTTTCACTAAAAATGGTGATTTTCCATAGTTATGTTAAATTACCAGAGGGTAAACCATCTATAGTCTGGGTCCTTTGCCAACATTCCCTGTCAGGCCTGGGCGCAAACTTCCTTGCACATGGCCTCTCTGGCCCGAACGTATCCCTGAAGGTACCCCGGTACGCGTTTATTGGGCTGGAGGCTCCCAGGGAGACTCCAGGGAACTTGTCTTGTGGTTTTTCGCCAGGTCCCATGGATTTGCAGATTTTGCAGTGAATGACCTGAAATGACCCGAAATTTTGGATTTTCTGTTTGCTGATGCCATTGAAAAATCGGCAGCTACAGAAACTAACACAATCAACTTCGTCGCAAACCGCCAGTTTAAGGGTACTTCAAGTTCTATTCCATCCAGCATTGCTCAGGGTGTTAGCTCTGCAACAACTGGGTCAGCTGGACGCGAAAACAGAGATGTGTGTTGCTCCCGAAAGGTGTTGCAGTTGTTCACTTACTTAGTGAGGCTCAGAGAGTTCATGCCGGTTTACTTTCTTGGATAAGCATTAATAAAGCCTAAAGGGGTCGCACCTGTGTACTTGGTGAAGCAAACCCTAAAGGGACCCGCTGACCTGGATCTGTGTGCGTGGCTGATTCCTTGACCATTTTCAGTGGAACCCCTGTTCAAATAAAGAACATTTAACATGGATTGTGTATGATTGTGCCGTATTTAGTAAACATACATGCGTTTATGAGTCCATTGCGTACCACATTTTTTGAGCCATAGACGTGTGACCCCATCAAGATCCCCCTGACACAAACAGAATCATAGAGACATCTCAGGGATTCAGGGTAAGTCCAGAATTTTCCGGAGAGGCTTTAGCCAGCTCCATAGCTGGTAAGATCCATGGCTGACGTTGCAAATTCCCCAAAAAAAAACGCCATCCTCGGGAGCTTAAACCACCCTTGTCAGCCCCTGGCAGGCTGCTGACAAGCAGCGCTGCAGCAAAAGGTTGATTTGGGATTTGGGCATGGTAAATAAACCAATGACCTCACGGAGAACCTCCCTAGAATGATGATTGATAAAGTGGAGGATATATGGGGGAATCACCCCCATATGGCCGATGTGATATCAGCTTAGTGAAATATGATAATGTTTCCCTAAAATATGTTTGATAATTGTATATATTAGATAATATATCTATTTCACCAACTGGAAACATTATAGCTAGTTGGTGATGTTTGACGTTTCTGGAAACCTTAACTCGATGATCCCAACTGACCCAGCCTCACTGTTGAACACCTCACTGTTGAACACCTCACTGTTCTCCCTCACTGGAAATCATGGTTAGTAAGGGAAATCATCCCCAAATGGCCGAACTATTCAGGTTAGTAAAATATTATAATTTACCCAGATTCATGTTTTGTTGGGATGAGTTGAAACTAGATTCATCTCATTTTTTAACAACCTCGAGCTGGCCTTAAATATCTTAAATGGACGGAATCGATTGATGGCTACTCCAGAAATCCTCTGTTTCTCTGGAATGTTGAACCGCGTTTTTTGGGGCTCAAAATCGGTTGGGAGATCTTCCAGCACGCCATGTTTGATGAGGGTGTATCCATTGATATACCATAATTATCCCATTAATATCCATATGGTATAATTATATGATATATTACTTAAGTTAATTGGATGATTATGGTATATATATATAACTATATTATCTGTTCTATAATTATTTTACCTATATAACTTACCCATATATAGATGGATATTTTGACGATGTGTTTGAATGACTGGAATTTACGTAACTCCAAGGCACCATGTTCGAGATGTTTCCAGTAGACCGGACCGTCTAGCCGTCTAGCCCACACAGATAGAAGTGTCGATGCTGCTCACCTCCCATTTTCCAATTGTAACGATGATTGGTGAATTGATTCGTGTATGTATATATATATATATTATATACATATATATATACATATGTATATATACATATGTAGTTACTTAGTAATTGATATCCCATGTTTCACACAAGATGATCTCAGGTTCCAGTTTAGCCAGATGTGATGATATTGGGGGGTGTCCCATTGCCATCAAGGTGATATCAAAGCTGAATGATGTTGACATCCGTTGCCTATTTTGCTTGGTTGCAAAAAAGATGCAGGACAAATCCAACAGTTTGGAATTTCCTCAATATAACCAATGCCATTTCTTACTCCAGCGACGGCACAACCTATCATTATCCTTTCATGAGTTTCTAGCAGGGTAGGATTGAAACATCATTTTGAGATACATTTGTCTCTGTCTTTCAAGCTTGCGATGATGATGCTGGATGATGCTCGATGCAGCTGGGCTCAGCCAAAAAAGGGCCCTGACTGCCAAAATGGTAGCGTTGGAAGGGGCCCGCAATTGTCAAGAGATGATAAGCACATACCTGCAAATGAATAATGAATAATAGTCTGATTGGTGGCTTCGAATCTATTCCATTTGAAGCATTTGGCATGATGATCCCAGTCAGGCGTTTTTGTGTTCAAGAGGTTGAAAAAAAACACTCATCAGTGATCTTACGATCATGTTACATCATGTTACCATCACACTAAAGCGCTTGGCACATGTTGACACTCCATATCACCCCTAGGCCACCCTGGGAATGTCAGAACCTGTCAGAACCTGGAGCAGAGGTGGACCCGGTTGACCCCATCGGTGAGCTGACTTGCAGCAGTTCATAGTCCACTCACCACTCCGCCATGTTTTTAAAGAAACATCCACTGTTCACTGAAATCGCTCGAAATCTTCCAAAAGATCATAACAATTCACCTGAACCATCCTGACACCACCTCATCCAACAGCATTCAACAGCCAACCTGGGGTGCCCAACTGTTGTCACGGTTCGTTTCCGTTCCTGTGGACGCTGGCACTTCACCGCCGCGGCAACGCGCGGGCTGGGTGCTGGCAGACATGGTGCTCAGAAGAACGGCGCCACGTTGTCCTGTGTGAACTTCAACAGGTTCCTGCGGTGAAGATGGGTTTGTTCTGGGGGGTTCTAGCCAGTTGAAAATTTAATGTCAGTTTCTTGCTCAAACTATCTAAAGCTCGTGTTATTTAGTGTGTCAAAAAACCTGTTGTTGTTTATAGACGTCCTTTTCCCATTGATTTGGTAATTCATAGGGGGTTCAACATCCATTGAATAACCACTGGGTAAATGATGGTCAAAGATCCCTGGCAATGTAGTAAAGTCAGACCATAAACCACCCCCAATGGTTTACCACCAAGTCTTTAATGATTTTTTTTTGGCCATTCCATGCCATTCCCCCAAAAAAGTGTGCCAGAATGATAGGTACTGCCTGCTCGGGTTAATATTCAAACTGACCCATTTTCTGGGCGAGGGGCACCTCATCACTGGCTGCTGCTAGCAGTTTTGCGCCAGTTCGAGGCGTCATGGGCTTTATGGAAAATGCCGATGCCAAGCGCCGTCGGTTGGTGCGGGCACCTAAAAGAAGTGAGTTTTTGGTTTCAAGCCATGAGAAATTTTTCGGGAAATTCACTGTTTAAACCATTGAATTGTTTTGGAGCTCCAAATTTTGAGATGAAATGATTGGGCCGATTGGGGCAACTTCCTTAGTTTGTTTGGGTCCCCCCTTTGGAGAATTCTCCAATATCCCCATTTTTATCAGTTTTGCAAGTGTTCATACATCCCAATCATCCCCGATCAAAGAATATCATGTGATGCCATGTCAAGGATTCGCCTCCGATACCCCGCCAGAAGATAGAGGTATGTACTCGCAGTCCCAAGCAATGATCATTCCTAGGATCCCCCCACCGATGTGGACGCTTTTGCGGCCCGTGGTAATCGGCCACAACTGCACCCCACGCCCACGCCACCGGCCGGGTCGGGCAGCCCAGAAGTGGGGATCTTGGGGAATATTTGGCTACATGTTAGACTCATTGAAGCGAAATGTTCCAAAAAACAATTATATAGTTCAATTTACTGATTTTACAACCTAGATCCGTTTCCTTTTTTTGAGAGAAGCCGGAAGCCTTCTAAAATTGAGGTTGATGCGAGTTTATCGCATTAGAAGCCGCTCAAATGGGTTGCTCAACTTGCAAGAATCCAAATGTGGGGATAAGCGCACTTGAAAATAAACAGCATGAACACGCATTTACAAACCAAAATAAGGATGTTTGATATTCACATGTGCCCATGTTTATCAATAATTAATATGATAATGATATATTCGAAATTGTTGTTTTCCAAATTTGGGCTCCCAAAACTCAATTTTAACTTCTGGGTACCTAGTCAGGAGGGTACTCGATGAAACATCAAAATCAGACCAAATGATACAACAAAACAATAATTACAACAACTGTGTAAATATTAGGTCATGCAAGAAAGTATAAGCAAATAGGAGAACTGGTTGGTGGTTTCAAACATGTTTTTTCCATTTCATATATGGGATGTCATCCTTCCCATTGACTAATTAATATTTTTCAGAGGGGTAGGTCAACCACCAACCAGAGAACATATGAACATACTTCATTAAAATCCATATCATGTAGTAAAATATGTTGTTTTGGCATATTGCTAAGAGTTGGATGGTACTGTACGCTGATAAAGCATAGATGGTGCTAATTGTTGCTGGCCGAATCCTTTTAATCCTGGAACAAACAAATTCCTGGCACCAAAAAATAGGAAAGAATGGTACCTACTATCGAGAAATAAAAGTTATTCCTAAATTTCCTAATAAATATATGTTTTATTCATATTTCCCATCACGTGTTTCCTTTTTTTCTGCATGCGTCAGGCTCTCTAGAGGCCAGGAAGAACTGATTTTTGGGATCCCCTAGTCCTTTTCAACTAAGTGTGAACTTGATGGTTGCAGAAAACTGCATGTTCAATTGAACATGAATCTGAGCATTGTGCAAAAACATTAAGACACATCCTATGAATTCAATTGAATTAGGGAATTGAAAAAGGCACAACACATAGACAATATCAATATATATATATATGTATATATCTACATATTTGAAGCTCCAAAACGATAGAACAATAATGGATTACAATCTTTGTAGTTTTTTGCAGGATATGTCCATTCTATATATCTTTTTGGGGAGGTGCTGATGGGGGTGCCTGGTCCTTCCACCTGGTCTCCCATGGATGGTAAACATGCCACCCACAAAGATATGGTGATGGAATGTGGTGTATTTCACTGTAAATAAAAATATATACTGTAACTGCTATATTTCTATGGAGAGTTTTTTCTAAATGTGGATTAGTTTGCAGATTAGTTATGATTAGTTCTTCTTGGTTTTTGCCGGAAATTTCCACACGGTTTGGATAAGACGTTTGCTGCGAAAAAAGTCCCATGGCAGTTCCGTTGTGGATTTCCTAAGGCTGAGAGCAGGCCTCCACCCTCAGTGACTTGATGACTTGGATGGGGTGGGACTTGGATCACCTGCAAACAGAAAGGCAGAATGAGATAGGCAGAATGGTGATATATGGTGATCATATACCCTCTGGTAAACTAACATAGCAATGGAAAATCACCATTTTTAATGGCAAAATCCACTATAAATGGCCATTTTCAATAGCTATGTTAAATTACCAGATGGTATTTAAAAAACATATCAATGGGAATTTCAGGATCCTAAAATGGAGGTACTGTACCTTACATAGGCCAAAAATATATGGTAGGTACCTCCAATGAATCGGTTCCTGTTGCATGGCCATTGATAATATATTCAAAAAAACACACCATTGTTTCCCACTGTTTTTGTCCATAGTTTTCAGACTCTGATAGGAACATATCAAGCAAAATGGGATTCTAACCCAACACTGGAATGAGTTTTAAGGGAATGACTGGGCGGAGAAATCACGATTCTGAGAATCCGAAAAGATTTCAGGGAATACGCTCCGGCAATTTAAACATAGTAGCTGGAAACTCGCCGTTTTCAATAGGCAAAACATCTATAAATGAGCCATTTTCCATAGCTACATTGGATTCCCACCGGGATTCCCATCGTTAGATAAGTCCCTGGAAGAACTGATCTTTCCGAAAAGTGAACTCTGAGGATCCAACTCTCTCTGGGAGTTTTTGTGGGTTTGTTCCGTTAGGAAAAGATGTGAGTTTTGTGAAGATACGGTGGATGGGCCAGCGAAATCCTGCACCAGTTGGTATATGGATGTATATACTGTATATGGTTTATCCCCTTATAATCCCATGAAATTTACAATGTTTCATAGTTCCCGTTCACGGTTGCCCTGCCTGGTGCAGGATTTCGCAATCACAATCACAGTAGATAAAATCCTGGACCTGCCAAGGTTGCATCCAAACCTGCAGGACCGTGGGAAACGTGGCTTGAAAGCCTGGATGCGAGGTCTCCCCTTTGCCTTAACCAACACGAATGTGGAAAGATGTGGAAGCCAAGCATCTGATATTGCAGGCATAATAAATATATCAAAATACATCTAAAATATGAGGCCAAGCCATCAAAATATATCAAAATCACTTCGGAAAGCGCCAAAATTGGTTGATGTTTACCTCATGAACCATCCCCATGGTACATCAACCAAGTGGCTGCGCTGATTGAGGTGGTTTCCATCTGTGAGAGTTGTGGTTTCTATGCCCGTTTTTGTCAAGCATACAGCAGCTAGCGATTATGCTTATTTTTGGAGTCCATCTACCCTCCGGTAATTTAACATAGCTATTGAAAATTGCCATTTATAGTGAGTTGTCCGTTAAAAATGGTGATTTTCCATAGTTATGTTAGTTTACCAGAGGGTAAGATTTTCCAACAAAGGTTGACCTGACAAGTCTTCGAGAAGTCGCAGATTTGCTGAGTTTCCAGGAATGGAAATCCTGCAGATTTCAGAGACCGAAAACCCCTCGGTTTGTCCTTGTCCGTTCTCGTGTTTTTGCAATGGGCAGTGCTGGCTTCTTTCCACTTTTGTCATGGCTCTGGAGCTTACGGCTGTCGGTGCCTTCAAGCTTCTGGACGTGGGACCGAGAACAGGGACGCAGTCCATGTACGATGAGAGAGCTGGTTCACCACCTATGTCGAAACAGGGCACCTGATCCAGGATGGTTGGAACCGTTCGGAGCGGACATGTTGGTCTGTTGGTTGCGGAAACACTGCTCAGCTATGCAGTCCTGGGGCAAAAAAACTTCATGCAAAGGCCTGGTCCCAATCCAGAAGATAAAGACATTTGCTTGCAAAACTACCCTCTGGTAATTTAACGTAGCTATGGAAAATCACCATTTTAATTGGGAAAATCCACTATAAATCACAATTTTCAATAGCTATGTTAAATTACCAGAGGGTATGTTTGCCACATCCAGCGAGTGCAAGAAATTATCCCACAACTGTTTGCTTGCTGGTGTACAACTGGTCCGACGGATGGTCCCCGCTTGAAAACACTTCTTGGGTACTGGCATTCCTGAAGAAGAGTTTCCTCATGAAGATAAAGCCAAAACATGGTCCACAACAAAGATTGAAGCAAAGCTGGGCATGACCCACGCCTTTTGGAAACGGCAGGTGATTGTCGATGGCATTTCAAAAGAACTGTCTCCAGCGGTTGGAGAAAGTGAGACCAAAAACTCGGCACGGTGACAAGTGGGGATTTGATCGCGCACGGTGCCTCGATGTACCGTCAAAATCAGAAAAGCACCTTAAACGCCTTTAAGAAAGGTGACGCACCACTTCAACATTCCTGCCATGTGATTCTGTAATAGTTTCACTGCTCTAGGTGTTGGCAGACCCGTTTGCGAGGGATTTCATGTTTTCCCGGTCACTATTATAGTATTGCAAGGATGCTTGCAGGGATTATGTTTGCACCAAAATGTACATGTGTATATCACTCTCTGGTTGGTCAATTCCTTTTTTGGTCACGTTTGGGCACATTTTTCACACTGTTGGAAACACTCTTTGAAGCAATGATTCCAGGCAAGACCTTACTCGTTCTACTTTTTTCGGTCTCCTTATACGGCATTCTCCTGTGGGTGCACAATGTTAGACCTTTTGCAGAAAAGAAACCTGTGGATTGATCGGATCAGGAGGCTGAAATCTGCACCAGGGGCAGAACTCCTGATCAAACGATACTTTTGGCCAACTTTGGACCTGCTGCTCTGAGCAAAACAAACGGAAATATCAGTCTTGAGCCTCCATGCGCACCACTCGAAGAAAGTAAGTTCTATTGCTTTGCCAAGAATCAGTTTTGATAGTAGTTGTTCAAAACTAATACTGGAGTAGTTCTAATCTTCAGTGGTTATATATCTCAACCGTCATAAGCCCACTGCTTAAGGCTGTTATATACGAGTGATAGATGCTGTTGTTTTGAGATCAAGAAATACGCGGCGGTTTAATTAACAAACCAAGAACAATCACGATAGAAACCTATTTAAGAATGTAGATAGTTTTGTGACTTCTGGACACTTCTGGTAGTCAATAATGAAAATTCACAACAATAATATCCAGTGTGTACAATGTGTGAGCGTACTCCAAATAAAAGAAATCCGTTCATAAACCCTAGCAAGGTGTTTGCTCTAGGGGTATGTTCCAGGCATTTGTTTGATTTTTCTTCGACACTGGTCATGATAGATTTTGATAGTAATGGTTGTGATAGTGGACACAGATGGACACAGTATTCACATAAGATGGCACTATGTTAATGCTATGATACAATAGTAACTATACAACAAAAGTAATGGTTGATTGACATAACTGGTCAATAGTTAATTGATCATGAAAATACATTTCTATACAATACCAATCGGAATAAGACTATCAAGTACCAGAACTATCAATAATTAATCGTAGCTATCAACAAGTATCATATACATATCATAATTATCAATAATTGTCCTAACTATCATAATATGTTTTTAGCCACAGAAAGTAGTTTCTGTAATTTAATTAAGACAATACGAAAAAACATACCAAACACTATATTATCTATAATGAGTTAAACGTATGAAATTCAGCACTGTAGGTATAGTAAGCGGGTCTAGTCATTGGGGAACATGATATTAAATTAAGCACTTTTCGGTGCTACTATAGTGCTTAATTGTGCTATACCTATTAAGTACAAAGCAAAGATATACTATTATTTCTGGAGGTTCCCCAAGTGATAGGGGTACCCCCAGTTCTCATCCAGCGATGATTGTCGGATCCATTAGAGTCACAATCCATGGATTGTATCCGGTAGCGCATCTTAGGAAACTTCCCAGGGCTCTGCTATGATCAGGTCCCCCCCAAAAAAAAATATCTAATAGTCATAATCCCCCTGTTTGATTTCACTAAAAATCATGAGGGGGAGCTAGTGTTATTTTCTTGTATCTTAAAGCAACATCACCAGTAAATTATCCCCAAATGGGAGTTGTTGATGGAATTGGGGATGATTTATTATATATAATCCCAAAGAATTATCCCAGTAAAGATCTCCTATAGTCATCCCATTATTGTCTCATGATCATCCCATTTATTGTTGGGTTCCCACATTACTTCCATCTATGGTGACCACTGAATGGGGACCTACTAGGGCAAAAACAACCACTATGATTTGAAATGTTCCCCAACAGATCCCCCAATCATGGACTAGTAGTATCTAATAGTCATATCCAATCTCCCAATTTAAGTAAGAATCATTGGGGAACAACCCTCTCCAGTAAACTAACATAGCTATGAAGAATCACCCTTCTATATAGGTAGATCAACTATCATTGGGCCACTTTCCATAGCAAACTGTGGGTTGACCAGAGAGTATAGTTTGAAGTTATTATATCAATAGTATCTAATACTGTAGTTGGAATCTAATTCGTCAATTTAACTAAGAATCATTGGGGAACTATAATACCTATCATACTATCCAATAGTTCTATTATAGATCATACCTATCAGATCATAACTATAATACCTATCATACCTATGATATTATCTATCCAATAGTATGATGTATTCTACCTATCATTCTCCAACACTTCGCAGGCCGCGCCCCCGGCCACCACGCCGGTCCCGGCGCCCGCGGCTGGAGAGTTGCCCTCAGGGCCGCGGTACCAGACGCAGCCAGGGAGACCCAGCCGGGACAGGAACGCACCGAGAAAACGGGGAGTGAACCCAGAAAAATCGAGATTTACGCACCAAAAATTGGAATTCAACTGGGAAAAATGAGGATTGAAATTCGCAAAAATAACAATTTCGTCAACAAAAAATAGTGATTTCATCAACACAAATGGTGATTTAACATCATTTAGGCATGTTTAATCCAAAAAAAATGTGATCTCACCTGGAAAAGTGATGAACCAGTGATGAGTTTGTTACAAAATTAGAGTTTCAGCAACAAAAATGCGGAGTTTCCTGCTCTTCATTGGATGCACTACACGGCGTTTACCCGCGGGCAGGTGCGTGTTGGGAAGAGGATCTTTTGGCACAGTCTGCAAGGTCGGGCAGCCTTGGGGTATTCATGGGGATTTATTTGTGATTTAAATAGTGATGTACCATCTGGTTATTTAAGAGTTCGCCATGGAAAATCACCATTTTTTAGAACGGTAAACCATCCATTTCTATGAGTCATCTATACCATGGCGAAGTGTTAGTCATAACCAGAGGGTAAATAGTGATGTATTTGTGATTGATGGTTTAACATGGTCAACCCGATAGTCCCATATGTTTGGAAATACCCCAATGGAGGTTTTCAATAAGTCATAGTGACTTACCGGTGATAGAGTTGGCCATATTTATAGAAAGTCTGGTAATGTAATTACTAAATAGTGAGCCATATATAGTTAGTAGATATATAGTTTAATGTGGCAGTGAACTAGTTAGCCATATGTTTATTAGCCAGATATTGATAAGATCTATTAGTATTTAAGTATGTATGTGTCAAAAACAATACTAATGATTGCTTATGAATTCCATTGATAAAACATCCCTGACAGAGGTTTATGAAATTGCTTAAGTTACGCTACTGGGATTATTTCTATCATGATCCCCAGTCATGGTTGGTTTTCAAGGGATGGTATGTATACTGGGGCTATAGTGGGGTAACCAACGACATGTTTATGGGTGTGTCTTGAACGGGGGGATTTGGTGGTGTGACAGTTTTAAAAGGACGATGGCTGTCAAACACTGGATTTTGGGGTACCATACTTTCGAACAAAACCATACACTGGTTTCTTTTCAAAGATTGGTGAAGTGTCGATCCTATTTGCAAACTGACCTTTCTATTTTCCAGGGTTGACACAGTCCAGGCACGGCCCAAGAAGTTTCATGGGCATTCAACTACCCCCTTTCTGTGACCCCTCAATAGATGCTTAAGCTTCACCCAACTGTTTGGATACCTTGAGGGTCCAGGTCTTGTGCATTTGATGGTGAGAATTGTGAATTTTCATTTGCATATCGACAATTGCCGAAGGGAAGATAGTCGCATAATCTGAGCAATCGACTTTCTGCCTACAATCAGATTCGCGGGCAAAGAGACTACCCTTTAGCTTTGCTTTGCTCCGGAATTTCTTAGTCACAGTGTCAAGAGTATAGTATGTCAACACCTGATAAAAGGGGTGAAAAGCCCCTAAAACAGAGATAGATCAACTACAATTAGAGATGCGACACCAGGGTTTTTCGATAAACCAGCGGGTTCTTTTATCCTGGCGAATGGTGGTATAGGGATCCCTTTGAATCAACGTATCAGTTGCAGATAGCTGTTGGGTGTTGGAACATTTCCAATCAGCAACACTTCAGCAACTAACCTTAATATGGAGGTTTCCTGAGTCATGGTACCCCTAAATCATCCAGTTTAATAGGATTTTCCCTTATAAACCATCCATTTTAGGGTACCTCCAATTTAGGGGTACCAATTTAGATACCCTATAACCGTCCATTTTGGTTATCTAACTGGACGATCCAGCCCACTTGGACAAGATGACAAGGCCATCGAAGTGCGTTCCCGCAAGACGGTGGCCATCAAAACGGCACCTTGGCATGTTGGGAGTCGAGGTAGGCCCTGCCCCGTTGTGAAGAACCATTCATTGATCAATTGTATGATGGAGGGATGATGCTTTGTAGAGGGATATGAAGATAATATATGACTGGTTGGTGGTTTCGAACATGAATTTTGTGACGTTCCATATATTGGGAATAATCATACCAACTGACGAACTCATATTTTTCAGATGGGTTGAAACCACCAACCAGATGAACACATACCAAGCCGCAGTTTATGAGGACACCAAAGGGTGATCGACCCCCTCGCTGCAAAACTCCACTAGGACTATGTTTTAAATGTTGGATTCTACTGGGGAAAGATAAAGTATTGCCAACGTATAGATTTTTGATTTCACCAAAATTGTTGCTCTTGAATGTGACCAAAAAAATCTGGCAAGGCTCATGCAAATAGTTGTTTCTACCTGCCTCTTTCCCCATTCATATCAGTAAAGTATCCATGTTTGTCGTGCAAGAATACTTTTTTTTGGAAGATATTGGAAGATTGAAATTCCCATTGCTGGGTCAATTCTTACACTAGTGACGGTAAAATAATACTGTACATATTGTTGCTGGTGAAGTTACTTAAATCCCTTGATCTATACGGTTATTGTATATTGGCTAGTTAAACCCAAGGTCTCTCACGGACTGTCGAGTTTTGCTCAGTTAAGGTTCAAAAATCATCAAAATTATGCGCTAGTTAAGTTCAGTTGAATCTCTAAGAAATATCATATTTTCCCAGCTACAGCTCACTTTCTGTTGGCTAAACACGCGATTTCCTGCCATGGGCACCTGGCCATACCTCTCAGTCAAGGTGGCTCTGAGCGGTGCTGGAAGAGAGGTGGGATCTTAAATGGACGATGACCTGATCTGGTTGGTGCTTTGGAACATGGCTTTTATGACTTTCCATATATTGGGAATAGTAACCCCAACTGACTCATATTTTTCAGAGGGGCTGAAACCACCAACCAGTTAGAAATGGAGGTTTCACAATGCGAAAATCATAGGACGATTATGGGAAGATGCATGATAAATGGAGGTTTAAAGACGGATAATGGTATAATAATCTGTGTGAAGTATAACGACCTCACTGTTCTCCCTCACTGGAATGATGGGAATTGGATTCGGGGAATCATCCCCAAATGGCCCAACATTTCAGTTTAGCCAAATTTAGTGAACTATTTCATGTTTGCATGTATGAGATAAATATTCTAATTTACCCAGATGCATGGGATATGAGTTGGGAGATATGTAGTAGAATTATCCACATGAGGGGCAAATGCCCGTTTTCGAGCAAACCCTTTTCGCCAGCAACCCATTGGAACCATCGTCCCAGTACCAGGCACCTTTCCATTCATACAAACATGATTGTTCCCAAAACGAAAGAAAGGTATCTTGTTTCATTTAGGGTTTACATCGGGGGGATTTAAAAATCCCTAAAATCCCCATGGGACAAGTAACCATACTTCTATTAGGGTTTCATTTAGGGTTTACATTTTGACATTTGTTATAAAATCCCCCGGCCCCATGGAATAACTAACCATACTTCTATTAGGGTTTCATGTGGAGAAGTGCACATGACTGTGGCAAGATGACGTTTGAACATTCCAAAAAAGTGAAAAAGGGGAAGAGACCGAAACGCATGAAGTCCTCAGAGGGTTTACTTTCCGCCTGATTGTTCTAATTTTTTTTCTTGGGCCGTATTACCGCACAGATGTGCCAAAGTCATTGATAAAACACTGCGCCTGCGCAGTGAAATGAGTCTCTTTAAGGCGTTAGGCATTCCGTTCCAGGCAAACCCTCAGTCCTGCCCGTTGGCTTAATAGGAATGCTATATAGGAATCAAACAAATGATACATAATATGTAATGACTTGATAATCATTTATGGGATTATTTGGAATGGTGTATTATAGATATAAAACTAGCAATACATTCCAGTAAACTCACATAGCTAAGGAACATCAATTTTGTTTAGTAGGTAAATCGTCGAACTAAATGGACCATTTTCCATACTTAGCTATCTTAAATTACCAGAGGGTAATAGCTATGATAGGCATAATATGTAGGAACCACTATGGTATATAGTTTGAAATTGAATGTAGTATGGGTGAATACCTATCAACCTTGAGTTCTAGTGACCTTGATACATGACAACGACCTCACGTCGCGACGTAACACTTCGCCGAACTCGTCAGGCTAGCGATGTCTTAAATTCTATGTGGATCAGGACAAGTCATGTAACAATGTAATGGAATGCCATGTAGTAATGGAATTCCATGTAGTAGTAGTGCAATAGATAGATAGATAGATAGATAGATAGATAGATAATGTGATGCAATGCAATGCAATGCGATGCAAAATACAATGTAGTGCAATGTAATTTCATGTAAGGTAACGTAACGAAATGGTATGGTACTGTATGTATGGTCCGTATACAATGTAATGCACTGCATTTCTGTACTGTACTGTACTGTAATGTACGTATGGAAATGCAGCAATGCAATGTATGGCAATGCATTGTGCTGTATGGTGCTGTAATGCAATGCATTGTGCTGTATGGTGCTGTACCCCAATGTACTGTCATATAATGGAGTGGAGTGTACTGTAATGTCATGTGAATTAATATGATATAGTTTAGTGTAAGGTAATGTATGATATATATTGAATGTGTATATTACGCTGCTCAAACTAGGTCACTGACCAGTCATGGATGTTCCCATTTGCTCAATCATTTATTAAGGAATATGCATTCACATTTATATACACAGAGTCCCCACTATGAGTCCCCACATTATATGCCCAAATATGCCGCAGGTATGGTATACATTACCTATCAACCTACATGATGTTTGTTCGTGTCAACCCCGGATTAATAACCCCCTATGCTGTTGAATTGGGGGGGGGTACCATTTCAGTAGCCATAAAAATCACTGGGGTAACCAACGTGAGTTCACCAAGGTGATGGTTTCCTGTAGCTTTGTTAATGTGGGTAAAACAATGCCATGTTTATCACCCACTGGGAATGGTAAGCATGCCACCTTTAAAAATGGTGATGACTGGGGAATGGTTTATGATTGTTTTACCCACAACTTTACCGATTGAAGATGCGTTTTGTAGTAGACATCTACCCTGTGCAGCCTGTGTTTTGCTCGGACTGGAGTCACAGGTCTAAGCGACTTTTGGTGTTTCAGAGATGGTATTGAATGTATTGAATAATACAATGGGGTGATTAAATAGGAAAAAATCGATTTCAGTAGAAGAAAATGTAATTGAGTGGGATTCAATGAGATTAAGCAACAAACATGATGGTAAATGACGTTTTGTTGTTGTTGTTTTTTTATGGGGATACAATGGGGATATATGGCCAACAATACCTTGGAATGTTTGGATTCCCATGCTGGGATGTCCATAAACCATAAACACCATCTTTCGACCTTGGCGCCTGTATGTAAATATATATATATACACAATGTGAGGCCCCCCAGTTATAAGTTGGTTTATATGCCCCAGTAACTATAGTTATAAGTACCATAAACCATAGTTATTGGAGTTATAAACCAACTTAGATATCTTGGGGCCTTCACATTGTATGTGTATATATATATATACATCTGGGTAAATTTCATCACGACCTCACTGTTCTCCCGAACCCTGGAAATCATGGTTAATCAGGGAAATCATCCCCAAGTGGCCGAACTATTCAGGTTCGTGAAATATTATAATTTACCCAGATACATGAAATAGATATTTCTTTATATATATATATATATACAGTAATACATACACACATACATGCATATATTGTGGTTTGATATGATAAATGGGTGAATGTCAACGCCATTGTGTGAAAATATCTTATATTGGATCACTATCGTCTGCATAAAATACAGAAATACAGCAAACCCCAAAATTAGATGAAACAATTGGATATTTGGACGTTATGATAAGATGAATATAATCGATCAGATTCTGGAACATGTTCACGATTTTGCCCCACTATGATACTATTGTTATTTAAGTTATGGAAAGTCATCATGTTCAGCAGGAAAATATAGGTAAATCATGCACAATGGGCCGTTTTCCATAGCTAGTGTGGATGAACAAAATGCTGCACCAGTTGGTAACTATTGAGAACTATCAAACACTGCAATTAATTAATGGGATTACATTGCAACGGGATGTTTACCATCTCCCAACTGGGGCAGGATTTCTTGGCCATCCATAGCTATGTGAAGTTAGCAGAGGGCAAACAAATGTAGATGTGGAAAACCTATGGTTTCCCTAGGACAAGAATCTACAAATCGTTGATTTTCTACATCTATGTTACCCCCTGGTAAACTAACAGTTTGCTATTGAAAATGGCCATAGAAATAGTGGATTTACCCATTAAAAATGGTGATTTTCCATAGCTATGTTAGTTTACCAGAGGGTAAATCTCCATCAAACACCATTAAACCACCATTAACCACCATTAAACCACCATTTCTACATCTATGTTAGTTTACCCCAGGGTAGCAGAGGCTATCTATTTGAGTTCCTCTACTGATAACCCACTCTGGCAGATGGAAGTGCTGCGCCGACTCAGTGGAAATCCCAACGCGCGGCGACCTGGGTGACCTGGTGGCTGCAGTTCCACTTAAAAAAAGTGGATCTATAGCTTAATCTATGGTTGATCTATGGTTGATCTATGGTAAATCTATGGTAAATCTATGGTTGATCTATGGTAAATCTATGGTTAATAATGGTTAATAATGGTTAATAATGGTTAATAATGGTTAATAATGGTTATATAATAATGGTTAATAACAATATATCTGATTGGTGGTGACTGGAACATGGCTGGATTATGACTTTCCAATCATATTGGGAATTTAATCATCCCAACTGACGAACTCAATCCATCATTTTCCAGAGGGGTAGGGTAGGTATACCACCAACCAGCCATGGTTTTATGATTTTGTCCCAACTTACGGGGGGTTTTCCAACGCATGTTAAACCGCCATGGTTCAGCCGTTCAAACCCACCCCGAGTCGTAGACGGTCCTATGCTTTGCCCATTTTTTGGGGGACGGTCCTCAGAAAAAAGGAGGTAACCCTTACCTCCTTTTTTCCGTCCCCATGATCCAACAGATAGTGTGTAAAAGCCTCGTAAAAGGCTCGGGGATGGTGTGTACTACCTGTTTCCTCTGCGGATGATTGATGGTTTTTTGATGCTTTTTGGGTATGGCTCAAAATGATTGACACTAATACTAGAGAAGAACACGTGCTTGAGGTGAATTGATATCCCCATCTTGAGCCACTTGCTTTGTGGGATGATATGAATATATAATTCTCTATAAATACATATATTTAGTAACAATGTAAACCTAACCAAGTCTTCATGATATGATATGATAGACAAATAAACAGATATTGAGCCTGAAGTTACCGGATTTTCCCGCAGTCAGAGAATTGAATGAAGGGAACATGTGCTGGTTTTACCCCTTACTTTGATGGGGAAAAAACTTGGTTTCCGATTAAGATGTTCCCTTTAAGCAGTCCATTGGTAACCCCATTATCATAATGTAATTATGCCAGTGAAGCCACTAGAATATACATATCAATCAAAAATGTGTGTATATATAATGTATTGTATATATATAATTGTATATATATATATATTTGAAGAATTATATATATATAATTATATATATATATTTATTTCTCATATCACCACTATATCTCTGTGATTCTGACTTGCCTGAGGTTGTCAGCCTACTCGGAGCCTTTGAAGGCGTGGACCCCGAGGTGCGTCGCCCCGAAATGAGAAAATTCCAAGGTTTGAGGCTCCGCTCCTGTGGTGACCCCAGAATCAACTTCATAAACCATCCCCAAGTCACATCAAGTCACCATTGAAGTTGGTGACTTGTGTTGGAATCATAAAATCATATAAAATATAAAATCCAAGTCATTTTTGTTCCCCAAGTGTTTTATGAATCATCCCCGTAAAGTTTGGAGCTGTTTATGGCAGGGCTTCTGATTGTTTTATAGACCCTGCCAGGCGCGTACGCTGAATTTTGTGCTTGAGTACATCGAGGAAGCATTCCATTGCGCTGCGTGTGTTTCTCGTGTTTGGGGGATGAAAAATGCTGAAATCGGCAAACAAAAAAACAGTACTGGTGGGAAGTCATCCCAACAAGTGATGTTTCCGTTTCGGAAATGTTCCAGTTGAATTCCCCTCAATCCTGATTCATTTGGCAGGGCTGTCACCTTTTCAAATTTGTCCCACGCGGTGGAAAGCACTGGATGTGAGTTTCTGAGTTTGTGTGAAGACAAGGACTGGATTTCAAAATGTGTGGAAAAAAAAACAGTTGTCTTGAACATTCAGTGGTTTTCAGGAGCGGCACTGACTATTGCCCATAGGATCCATGTATGGTATATATACTAACATTGGGTGTATATTGATGGTAAATGTTACCATATATAGCACGCATGGATCCTATGGGTTAGTGATGAAACGTTGTCGGTCTGAGAGATCTCAGAGCTTCCCATGTGGCTATGGGTCAGAATTGGGGAACCAATGAAGCCGTTTTTATTTGGAGAAATTTGGTCACTTGGTGCAAAAGAACACATTTTTGGAGGTCAATGATTCTTCTCTCAAAAAATGCTACCAAAAAAAACATGGTTTCAGTTAATTGTGTTCTTCATTTTGACCCACCCGTTCGCGGCGACATTCCCAGAAGAACGGCGATGTCACAGGATACTCTGGCACGGATCATCAAGCACCATCGACAACAGGCGGCACGGAGATGATCGTTGGGGGACACCCCTTTGGATCGTTTTTTTACATGGACATGGAGATTACCCTCTGGTAATGACTAAGAGTTTGCGAACTTGAAGCCTGGCCCAGTCGAAATAGTTGATGTCCCTATATGAAAATCTATGAAACATTAGAGTGGATTTTCCATAGCAAAAAGTAAACGTTTACCAAAGGGTACATGGAATTGCGTGTCAATTAAGCCCACACCTTGAGACCTGTCGGTTGGTTTCAGGGTAGGCAGTGCACGCAATTTTGTTGGGTTCCACTTGGAGCCCGCTGAGGCTGCTAAGGGGCTCCACTTAGCCCTTGGAGGGCTCTGGTACATCAGAAGTTCTAGGCATTTCTAGGCACAGCGACAAAGCCCTTCAAACACAAATGCGAAAATATGCTATCAGACCTGATTCAGACCTGCCAATGGGAGATCCCCCTGAGTGCAAAGTCCATGGGATGATGCATGAAGTTCGTAAGACACCGATTGCAGCTTGTATCCCAGTGTGTATAAGTCTAAGTTGTATTCCGGACTTTGGACCCAGGTAACCATCATTATTCAAATATATTCACATCAACCACATACCATATATATATATACATACATATATACAATATATAGGAGCCCACGTATCAACCATTAATCCTAACTTCAGCCCCAGCGATTCTGAAGGGCACCGAGATGGATTTCAACTTTGTGCGTTTGCGGCCCCAGTGGATGAAGGAGCACCCAACGGACTCATCTGAGTCCGTCTCAAAATGGTGTATACCCCCTCCCAAATAGTACTTTCAATAGGGAACATGATGACTGGTTGGTGGTTTGGAACATGTATTTTCCATTCAGTTGGGAATTTCAGAAAATCCCAACTGACTTTCACTCCATCATTTTTCAGAGGGGTAGGTTGAAAGCACCAACCAGATGATTAAGCAATGGATTTAGCGGGTTTTCCCAACATTCCTAGACAAAACCCATCTGAAGTCCGAGCCTCAGAATTTGCCCACCGTTCAATTCTGAAGATCCGAAAAAAAATCATCCGAAAGGTGATGAATGTGGACCCCAAATAATGACCCAAAACCATGTAACGCGTTGAATAATGATGGAAGCTAAATGCACGTTAGTGCGGGTATATCACATGCTATAAGCTTGATGCTTATATATGCTTATATGATTTGGATATAGGATCGGTTGCTGTCTTCCATTTTGTTCACCCAAATTTTCTAAACGAACGCATGTCTCGTAGATAACATCCATGGTTTCAGGCAGTATCATATACCCGCTGGAAATTTAACATAGCTATTGAAAATGACCATTTATAGTGAGTTTTCCCATTAAAAATTGTGATTTTCCATAGCCATGTTAGTTTACCAGAGGGTAACCAATGTTCAACCTCTATGGAAGCAGCATTTTTGAAACGCGCATCTTTCCCCCTGTTTGGCCCGCACTATGGGATGGGACTGCTGTTGTCACATGTTTTTTTTCTGGACTGCTGGAGGTGGCTATTGATGAAACCACTGAGACGTCACTGACCAACATACCAGGTGATGAAAAACAAGAAAAACCCATGGGATTTTTGTGTATCATGAGTGGTTATAAGATGCGCTAATTTGCCTGATTCTTTTTTGGATCTGAGGTTTATTGATCTTAACGGAGATTTGTTTCATCCATTTGACGATAGTCCCAATTGATTTACACTTCTTGATTCTATAGAAAGAAGAACGTGAAACCACCGAAAGTCATCGAAAGTCTAGATATCACATGATATCACCTCAATTCTCCAAGTCCATGGGATGTATATCTTGGTTGCACAGTTTACCCTCTGGTTATTTAAGATAGCTAGGGAAAAATGGATGAAAATCCAGCAGAAATAGATGATTTATGATGATTTATGATGAATTTATGATGATTTATGATGATTAACCTATTAAACATGGTGATTGTTCATGGCTACGTTAAATTTCGTTAAGTAAACACAGGATACTTGGTGATTTGTCACAGCTTTGCGGCCGAGGAATCTACATGTACCAACTCTTACGGGGTCTTGGTAGCTTGTACCGAGAAGGAGTGGTGCGCCTCATTGGAGAGTTTTTGTTGGTGTCCGAAGTCGTGGGAGCCCCAAATCATTACCCGGCCTGGTCAACGTTGATATGGGTGTGTCTGAAAATAGTGTACCCCTAAACCCAATGGCTTTGCTGATCATTATCCCTATTAAATGGCTATAATTGGGAATCTACCCTATTTTCAGACAAACCCATATAACTTGCTATGGAAAATCCAGCCATTTTCTAGCTGGGTAAATCCACTATTTCGACTGGGCCATGTTCAATAGCTATGTTAATTTACCAGAGGGTATTTTTTCAATAGGATGTAAGTAGGAAATATTCCACTACAAACCCCAAATCATAAATTTTGATAGGATATAAGTAGGATGTTCCACTATAAACCATCCATTTCGGAAAAAAAAAAAACATTTGTGGAGGGCAGCCCTCCATTTTGATGAATTGTGATCTCCAAATATCTCTGTCAGCGGTCACAGGTACATCGAGATATCAAACCTGCGAACCTCTTGGTGGATCCCGCCTCCTATTGCCTCAAGGCTGGACCTGCTGGACCTGGGGACATCATCCCAGTAATAGAGGGGTTACCCTCTGGTTATTTAACATAGCCATGGGAAATTGTCCATTTATAGATGGTTTACCTATTAAAAATGGTGATTTTCCATGGCTATGATAAATAACCAGATGGTAATGTGGGTAAAACAATGCCATGTTTACCATCCCCCAGGCATCACCCAGGCATCACCATGACTTGGTGGGTGCATGTGGGTGCTATCAACCATCAATTTGAAGGGGTGGTAAACATGGCATTGTTTTACCCACATTACCCAATTTTAGCGACCTCAAACTTGGGGATAGTTACAGAAAGATGGAATAGTTAAATTTCCCATATTCATCCATATTCATATTCATCTACGGTCCATATTCATCCATATTCATCCATGTTCATCCACTGGTTGGTGGTTTGGAACATTTGTTTTTTCCATACATTGGGAATAATCATCCCAACTGACTAATATTTTTCAGAGGGTTGGCTCAACCACCAACCAGTCCAAATTTATCCATATTTATCCATATTCATACATATTCATCCACATATTTTCTCGACATCATTCTGACATAGATTTTACCCTCTGGTAAACTAACATAGCTATTGAAAATGGCTATTTATAGTGAGTTTTCCCATTAATAGCATGGTGATTTTCCATAGTTACGTTAGTTTACCAGAGGGTATATGATAGGAAAGCCCTATATTTGATGGTAAAAACCATGGTTTCCGGTTAAAATTTTCCCTTAAACCAATCCAGAGGGTACATGATTTTACCAACGTCCGCATCTTTCGCGTTGAGATCTGCCGGCACGGGCTCGGGCCTGGCGGGCCTGGCTCGCCTCTGGCTCGCGAGGTTTGTGACTTCGGTACAGCCAAGTGGGTGAACACCAATGAGGCGGGCGATGCTTTAAAAAAATCGCCTGGGGTATGATAGGTATGTTTTTTAGTGTATATATATATATAACATTATAAGTCCATTATATATCCAATGATTACTGTTGTTAGTGTTTTTTTTAAGTCTTATGTTATAAGTCTCATCGTTACAATTTTATATTATTTGTTGGTAAACAGTCAAATGGCACTAGCCATTGTAATACTGGCTAATTATATTTGGTAGATGCTGGGTCAATACCATAATTCTTGATGTAGCCAACCAGATTGGATATTATGGGCCCCCAAAATGGCCATCTTTGTAAAATGGAGGTACTGTACCATATAAGCCCATATTTTGAGTGTATATCCCCTTACATACGCCTCAAAAATCGGCCAAAAATATATGGAATCGGTACCTCCAACTTTTTCGGATCCTGTTGCATGGCCATTGATAGAATATTTCGTAGTTGTTTCATCAGGATATGGGGATAACGGATGATCTCTCGAAGTATGATCCTCGGTAAAGTGATGAGATCCCACAGTGACTCATGGTCAAAAAAATGGGCCATGAACGGGGCCCCAATCAACGTCATGTAGCATCATATGCTGTTTTGATTGGTTTGGTTATATAGATTGTTATTCAGAAATAATATTTGAAAAAAACAGGTTTACTGTAAATTATAAGGATTCTGTTCAGTTAGATATTTCAATGAATCTCGGAGCCATTAATTGTGGTTGGTTTAACACGTTCGAACCGTTTTTGGTTGGTACATACACCCCATTTCTAGGTCCAACACCAGATCTATTGTGGCTCCATTCTGCCTCGTTGCAGGTCTCGCAAGCCTATGTGTGTTCACGTCGCTTGGACGCGCAACGGCGCAACGCAACACCCGATGTCGAAATGGCGATAAGACGCTATCTCCCAGTGGGGATGGCAATAGAATAAGATAGAATTAGCCATGGCTGGGATGCTTGGGATGCTTGGGAGGATTTTGACTTTATCACAATTCATCGGTCACTCATTGGTGGTTTCAAAGAGTTCTTATAGATGTTCATAGCTCTTCGGAAGTTCTTTATGTTGTCCATCCTACGAATGATCTCCATGCGACCGCTGGAGATTGTCAGTTCAGTATCAAAGAAATTGTTCGAATTTGACAACACAAATACAGGGAATATTTTGGAATATGTATCAACTGCAGATGAACCAATACGACAATCTGCTTGGATAAGTATTTGACATAAGCTAATTGTTTATGTGATGTTATGTTTTATGTTTTAATGAATGTCCAACCACAGATGCTTCAACTTGCAGCGCATATTCATCAAGATGTTGAACAAGTACTCCAGGAGTTTCCAAAAAGATCCAGCCAGTTCCCATTGGATTGATGGTGAGTCTATTGAAAAATCATACCACTCTTTACGGACTCTTGTTTACAATTTATAATGTCCAAAGAATGAACATACATTTACAAAGTACCAGAGTTATATCATTATTTATCTATCATTTAGTCGATCATTATTTAACGCCAAAAAGAAATCTCCAAAGTCCTTGCAGCCCTTGCAGGCTTCTATCGGGCACCTGAGCTCATTCTCAGCACACGAGATCAGTCCACTGTCCCAGACATGTCGATCATGACGATTGCGGCACAGTGTTTTTTGCACATGTGGAATGTCTTCCAAGCCCATCATTTATCAGTTATACATAGTTTTACCATCTGTTATATGATATTTTTTGGGCATAGTGGAGAATATAACTGATAAATGATGGTTGGTTGATGATTAGTTGGGGGATTATACTACCCTTTATATATTGGGGATTCTAGTAATCCAAGAGCAGGGAATCACGAAAAAGCCAACCGGTATTTCATGGAATGACAGAGGGATTTTGAACACTGCTCACATGTGGAATGTGTGAGGTATTTAATGAGGTCATGACGTACTCTCTGGAAATTTAATGATGTTGTAAACTGAATGTCACAAACTATCCCAGCATCCAACCATTTTATATCACTGTACATTGCCATTTTATGCCATCCCAAGTATATCCAAATATATAAACCCCAATTGGGAATGGTTTTCTATTGGGTTTAGCTCAATGTGGAAAGTTTGCAAGATATGGGCAATCTAAAGTTGTCGGACACATTGAATGCCAATTTTTGGGGGGGCGACCCGCAAGATGACCCAAGATGACCAGGTCCTCGAGAAATGGAGCACTAAGCACACTAAGCCACCCCCCAACCAGGATCCCACCTATATAGGATCCTAACAAGGATCCGGATTAGGTGGGATTTATCAAAGGCCAAGAATAGAGTAGGTGGTTCTAATAAATTGATGTTTAAATATGGGTTTTTCCATCCTTTCATCTCATGAAAGTCTCATCCTTTCTAACATTGACACGCATGTGTTTCGGGATGAGTGCTTGACAGAAATCCAGGCAGAACAAGAATGATCCAGGCTTGACCGGTATCAGAGGTAGATTTCCTAGCGATTTTGATGTTGATCATCCCCCCGGTTCCAGCCCTTAAAGACCAACCATGGTGGATCACGGGGTGGATGGGAAAAAATCCTCGCCACCCTGCCGCCGAGTAACACCTCCGTGGATATGTGGGCTGCTGGCTGCGTCTTGGGAGAGATGTTACTACACCAGCCACTCTTCGCTGGGAAGGACCCAGTTCTGCCGATTTCGACAGTGACACTCAGTGACTCAAGTGACCAATGCACCTCAGAAAGGTTGGTATCCAAAAATTGAGCCATGATATGAGTCCACCCAAATCTACCCTCACATAATTTCACATAGCGATTGAAAATGGCCCAGTCGAAATAGTGGATTTACCCAGCTAGAAAATGGGTGGATTTTCCATTGCAAAATGGAAAGGTTTACCAGAGGGTATCCAATGGATGACATATGATCTGGGTAAATTTCATCACGACCTCACTGTTCTCCCGAACCCTGGAAATCATGGTTAATCAGGGGAATCATCCCCAAATGGCCGAACTATTCAGGTTAGTGAAAAATTACTGGTTGGTGAAATATTACTGCCATATATTGGGAATATCATCATCCCAACTGACTTTCACTCCATCATTTTTCAGATGGGGTAGGGTTGACCACCAACCAGATTACGGCCTTTACCCAGATATGGGTATGGATCAATACCTATGAAAATACCATTTTTAGTGGGTTATTCACATCCATAAATCCCAGCTATTTTGATGTGAACAAAAAAGGGGTACTATTGGTTTTGACACACTGCCATATGATGACATGATGACAATCCAATCCATCCCCATCATTGGATGATTGGACTGATTAGACCTCGACCCCAGGACGGCATCGATCAGTTGTTCAAGATCATGGAGGTGACCGGACGGCAAAGGTTCAAAATCAGGGGAAAAAACCTGGGAACATTGGGAAATTCATGGAAATTCCCTATAAATCATGGTATTTCCCTATTAAAAAATGTTTTTTTCCATTCAGTTGGGAATTTCATCATCCCAACTGACTCTCACTCCATCATTTTTCAGAGGGGTACAATGTGAGGTCCCCCAGTGATAAGTGGGTTTAGATTCGCCCCAGTAACTATAGTTATAAGTACCATAAACCATAGTTATTGGAGTTATTTGCACCAACTTAGCTATCTTGGGGGCCTCACATTGTAGGTATACCACCATAAACAATGGAAAACTTATGTGAAAATCATAGGGAAATACGCGAAGTTACTCTAGGAGTTCGATGTTTTTTCACTGGGAAAGTCCGAAAAGGGGCACGTCGCCGAAAAATGGAATCCCCGCTGGCCTTAATTTAGGTTATTGAATTGTATTGAATTATTTAGGTTATCAATGTTTATTGTCTAGTTTATATTTCATTATATAGTTTATCCATGTTGATCCAATGATCCAGATATGTACAAAGATGCTGGGTTATCCTCTGTAGCACAGCATCAGTGACCACTGCGAAACTGTACCATACTGTACCACGTACGCAACATGGGCAGATTGTTGAGGAGTGCCAACTAAAAGACCGGGGTTTAAATCTAAATAGAAACTTCCCAAGCTGGGTGTCTTTGAAACCCCTCAACGGTCACTTTAGTCATAGCGAGGATGATAAACCAGTGGATGTACGACTATCTTTCATAGAATTCGATGATGGGAAAATTTACAGGAAACCTCCATATCTAATGATAAAAACCATGGTTTCGGGTTAAGATTTTCCCTTTAACCAATCCATTGAATACTTTCAGACAAAGCCCAATGGACTGTTCCACGTAGACCACTCGGGAGATGTTGGAGACTCTGGAGACGCCGCGCAGATCTTGGGAACACCCAACGCACACCAACTCAGTCAGATGAACTCCTCCTATGATGCTGGAGGTTGGGCATGGGCTGGGGCTAACTGCTGATGTGTGCTGGTCTAGCATGATTTTAAAGCTGTTGAAGAACATGGATTTGTCTGAAAAGATTTTATAATGCTTATTTGAGAGAGTGTTTTACGGACCACACCTCATTTGATGGCCATCATTGGGGGTTGAAATCCCCCCATTTTCAGACCCATATCCTTAGAGATCCCTACCGAAACCACCTGTTCCATCCTGTCTTGCTGATGTGTAGGTGCATTGAACCACATGTGCCTTGAGACATGGTACATTTTCCCATAGGTCCTCCAGCCATAATAGGGGTGAATACAGCCATAATGGAGGTTTCCCAATGGGGGGATCCCCAAATAATTCATGTTAGACTGGGATGTTCCATTATTAACGATCCGGCTATTGATCCACCGTTCATGGACGCAAACCTATACATCCTTGGCCCACTTGGGGAATCCCTTTCAAGACGGTGGGATGAATCCCAGCCCATCCCATCTGCCAGCTGTCTTCACGCACGTGCCGCCCCTGAAGTGGAGCAAAGTGCTGCGTGCGCGATGGAGTGCACAGGCCTGGGATGTTCCTCGTGACGAAATCGATGTCAACATGTCATCCATCGAATTTCCGAATGCTTTGATCTTGAATTTGGATTATATTCCCATAGGATCCATGGTGCTGGTATATATGCTAACATGACTGGGGTATATTGATGGGATCCATGTTACATCATGTTACCATATATAGCAGCACCATGGATCCGTCATGGGATTTGGATGAATTTGGGGAAGTCACCATTTCCATCCCCTTCCGCCAAAGCAAACCGACATAAATCGGAGTTGATGGACCTGTTTTGGCTGTTGTGACTCTCAGGCCGAAGCACTGTTGACGATGATGTTGCAGCCACCTGGATTTCAATCGGTGGTGAAGGTCCCGGAGGTCGCAACGATTTGATTGTGTCCATATGGTCAAAAATGGAGAGCCAGTTGGAGCTACTTGTTTAACGATTAACCATCATACGATTTTTTTCAGTTCTCATATATTGATATAGACTCATGATATTCCCAAAGATCTTTATTACATCCTATTCCACCCCTGTTTTGTTGGTTATATCACCATTAAAATGGGCTGCGTCCTGGTTTCTCCAATACCTTGTGGCGACACGACGTCTGATTGGAGCGGATTCCGTTCCTTCCAAAACGAGGTACGACCCAAAGTTGCGGCCGAATCCAATGGAAGCAATGGCGCGGCTGTTGGAAGTTGGGCCCGTGGTTGATCTGTATGTGTAAGGATTGATATGGGAATATACCCTCTGGTTACAGTGGTTACAGTATTCAATACAGGAGTTGACAGTCTGTACAGAGATTCATTATGACGGTACAGTAACAATGTCATCTTCACCACCCCATCAAATTCATGGTCTATACATGTCATAAAAATGATGATTTTGGGGATGGTAAACATGGCATTGTTTTCCACATGGGGATTTTAAGTGTAACCAGTGTAACCAGTGTAACCAGTGTAACCCACGCTCTTATCGCGATCCCACTGGAATTTTCTGGTGAATGTTTTTTTTGTGGGGATAAAAAGTCCCGAAGCGGCATGATTTCATGGGAAATATCAGGTTAGTGAAATCTATGGTTAATAGTGGTTAATAATGGTTAATAGTGGTTAATAATGGTTAATAATGGTTAATAATGGTTAATAATGGTTAATAATGGTTAATAATGGTTAATAACAATATATCTGATTGGTGGCGGCTGGAACATGGCTTTTATGACTTTCCATATATTAGGAATGTCGTCATCCCAACTGACGAACTCATATAGTTCAGAGGGGTAGGGTTGAAACCACCAACCAGTCATAGTTTACCCAGAGTTCAGGTGTAGGAATTGATATGGAATACGAAAAAAGCACATTTTATGGTGATAAAAAGTGGGATCTATGGTCAACACTGATGGGGATGAACTAGCCATTATGAGGGTTTGATGTTCTTTATCTCGTGGTTAAACAGGTTTTAACATGTTTAAATATGTTTAAATATTTATACCCATAGGATCCATGGTGCTGGTATATATGCTAACATGACTGGGGTATATTGATGGGATCCATGTTACCATATATAGCATACATGGATCCTATGGGATATAGATTGTTTTTCTTGACACTCATCCATTATCCACACTTGAACATCATCACAGTGGCTTGCACTTGATTCATTGATTTCTTGCTGACCCTTGAAATCATGCCATCTACGAATGTCGAAATTTCGACATCTTCAAATTTTGTGGATTCACCGAAGACGATTTGGTGATTTCCCCAATGGTCCTGGGTGGTATTTTGCGAAGCGGTCCTGGGGATTTGGAACACTTGAGATTTGACCATTTCCTATATCATCCAATGGTTGCTGGGAGGAAAACTCATTCTACCATACGATTCCTATAATTTTCCATATCTATTGCTTGTTCTAACCACTTTGATGTCATGTTCCTGTGATTCGGTTAAGATGTTTCCAAAGATTATTTCCTATGTCAAACTATGTCAAACTAGTTCCGACCTATAGTTTGACATAATATGGAATTGGAAATACCATTATTCATTATTATTCTAATATGGAATTGGATATAATCTTACAGTACACGGACATTACACGGACATACAGTCTTCATCATTATTAATTATTCCATGTACTGTATGTCCGTGATAGTGCCATAAAGATTCTAATCCGTCTAATGGAAAGGAAGATGGAAATAGTGGGAAAAAAAATCCAATCATTTCATAATTTTCCCATCATTCTCCCATGATTTTCCCATCATTGTCCCATCATTTTCCCATCATTTTCCCATCATTTTCCCATCATTTTCCCATCATTCTCCCATGATTTTCCCATCATTGTCCCATCATTTTCCCATCATTTTCCCATGATTTTCCCATCATTTTCCCATCATTTTTCCATCATTTTTCCATCTGATCTCATATTTGTCCCACGGACTTTCCGAAGATCACGGGCCAGGCCACGGATTTCTTCACGGAGCTCCGGAAGAATCCGCCCAAGGTTCGCATCGCCTGGGTAGCTCAGATTTTGGTGAGAAATCCATGGGAAAATGATGGGGAAATCCATGGGAAAATGATGAAATGATTGGATAAACTGCATCCGAAATTCATCGGGATTTTGATGGAGGAAAATGATGAATGGGAGTTTTTGTCCAATGGTTTTCTATGTTTTTTCTTTCATCTAAGGATGATGTTTATCCCATAAACAATTACATGAGCCAATTAAAAAAACATTGTTTTTTTTTTGAGATTGTCTGTTTGTTTTTTGAGATTGTTTGGTGGTTTTATTCACTTGAATTTGTTTGCGATTTCATGGACTGGGGATTTCCTCTGATTTTTGTGAGGATGTTCATTTAGATTCGTTTTCTGGGATTTTGATTTGGGATTTTTTAGTTTTCTCTTTTTTGGTGTTGTTTGTATGTTGTTCATGTGTGATTTGTGATGTTTATCTTCAAAAAATCATATGGGACCTGTGTGTGAGTGTGTTTTTTGTTAATGGGGATGTTTATGTTGGATGTTTTAATTGGTATGTTTTTTGTATGTTCCATGTTTTTCAGTGTTTTTTTGTAGTTCTTTTTTGCGTTTTTTTTTTTTTAAAGTTGGGCTTGCTGTTGGAGTTTTACACGTTTGTTTGTTGATTTCAAGGTGATAAAATCATTGTGAGTGTGATTGAGGTATGTTGAGGTTATTTCTTGAGTCTGGGTTTTCAATGGGATTCATGATTGTGTGTTTTTATTTGATTTATCCTGTGATTTTTACTTATTTTTTTTGCTTAGTTCATTTGGATTTTGTTTGGGATTAGTATTTGATTTTGTGTTTTCTTTGATTGTGTATTGGGAGTTGTTTTGGATAATCTTCTTTGCGCTTATTTTTGGGGTGTTTATTTGAAGTTCTTGTTGCGTGTTTTCTCAACTGGATTTTCTTTGTTTTTTGTTTTTGCTCGTGATGTTTTTTTCTTTTATGTGTTTTTTGGGTTTGTGTGTTTTAATTACAATTTTCATTTGGAGATGTCAATTTGGAGTTGTTTTGTAGATTTATATTTGGATAGTTTTGTTTTTTCGTTTGTGTTGTGATGCTTTTTGGTGGCGATGATTATTTTGGGATTGTCATTTTTGGATTGTTATTTCCCCACCTGCCAGGTGAGGGTTGTTAGATTTTATGTCAGTTGCCTCCTCGTCCTCCTTCTCCTCCTCCTCCTCCTCCGCCTCCTCCTGCCTCGTCCTCCTCTCCTCCTCCTCCTCGTCCTCCTCGTCGTCCTCGTCGTCCTCGTCCTCCTGCTCAACTGCGACTCGCGATCCACAGTGTTCGCTGTCGGACCTCAACCACGACCATCCACGCCCAGTGTTCCCTGCCGGACCTCAACCACGACCATCCACGCCCAGTGTTCCCTGCCGGACCTCAACCACGACCATCCCCGCCCAGTGTTCCCTGCCGGACCTCAACTACGACCATCCACGCCCAGTGTTCCCTGCCGGACCTCAACCGCGAGTATCCACGCCAAGTGTTCCCTGCCGGACCTCATGTAGGAAGATAAAATGTCAGATAGAGTGCCAGAAGATTTGCCAGGTAGAATGCCAGAAAATATGCCAGAAGATATGCCAGATAGATATGCCAGAAGATATTCCAGAAGATATGCCAGATAGAATGCCAGATAGCCAGATAGAATGCCAGATAGAATGCCAGAAGATATGCCAGATAGAATGCCAGAAGATGCAGATGAATGCCAGAAGATATGCCAGATAGCCAGAAGATTTGCCAGATAGAATGCCAGAAGATATGCCAGAAGATATGCCAGAAGAAATGCCAGATAGCCAGATAGAATGCCAGAAGAAGATATGTCAGATAGAATGCCAGAAGATATGCCAGAAGATATGCCAAATAGAATCCAGAATAGAAGATATGCAGATAGAATGCCAGAAGATATGCCAGAAGATAGAAGAATGCCAAATGTCAGAAGATATGTCAGAATGCCAGAATGTCAGAGATATGTCAGATAGCCAGAAGATATGCCAGAAGATATGCCAGATAGAATGCCAAATAGAATGTCAGATAGAATGCCAGATAGAATGCCAGAAGATATGCCAGAAGATATGCCAGATAGAATGCCAAATAGAATGTCAGAAGATATGTCAGATAGAATGCCAGAAGATGTGCCAGTAAGAACATGTATAAATGTCATGGTGGGGATCACACGAAGTAAAGTAATTGTGTTTTTTATGTGATATATTTATTTGAGATGTTTTTTGTTGAGATAAAGATCGCATATAAAAACACGAATAAAAATCCAAACAAAGAAACATACCCATATTTTTATGTGGAGGATGAGATATTGGTTGATATTGAGTGTCCATAATACGAATGTTTAAAGTTGTACAAAAGATATCAAAAGATATCTATATACAGAATAGTTAATTATTGCCTTGGATGATAGATAATATATGATAATATTGAGGAATACAGATGTTTGAATTTGATCGAATTTGCTCAAAAATGTATTTTCAAAGAGTAGTGCAATTTTAGTTGAAAAAAACACATGTTCCAGTTCCGGTGAAAACTTTTCATCATCATTTCTGGGCTTTTTTTGTTGGTTTCCACGAAGATCCAATAGGTTTTTAATGGGAAAACCCATGGAGAAAAAAACAAAAAAAACCCTGGGTTTTGATCCACCTTTCGAAGTTCCGAGGCCTCAGAGTTCTTTAACTTCACCGATCAGGTGCGAGCGAAGTGGGACTTCCACGGTTTCCTCTGGTAAACGACCAGTTTTGCTATTGAAAATGGCAGAAATGTTTGATTTACATCTTTAAAAATGATGTTTTGTCCATAGTTATGTTATGTTATGTTTATTAGAGGGTATCGTTTATGAAATATAGCGCAGCAAAGTTTGAATTGGAATGTTTGAAACCAAGTTTGGGACGATCAGTGACCACAGATTCCAAAAAAGAGGCCACTGCTGAGTTGTGTCAATGGTTCATTATGGCTTTGTCAGCCATGGGGAAGTCGGAATGAGCCGCGCCCCCAATATATAAAATTATATAAAGATATATAATGTATACATAGGGATGTATATATAGGGTGCTTTTTGACGTTTATTTGATGTTATTTTTATACTGAAGAAAAATGTGATAAATCATGACAAACCGCAGTTTTTGGTTACATGCTAATAACTTGTTGGATTCCAATGCTGATTGTATCAACTCTCGGCCAAGCTATGTGAAGATCATCCAACTGGCAAATTTTTGGTCCAAAATTTGTGCATCAACTGCAACTGTTTGTTCAATCCGATTGATGCTGATGTTGAGGTCCCCTAAATAGACCGCCAGCTCTCATGATGAGAAACCAGGAGATGAGTAGCTGCAAACCCGAGCTGATGCGGAAACTGATGCCCGAGTGCGCCTGGGGGTTGGATGGGGTTGGGAGGAAGCCAGCCTGGAAAACAGCTTCGCCTTGTCGTTCCGAGGGCAACCAGCTAGGCCGGCTAGGCATCTTCGTGAATTCCCTGGTAGCCTTTGACGGGCAAAGTCATGAAGTCAGCTTCTAGGCTGGTGGAAATATGTTATTTATATAAATATATGAATTGATAGTGACACTTTCATACATTTTCCCCAATGATGGTTGTTTGAGATTTAACTTTCATTGATTTTGGCATTCATCTGCTCTTATTATGAATAAAGTGACCATGATCCCCATGTAAAAACACGTGATACTTTTTTCCATCAGCTCAGGAAATTCTTATCCGCTTATAAGCCTCTCCGTCTTTACAGTTTTGGGAAAACGAGTCTAAGTTCCACTCGTTCATCATGTTCCGAAAAAATGGCTTGATGGCCTTAAAAAGACGACCGTAGTTTCAGACAGACCCATCCAATAGCGAACAGGCAACAGGTATGAGTTTTCCAATAGTACAGTGGCAGATTTTCTGTGGCGGATCCAACGAATGATTCACTGGAGTGATAAGGGGAGCGAAGAATTCTATGCATGAAATATCATGACATCCTGGTGTTTATCATCAAATACAATTGGAGGTAAAACTCAGTAAAGCCACATGAAACCATGGTTGTTTTATGAGCAAAGTTGTTGACAACCCCTGTAAATTAGACCATGAATGATACACTGCGATCATCTACATTCGCAAATATGTATATTTTTAGTGTATCAAAGGCAAAATCTACGAATATGCGCGTTTCAATGCGTTTCAATGCGTTTCAATGCGTTTCAATGCGTTTCAAGCCTCCAAAATCCTGGCGCCAGTCATTCAGGAAGCGCCTGCCCGGTGCTCCATTCTGAGGGGCTCAAAGTGGCCCCTTTCAAACCGTGAAGTTCATCGGCTCAGGAGCCATGGAATCAGGTGGTAAAGCCGTGACTGGAGATGTTTTTTTTCCCGGAGCAGAAGCATGGTAAGAGATGGTTCTGATAAGTTAGCAAGTTGGAACCTTTGTGGAAATTGGTTACGATCTTGATGTTGAGCCATGGCTCTGACTTGCAACCAGGTGTTCAAAGTCTGACTTAGCAGCCTGGGCTGATGAAAAGGTGTCAGATCCGTTCTCGCAAGAAGTGGGTGGTTGGCGTCCGGCAAGACTCTTGATGGTCAAGAGACTTGCCAAAATCCTGCGTGGAAAAGTGAGTAACTGAGTTGGGGCAGAATGGTCAGAATGGATACCCTCTGGTAATCTAACATAACTATGGAAAATCACCATGCTATTAATGGGAAAATCCACTATTTCTATGGTCATGTTCAATAGCTATTTTGACATAAACAGATTGTAATTTAACATAACTATGGAAAATCACCATTTTTAATGGGAATATCAACTATAAATTGCCATTTTCAATAGTTTTTTGTAGGTTTACCAGAGGGTAGTAACTTGGGTCCAGCATCTGAGCATCTCTGGAGATCTGAGGATAAGGCCGAAGTCGACAGCGGTGTTGCACAGCGATGCGAAAGGAAACATATGGCCTATTTTAAGAGGAACGTTATGGAACATCTATGGTTAATCTATGGAACATCTATGGTTAATCTATGGAACATCTATGGTTAATCTATGGAACATCTATGGTTAATCTATGGAACATCTATGGTTAATCTATGGAACATCTATGGTTAATCTATGGAACATCTATGGTTAATCTATGGAACATCTATGGTTAATCTATGGTTAATCTATGGTTAATCTATGGAACATCTATGGTTAATCTATGGTTAATCTATGGTTAATCTATGGAACATCTATGGTTAATCTATGGTTAATCTATGGAACATCTATGGTTAATCTATGGTTAATCTATGGAACATCTATGGTTAATCTATGGAACATCTATGGTTAATCTATGGTTAATCTATGGTTAATCTATGGTAATCTATGGAACATCTATGGTTAATCTATGGTTAATCTATGGAACATCTATGGTTAATCTATGGAACATCTATGGTTAATCTATGGTTAATCTATGGTTAATCTATGGAACATATGGTTAATCTATGGTTAATCTATGGTTAATCTATGGAACTATCTATGGTTAATCTATGGAACATCTATGGTTAATCTATGGTTAATCTATGGTTAATCTATCTATGGTTAATCTATGGTTAATCTATGGTTAATCTATGGAACATCTATGGTTAATCTATGGTTAATCTATGGTTAATCTATGGAACATCTATGGTTAATCTATGGTTAATCTATGGAACATCTATGGTTAATCTATGGTTAATCTATGGTTAATCTATGGAACATCTATGGTTAATCTATGGTTAATCTATGGAACATCTATGGTTAATCTATGGTTAATCTATGGTTAATCTATGGAACATCTATGGTTAATCTATGGTTAATCTATGGTTAATCTATGGTTAATCTATGGTTAATCTATGGTTAATCTATGGTTAATAACAATATATCTGATTGGTGGTTTGGAAGATTTTTTATTTTCCATTTCATATATGGGATGTCATCCTTCTCATTGACTAACTCATATTTCTTCAGAGGGGTTGAAACCACCAACCAGATTAGTGTACCCATTTTTTGAATGGGATGCAGGGTCAAGTGTTCAGCAAAGATTGAATGGATCGCCTGCTGGCGCAAGGAGTGCTTCATATTTACCAGCAGACCATAGGAAAGCGGCTCAACAGAACATGGTGACATGCCCAGAGGTTGGTGTTTTTGTTTTTTGCAATGGATGTGTATGAGCAATTCAGCACTTTCAACACTAGAAACACAAGCCTTTTTTTTCAGATTCAACATAGCCAGCAGTCAACAGTCAACCAACATCAAGAATCAGTGTATTTCCGGCAGCTTTGGACACCTTTGCGGTTGGCACTGCTAAGCGCAACTTCGCAGCAGACCCTGCGGGGTGAACCGTGGATGATACCTGAGTTGAGTGGTTCAATCCACGATGTCCCACTTAAATAATCCTGGCAATAGCCCAAGTACTGGAAACTTACTGTATTTTATCAATTCCATCTATGAAGAACTTATTCCAGAAATAGATATGATGATATGAGAGCCTCATCTCAATCCGTTGGTGTTGGAAATGTGCACTTCCAGATACCCTCAGTATCTGTATATATATATAGTACAAAAATCATCACACTCAATGGGGAATTTCCAGCAAACCATATTTGCTTAGCAAAAGGGTAGCAATGAGAAGAGTTCAGAAACTGTTTCAGAAATCCATCTTTTTCTGGCCACCTTTCTCCAGTGTAAGATTCACCCGGCTGCCGAGGTGATGGGCCGTGACTACTACGGCATCCTGGGTGTTGACAAGAAAGCAAGCCAGGAGACGTCTTCTGGCTGAGGGACGAGGCTGCCCCAATCTTTTTTATGGTTTCAACATGTCTTAAAGCATCTAAAAGCAATGTCTCATTTGAATTCATGTGAACATATGTTTATATTCCCTTCATTAGTTCATTGGGGATGATGATCCTAATTGCTTGAAAGCACCAAACGTAATTTGAACATCATAAAGCCATAGAAAGCCATATAAAGCCATATAAAGCCATATAAAGCCCTTAAACAGTTTGCCACATGTCTGCCACATGTTTTGTTCACTGTTTCAGACGGCGGCTCGAGAATCGCCATATTGAACTCAATTGAACTCATGAAATCCCATGGTGAAATCACCGTGGCACCACGTTGTGTGCCGCAGGATGACATCAAAAAAGCGTAGCTCGGCCGGCTGCACCGCATGCAGCGATTCAGCGGGGTCATAAGGGTTTGCAGTGAAGATCAAGATGACCTTGGGATGGACAGTCCGACCTTTTCTAACATGTTTATCCATTTTTGAGGACAAGGAACATTTTTATATTTTGCACATGATTTGGTGTTCACTAGGGTACTGGAGTGTTTTCTACCATGTTTGAGGGCAATGAACATCAATTTTGGGGTACTGGAGTGTTTTGATATGTTTTGACCCATACTGAAGGGTTTTGACCCATACTGCAAATTTGGTATGTCTCAAAATTGGGTGCCCCAAAAAATGATCATCGAAGAATGGGCAAGATGATCAACCTTTGAGTTCCGACATGCTTTTCCCTATTTTGTCAGACAAACCCAGGGGTCCCAGGATATCGCATTGGCCCTGTGAAAGACATGAAACCTGTTGTATGAACTCTTTGTGTTGTTATCTTGTATTTACTTGGGGGCCAAAACCTATGAAAATGTGAATATGGAGGAGGACATCCATTTGTATACATGTGTCAGCTATTGGCTATTGGGATGTCTGTGAACACTTCTATCACTTCTGGAGCCGATTCTTCAGTTGTGCATCTGCGTAGGATTTGGAATGTGGGATATCAAGCATCAGATGAAGAAATCTTGGCATGTTGCCCTAACATTCGAGTTACCTCTAAGATAGGTAACCAGTGTGCTTCTACCTTATGATTATATACCCTCTTGTTGTTCAACGCAGCTATAAACAAAAAAAACACATTTTTTAATGGTAAATCATCATGTTTATCATCTACAAATGGGCCATGTGCCACAGCTACGTTAAATAATCAGAGGGTACATAATTGTAGATTGGTTACCTATCTCACAGGTAGCTGGAAGATGAGGTTGGCTAGTTTTGCGATCCAGCTTTTTGTCACGGTTTGTTTTGAGAAATCGCCACCCATGCCCCTCTCAACTGTGTTTCTTAATTTAGCCATTAGGGTTAACCGTGTTGATGGGTTATTGTCAGGAGTTATTCTACCTGACTATTGGGGGTTTATTATTACCCATATGAGGGAAACCTATTCGCCAACAGGTTAAAATTTCATGAGATGGGAAAACGTGTGATTTTTAATGGCTTAAAATCGATTAAAAGCGGTGTGCAAAAATTTTGGTGTCTGAATCTCGTCCTTTTTCCGATGTTCCTTGGGCTAGGCATTTGCGGGTCGGCAGTCCCCAAAATGGGGATGGATCAAAACCTCTTATACATGATTATACCATATTATACCATATGGATTCCATACTGATTCCATATTGATTCCATATTATACATTATTCTACCATCTAATTATTCTATTCTACCATTGGGTTTAGGGTGATCCATACATCCCAGCATTTATCAAACTGCGAGTGGGTCATGATGGCTAGGATGACCCAGGTATCGGCGTGCCGCCTTGAAATGGCACCCAGACAAGAATCAGGAGCTGCACCGGCTGACATCGTCCATGCAATCTTCATCAAGTCGTTTTATGGCTTTTTTATTAACGTCTTAGTGATATGAATCTCATCATCTAAATTGTATGTTTTTGAATGTTAAATTCTTATTCTTTCGGGGGATCCAGGTAGGTTTTCCAAATATTGGTGGTTTATACCTGATATAGGGTGGATTCCACATAGCTATGATTGGGGTATAGACCACCCGAGAATCTGCGCCTGGTAGTTACAAGCATTGCCATCACTATTATGACTGGAATCATTGTGTAATTCTTGACAGATACGGTTGGAATGAGTGACTCAACCTCCCACAGGAGAATCGAGAAGAGGCTGAAGCAAAGTTCAAAGACATTGCAGAGGCCCCAATCTCAGGAGCTGGAAGGTCCAGGACGTTTTATGCGATGTTTTTCAAGTGTTCAGAAGCAATTTGTTTGGAATGAGGAGAATCCGTAACACTGCGTACCTGTACCCCGAAAAAAGATTAGCACATCTGAACGCATATCTTCAGAGAAGGTGTGGTTGCCAGCACCCAGGAAACCAAATGCTGCAACCGTGCACAGGCCTATGACGTTCTAAGCGATCCTGAGAAGAAGAAACTGGGCAATTAGTTGGGCTAGATCCTGGAGCATCGCAGGGCATCAACGAATCCACTTCCGAGAAGGGAGTTTCACTGTTGAGCTCGGGTCGTCGCACATTCCAATGGTTTACTTTTACTCCAGGGTTTTTTGTAGAGGC